CAAAAAGGAAAACCCTTTTGGATTAGTTTATAGAGGAGGCCTGCGTGCCACACCTTGTCAAAGGCTTTTGAGACATCCAAAAGCAAGATGCCAGTACTCATGCTAAGGGTGAACCCTCTGGTTACATGCTCCACCAGCCTGACTGCCTGTAGCTCGGTGCTATGCTCGGACCGAAAACCGAATTGGACGTCAGGAATCACATGGTGATTTGACGAAAAAAACCGATTTATTTGGCCAAAAGCAGATAATTCATCGAATATACTCTTTGAATTTTGGAATAAATGGATGTGACTGAATCTATATTTATTTCTAGCATTTAACATTTTTTTCAATTTTGAAACCTTGAACAAAGTACTCATATGTGAAAGTCTTCTATTTTCCATATTTAACCACTGAATCTCATCGGTTTTATAGGATATACTGCCATGCCTTCTCAAGCCATATGCGAATCGGCATAACATATTTTGGACTTTCTGTTTTCTGTAACAACCTGATTGCTTAAGGCAAAAACTATAAAGGAAATCTTAATATTTCGTCAATTAGATTGACTCACTATTTATGACGCATTCGTATACAACAGACACAGACTGACAAACCGACATAAATGAGAAACACGGATTTAAGTGATGCAGATAGCTTTAAGCAACAGAAATCTTATGAACAGAAGTTCGAATTTCTTAATACTTCCATTGCTACGGACAAAAAAATTGTATGTTGGAAACTGTATGCGGTAAATGGTTGCGAATTGTCGCATACTTGGTTTCAGTAACAGATCTATTATTAAGAAGCTGCTGATTTCAGTGATCCTTTGCACCTGTTAGACATAATAAGTCATATATATTTTTCCTATATCTGCCATGGAAACAGATTTGCTTTATACAGGGTGGCCCATCCATGTGTGGGCGGAATATCACTCATAAACAAATACATTTTGGGAAAATCTATTCATGGGATGTTATACACGACATTTGAGGGCACATTTCTAAAATATTGGCTATCAGACAGGGTGTCCCAGTTTTGACCTATATATCAAAGTTGTGATTTTTCAAATGGATTGTCTCAAATTTTATTGCATATTTGGATAAACCAATTCGAAAGAAAAACATTGATATACATATTATGGAGTTTTGGTAATTAGCTACTGATATATAAAGTGTTGTGTATAGAAAAACCTCCCATTCCGGCAACCCCTCAGTCCGCCATTTTGAAATGTTTACGTCAAATCTGCACTCTTTGTGGCAATATGGAACTAGCCCACTGTTTGTCTTTTGTTTCTATGGATGATGTGATTTTTTCCTTAATTTTGGTGTGTTGCTCTATTAAAAGCTTAATAACTCAAAATCTAGTTATTTTATCTGAATCAAACCTTACCTACACCAAAAAAAGCTTATAAAAAATTGAATCCAAACTTGAACAAAGATTTTCTCAAAATGTATTTGTTTTCGAGTGATATTCCGTCCACACATGGATGGGCCACCCTGTATAGTTTGATATGCAGAGGTGGAAGAAACGAAGTTTTTGTGTTTTACGTGTTCCTAGTTATCTTGTTTGTTATATTATCTAATAATAATTTAACACGTTCGCGACGACAATGCATGAAGTAAAACACGACTGTAGTCGATAATTGATTTTTTCGTTTTTTTAGTGCAAATGTACATTTTCTGTTATACAATTTCTAGAAAATATGTAAGTGAGTATTATTTTAAGTTTTGAATACCTTTTTCAATATGTACCACCGGTGGTACACGACGGCTTTGATGATTTTTTTTTCATTATAGATGTAGTGTACCACTGGTTTCCACTGAGGGAAATGAAAACTTCAGAACACAAGCGGTGTCAAAGAGGCTAGAAATAAAGCCAAGCGAGTCTCTACATTTTGTAAAGATTGTCCAGAGCAACCGACTCTATGTCTTCAATGTTTTAATGAAATTCTTAAGTAAAGTTATGTTACCTACCTAAATATACGAGTAGAAGTGCTTACTTCCATTGTAGAAAAAATATCTTTGCCTTATTTCACTAATAATTTTAACCCCTTACTTAGTTTAGTAACTATGGTTGTTATAGTGGGTTTTAGAAATAAAGTCTTATGAAAATCATGTATTTTTATACCTCTAATTAAATGTGATATAAAATTCACAATTATAGCCAAATGCGGCACTGGTACTATAAGCCGTAAGGATTGGTAGCGCGTGAAATAATAATCAATTGGAACTGTACCACCGGTCACCAATGACGATTTTTGGCAAGATAGGCGATGTACCACCGGTGTACTACGTCGTCGTCAACATGTTAAGAACTGATAAGAGCGTGGTGTGGGAAATGCTGAGTCAACTTACGTCTAAAAGGATGAGTTTACCTCGCCTAAGTGTAAGCGAAATAAAAAAATAAACGCCAAAATCCAGATAAAAATTAAAGTACAATCTAACTTCCAAACACTGCTGTATGAATAGCTGACCTCAGTTGAATTGAAAATTTGATCCTTTCGAACTTTACATGATTTGAAAACAGTAAAAAGTCAGGATCGTCAGTTAATATGTGCATCCGAAGCGAATAATGATTATTCTACATTGTGTCCAGTGGCAAAGTTCACTTTTTGATTTAAGAAAAAAATGCAAACTTAATGAAAAGAAAATATTTATTACTATCAACATATTCGTAAATTTCGCGGGTTTTATTTCTTGGATATCATTAATAAATACATTTAAATAAATTACGCAACTGTACAACATACTTATCCATTTCTAAGAATTCCACTCGCCTTAGCTATTAACATCTGAGAAATAATCAAACAGTGGCATAAGGATGCCACTTAATGAATTCCACTTACATTGTTCACATTACGAACAGTTTTTCCTTTTCTGGAACAATACAGTTAACCATTCAATAAATTTCAAGGCGATACAGTTCCGCGTACATATTTATCGTTATTTATAACTTGGTATCTGTATGCATCATCTGCTAATCAGAAAGTTATAAATTTAGTAAACATTCTCGGATAGTTGTAAAAATGGATATTTTAAAGGTTATTCCCCCAGCTCAGTGAAAACTCCACAGTTTTCGCAAATAAAATGGAGGCATGAGCACTCATTTGTTGTTGTTTGAAAGCGCACGCATTTTTCAATTAATTAAGAGAGCGAGCATTAGCAGAGTATTGAACTGAACGTCAAAAATCCTATGGTGCTTAATATTAATGTAACGCCCTCGTATAGCTGGGACCTTCGGTGCCGTGGACCGCGATGTCGGTACTAGGCAACCAGAGTTACGTGACCGGGCGAGAGCGCTTGCAGGTTCGGAAAACCTATACCTATCTGGAAGCATTTGCTGCCGATGAAATGTCTCTCGACTCGTGGATAGCGGAATAAATTGCCGACCAGATAGCGGAAGGGGTTAGTCACAATCGAGACAGTGAATACAGACAAGAATTTCGGTATTTATCACCGCATCCCTACCTAAGCGTACCATTGTGATCACGAAAATGTAATTGGGATTCCAAGGTGTTTTGATGTTACATACACCTGATGCCTACATCACAAAAACATGTCATTTATGTCTGTTGGTCTGTCTGTCGACCTATTTTACTTCCCACGCCACTAGCGACGAGGTATTGTAATACCGAACAATTTTGATTATGAGAAATGATGTTTTTGGATGTAATATTATGACATGTACATCGCGAAAAACTGTCACTTATTTCCTCCGGTCTGTTGGTGTGTCTCTCTGTCCGCTAATCCTTGGTCCGTCTATAACTTGGAAAGTGCTGCTTGCATTCCGATGAAGTTTTTACACAATATTACTAAAAGGACGGAAAAATATCTTTAAACTTTATTTTTTGTAATTTCAGAATCGTTTTTGAATACATTTTTAGGAGTGAAAAATTTCTATATTAATATATTTATACCTCTCCCAGCCTCGGTAATTCTACGCACCTTTAAACACATTGCACGCATCATAGGTTTTTCCATACATTTGCTATTGAAAAGAGATGTTTTCGATATAATAATAATAATAATATTTATTACCCTCATTAAACAGTATATATAAAGCTAGCAAACAAAAAAAAGAGCCTTAAGAGGATAAAGGGCTACATCAGCTTGCCCCTTAAAGAAGCAGCTGCTAGAGCCAAAAAAAAAAACAAACAAATTTAAACAATTCGATAGTAAGACAAATGGCTATTAAGACATTGATAATAATAATAATGTTTTAAACTTAAGAAATATAGCGAAGTATAGTAAGTAGAGAAATGGAAATTTAGAGTGAGAAGAGAAAGCGAGGGGAAAGAGAAGAAGAGAAAAGGGGGAACAGGAGATGTGTTTTCTATGATATCTGAGACAGTAAATCACTTTTAAGGTTCGTCTTAAATGAAGCTACCGTGAGAGAAAAATCTTTAATTTTGAATTTATTTACCAAAAAGGCAATTTGATATGAGAATCATTTCTTAAATGATTCTGTATTGTGTGATGGTATTGTAATCAAATTCAAACTTCTAATGTTTAGATTATGTATATCAGTCCGGTAACTAATTTTTAAGTGAAGTAGAGTGCAAGGTACGCCTCTGAGCCATGTTCAACCATCCCAGTTCAGGTAGTTTGTGAGGTACTCTTTGTCTACCGCTTATGACAAATATCAGTCTCAGACAAGAATTCTGAGCTTTTTGAACCCGTTTTAGTTCCACACTATCAAGAAATGGGCCATATACCATATCAGCAAAGTTGAAGTGGGACAACACTAAAGCTTCGCAGAGCGTGGCTTTAGTATTTTGTGATAGGTAATGTCTATGGGGGTAAATTATTTTTAACATTGAACATGCTTTTCTTAGGCACAGAGTAATGTGCTCTCTAAACTTAAGTTTAGAGTCAACCACTAAGCCCAAATCCTTCACGGAATCCCTAAATGATATTATATTTCCGTCATTTTTCATCGTACGATAAACTTGGCAAACTATTGGTAGATGAAGATCGTTACCGCCACACTGATTTTTACTAAGGTGAAATTTTTGTTTCAGAAATTACCATATCCGAAATCAGTGTTTGTCATAATCTGCAATGAATTCTGTGAAAGGTTTTGCTACTATGGCATGCGAGGTAAGTAGTTTTTAGCAGTTTAATAATAATTTAACCAACATAGACGAGAATGATTACTTTCACCACGCAGCGTGTGCTTGATATTCATAGTATTTTCTCTCCTGCAGAAAGGCTGTGGTATTTCTACATTTCTACTGTTTGGTGCAAGCGTCAGCGCCCTCCTACTGTGAGGTTATGTTTTCTTTTGGAGTTGTAGGAAATTTCAGGTTGTCAAAACAGATAAAAATTAAAAGCATGATGCAAATAGATATTTGTAACATAACCTTAAAATAGAGCACTGACACGGAACAGTAGAAGCCTAGAAATTTTGAAGGACAGTAAAAACTATTAAAATCATGATAGGTCATAAAGGCGTCCTACAATTGAAAACACAAGTGGATAAAGGTGTCATGTAACAAGATCATTATATGGAAAACATTGACTTTGAAAATTTTTTATTGGGACTTCTTACTTTATTGAAATTTTAGATATTTCGTGTAATTAGTTTGTTATTATCTTGTTTTTGCAAAAAAGTAAGCACAGAATGAAAGAATCACTCCTTAAGGTTAGTTTAATGCAAAAAAGCAATTTTAAAAAAATTTACACCAGACCTTTATCCACTTGTTTCTTCAATTGTAGGAATGACTGACGATACGGCCCTTAGTCTTGGAGACTTGCACTAATAAATAATATCATACTTGTTTATTTACGCTGAGCAGACTTGAATAATTATTAATTAATAGTAAGCTTGGGAACCTCTTGATGTAGCTCATTTTATTTTTCTCGAAGACTATTCGAGATGGGATGTGTTCACAAAAGACAAAGAATTAAGTAAATATAAAGGTCTGCTATATAAAAAGAAATCAGAGTCGTCGAGAAGGTTGTCAAAAAAATCTGCTATATTTTATGTAGAGGCAGGGGAAGTTTCCTCCCTTCTCGAACCCTCCACACTTTTTTGTCTAGCAAAACACATGAGTTCCAAATTTTATTCAGATCGGATTATCGGTTGTTAAAATATTTAAAAAAATGTGTTTTTAAAAGAAACCGTTACACCGTTAATCATGTCCAATCGACTTATTTTGAGTCTAAAAATACGTGGTACTTCTATGTCCACTGAATGTTGGGACACCCTGTATAGGATACAGGTATATGTATAACACCTTAGCTTCGTATTATAACATAAATGTTAAGAACTATCATACATGACAGGTTTATCGAATATATTACCGTTGCAATAAATTTTTCGGTTTCGACATACATATTCAAGGATACATATTTGCATACTATTTAAAACACTGGTAGTGTTATTTATAGGGAAAAAAAAATGTATTCGTCAATGAAACAGTGATATGAACGTTACTGAAAGAAGTATTTACAAATCATTAAGTACGAGTATATTGTATATTGCTTGTATATCGTTTTTAGGACCCCTTTGTCACTTGAAATTCGGTGGGACTGATTTATATATACGTCTATAATGGGGAACAAATAAGTCATTATTTCACATCGGAGATGACAGATTTTCCGTAATTTTCCTATTTTTATGGTTAAATTAATTATGAATGAATAGTTTATTACAATACCACATGTGACCATATTTGACTGTTCTCTTACACACTGTTGAATGAAATTCTTAATTTTTCTAGCAATCCTTGTCATCTACCTCACACATATGCTTGCGTTCAGCGAGAGCGACGCCACGGTGATCTACCACACTTTCATCATGTTGACTTACTTCTTCCCCATCTTCGGTGCCATCATTTCGGACAGTTACCTAGGGAAGTTTAGAACCATCCTATACCTGGCCATGATCTATGCTGTGGGTTGCGTCTTGCTCTCGATATCTTCCATTGGGCCTCTGCACTTACCGATGGCAGCTCTAAGCACACTGGGGCTATTTCTTATTGCTATTGGCACGGGAGGGATCAAACCTAACGTTGCTGCTTTTGGAGGTAAGACAATCAATCGAACGATCCACCAATCAACCAATAAACCCTTGAACAATCAACCAACCAATTAACCAACCAACAAATGAACCAATCAACCAATAAACTAATCAATCAACCAATCAGCAAATCCTACAACCACCCAAAATAACAACTAATCAACTACTGGGCCCTAAGAGCTGAGATTCTGGCTGATTATTACCGATCCTTCTATATATAACTTATATTTTCAAATTTTGATTGTAGGTGATCAGTTCGTGCTACCAGATGAAGAAAGCCAGCTGATGAAAGTATTTTCAGGTTTTACTTCTCCATAAATACATCTACCAATCAATCGACCAATAAAACAATCAACCAAGAAACCAATAAATCAACCAACCAACAATTACCGATCCTTCAATATAATCTCAATATCTCATATTTTCAAACTTTGATTGTAGGTGGTCAGTTTGTGCTACCAGATCAAGAAAGCCAGTCATTCTTTTCTTGGTTTCACTTCTCCATAAACGCATAAACCAATCAATCGGCCAATAAGCCAATAAACGAATAAATCAGCCAATCAATCTACCAATAAATTAACCAATCAACAAATCATCCAATCAACCAACATAACAACTAATCAACTACTGAAACCTAAGAACTGAGATTCTGGCTGATTACCGATCCTTCAATATAATCTTAATATATTGTATATTTTCAAATTTTGATTGTAGGTGATCAATTTGTGCTACCAGATCAAGAAAGCCAGCTGATGACATTCTTTTCTTGGTTTTACGTCTCCATAAACGCATCAACCAATCAATCGACCAATAAACCAATCAACCAATAAATCAAACAATCAACAAATCATCCAATCAACCAACATAACAACTAATCAACTACTGGGAACTAAGAGCTGAGATTCTGGCTGATTACCGATCCTTCAACATAATCTTAATATCTTATATTTCCAAATTTTTATTGTAAGTGATCAGTTCGTGCTACCAGATCCAAAAGGCCAGCTGATTACATTCTTATCTTGGTTTAACTTCTCCATAAACGCAGCAACTAATGGATCAACCAATAGACCAATCAATCAATCGAGCAATCAACCAATAAAGCAATCAATCAACCAATCGACCAATCAACCAATCAACAAACCATCCAATCAACCAACATAACAACTAGTCAACTAATGGGACCTAAGAGCTGAGATTCTGGCTCATTACCGATCCTTCAATATAATCTTAATATCTCATATTTTCAAATTTTGATTGTAGGTGATCAGTTTGTGCTACCAGATCAAGAAAGCCAGCTGATGACGTTCTTTTCTTGGTTTTACTTCTCCATAAACGCTGGGAGTTTGATATCAACATTTTTAACTCCAGTTTTGAGAAGTGATGTTCATTGCTTTGGAGAAGATAGCTGTTTCTCATTGGCTTTTGGGATTCCTGGAGCATTGATGATAGTCTCACTTGGTAGGAGTTTGACAGTTATAGTATAACATTATAGTGTAGTTTCTATAAAATATCAGCAATATGTACAAAACCTAGTTGCACTACTTGGCGGCTATATAGTACAGCTTAATCTTACCAATGTACGAGGGGGTTCCCAAAAAAAACCGGAATTATTTTTTAAAAGCTAGTTTCGTCGATAGCAAGGTTTGTCATTAATCGACATGTCGCCATTTTTGAAACGAGCAAACCACTCGTACACCTGAGTTTTTCCCATAGCATCATCTTTGTAAGCTATTTACAACATTAAAACAGTTTCAGCAGCATTTTTACCAATTAAAAAGCAAAATTTCACAGCTGCACGTTGCTCACTGAGGCTTGCCATCGTAAAAAACGAAGCAAGCACGCAACAGCTCTAGCAAAAATAATGACTACAGAGGAACGAAACAAGCCAGATCGACAACTCAGGTGGCACTGAACTGGTAATGAGTTGCGCTGGGGGCAGAAATGAGTACTACATAGCTCCGCCCACTGCAATGCTATTCCGGGTATTTTTGGGTATCTTCTCGTATATAGGAAACCCAATTTTTTTAGGGATATATTTTTTCTCCGTGTCACTTAGGATTTCGGGGTTTCCATTTAATATAGCTCTCAAAGTCAATGTGATCTATGTATTATAATTTATTTGTCTAAAATTTAAAACGAATTTAATTTAAACATTTCAGTGATCTTCGTTATTGGTAAACCATTGTACAAGATCAAAGTACCGACGGAAAACGTAATGGTAGATGTTACGAAGTGTATCAGTGTGAGTATCCGTAATGTTATCGACTGGTGATACAAAAAACACCAAACAAAATCTTATAAAGTATTTGGAAACCCAGTATATTGTATGTACAGTGCAAAATTTCGGGAATAGAATGCATACATGCACTGCGATGTCACTCTGACAAATATGATTGAAGGGCAGTCATACGTAACGACAAAGTTCTCGAGACGGAGACACACAGCTAAAAAACGTATATCTTTGAGCTTACCAAGCAAACGTTCACACACAGGAGTAGGTTGCATGTGTATGTATGAGGGAGACGGAGATATATAAAAAGATACTGGTAGTCCAAGAACTGTGACTAAAACTATCAATGTATAAAAACACTCAGGTTTGACAACAGTTCTCCATTTTGTCAGACGGAAAATTTATCAGGGGCTTCAAAATGAGGTATCACATAACCGTCAATTTCGTTCAAAGCAGTCATCTTGAAATTTTGAATAAGCGGTTGCGTCCCTCGACGTGTTTGGGCGAGTGGCGCTTTGCTAACTGCGAGCCGCGGGCCATAACCGCCCGTTTAACGTCCCAGATACAAAGTGACTATTTCGTTTCAGTATGCAATTTCGAAAAAAATAAAATCTTCAGAGCAGAAAACACATTGGCTTGACTATGCTGAACCGAAATACGGATCAGAGTTAGTAAATAACATCAAAGTCACATTGAAAGTCTTGGTACTCTACCTTCCGCTTCCAATTTTTTGGACTCTCTATGACCAACAAGGTTCAGGCTGGACGTTCCAAGCTGTTAGGATGGATGGAGATATTGGTAAGATTACACAGGCCGACGAAATAAGACAGCGCGAAGCGCCTTCTACCGCTATAATCGATGGATCTCATTTCGCGAAATTGTAGGCCCAGTATTATAATCAACGCAAGTAGACCACATCTACTACGCAGCTAGATGGATGGAGTTCTGGGTCTTGCATTTCCACAGGGAATAAAATGCATTGCGTACGCTGACGATCTGGCGATCATAGCGGAGGCGAACTATTCCAAGGAGCTGGAAATCAGCCCGAACGAAGCGTTGGCAAGAATCAGCGAGTGGATTGCAGCAAACAAGTTGCGACTTGCCCCACAGAAGACGGAAGCCGTGATACTGAAGGGATCCCGCAAGAAGAGCTTGGTGAATTTCCAATTCCTTGGCACGAAGATAGTGACAAAGAGACACCTCACGTACCTGGGAGTCGTGTTAGATGGCAACTTAAACTTTGGAGAGCACGTTCGTCAAGTCATCAGGAAAGTAGATGCTAGGATGGCCCAGCTATCAAGAATACTACCAAATATAGGAGGGCCAAGTAGCCCTAAAAGGACGGTCCTTTGTGAGGTAATCCACTCCGTGGTCCTGTACGCAGCTCCTGTATGGCACCGTATGGTCCAAGTCCAGAGATGTAGACAAATGCTCTTGAGTATCCAGAGGAAGGCTTTGCTGCGGATATCGAGCGGCTACAGAACAATGTCCACTATGGCCGCTCAAGTAATAGCTGGAATACCCCCAGTCACTCTGCTCATAGAGGAAAGGCTCCGCCTGTACAGCAGGGATGATGCTAAGCTTCATACTACCAGGTTGCTGGAAAGAAGCACAACTTTGGAGAAATGGCAGCGTGCGTGGAGCGACCACTCAGAGACGGCAATGTGGAGCAAGACTCTGATCCCGGACGTAAGACAGTGGGTTAGCTGTAAACATCGAAGGCTAGACTTCTACTTGACCCAGTTTCTATCGGGCCATGGATACTTTGGGGATTACACCAAAAGAATGGGAATCACGGGGGGCAGCATCTGCGGTTATTGCGGAGAGGAGGACTCCCCGGAGCACACAATCTTTGTGTGTCAAAGATGGGCCGCATGGAGGAGCAATACAGAGTCAGTTATCGGTGCGGAGGTCAATAGCAGAAGCATCACCATACTCATGATGAAAAGTAAGGAGAACTGGAGTACAATGCAGAGGTTCGTTCGTAATGTGATGAACGCAAAGCGCAGGGACGACATCTTACACTAGCAGAAGAAACGACCATATCCGCTGCGAATGCATCTGAAGACATGCCGCAACAAGTGGTGCTACCGGATGTAGTCGTGAGCCAGAGGAGGTGGTTTACTAGGTAGTCAGTCTACTAGAATGTAGCTGGAGTCCCACACTCCCATGCGCGCTGGAACCACGGCGTATGGGGTCCGTAAAATGGATTCCACCTCCCGGTCCCCCTAGGACCACTAAAAAAAAATGTCCAATTTCGCGCACTTTTTTTACACCCAGGCAACCGCGCAGGCAGAAGCCTAAATGCCAGGACACAGCGGTGCTATGATGATTCCTAAGAAATTTTGTGAATCCGAATTTTGAACTGCCTAAGGTTAATAGAACTGAAAAAGGGGCCGTTTGTAGATTGTTTCACACCCTTGGGACAAAGGAGAGGTCGTATCGGCCAGTTCTGGATGTACGCTACTTCGACACGGTTGGGCTGAGAGCCCGAAGTCAGGCGGATCTGTGTGGCAGGCACATCGCGCGGCGAAATCATGGAGAAGACGTCTGAGGAGCAAAGCCCTTTGTCGCAGCGGTAGAAGAGAGCCGGATAGCCGACGGCCCGCCGGTGCAAAAGGGTCCCAAGACTGTCTGTTAGAGAAGAGTCATCGAGCATTAATAATGTAGTCGGGGCGGCAGCACCCCAAACGGGTAAGCAAAACTTTGGGCCTTGTATCGATTGCGGAGGCCATGCGTAGAAAACTACTTATTAGCCCTAAACATATAGCCCAGCTTTTTCCCAGCAGCTGTCGCTATTGACGAGATGTGTTTGTGCCAGACCAAGTCCGCGGTGATCTGTACTCCGACCAGACGAAATGTACGGCTCTTTGGCAGACCTCGGCCATCCATCGAAACCAAGATACAGTACTGTATTTTTGAAGTATTAAGCTGTACAAAAGATTGTTGCATCCCCAAGCAGTGATAACCTCCAGGTCTCTCATCAGAGGGGAAGTTGCTGCTAGTCTCCTTTTTTTCAGCTCACCAGCAGAGATCGGCTTGTCGCTCTGAATTCCTGCATGGAGAGGGCTGTCGTCGGCAAAGCTGTGGATTGGATTGATCGTACAGGAAAGGGGAAGGTTGATATGTAAGAGGAACAGTGCCGGAGTCTAGACCTGGGGAACACCCGCGTTGACGTTGTGTGATGAAGCGGAGAATCCTTCAATTATGACGGATAACTTACAATCAGAGAGAAAGTCACCCACCCATCTACCTCACCATAAGGCTGGACGAGTTTACTACACAATTGCGTGACGTAAGCTAGTAGTTCCCTTGTGGCTGTCGCTAATCAAGCCGTGACGTTCGAAGTAGTCCAGAAAGTCGCGACTTATGCACCTCTCCATCACCTGAGTTATAACAGAAAGCGGAGCTATAGAGATGTAGTTGTAAGGGTCGGTCCAGCTTTCTGAGATCTATATATTCCGTCCGGCAATTCACTGTTTCGCAGTGGTTGATTCTAACGGTAGATGGCGCTTCGCCCTGTCTTATTTCGACAGATTACTTTGGATAGTGTATAGTTGCTATGCTTTCATTCGTTGTCCGACAGACCCAAGCGTAGACCATGCTGAGGAGTAGCCAAAAAGCACGAAACAGCTGTCCGTGGTTGCCAGTCCTTGGTCGGACGGATGGAAGCAAAGCATGTTTATTTTATTTTGTACGTGACATATAACATCCCCGTAGGCGAGGTAGGAAGTAAAATATATATTTTTTTGAATGATGTAGATGTCTCTTGGTAAAAAACAACTCAATTATATGTTGAAAAAATATTATTTCTTGGAAATTAGAATTTATTATACATGTTCATATGAACTTTTCTACTCAAATTTGGTTCAAGAATGTGCACTTGTAATTATCATTAAATAGCAATCTGTATATTTCAGAAACAAATCAGCCAGTTATGTGTTTCGTTCTCAACTATTTGTTGATTTTCTAGGTTTCTATATTATACTTCCCGATCAAATGCAAGTCGTGAATCCACTACTGATAATGCTGTTCATTCCGATTTTCACGTACGGAATCTATCCTGCTCTTGCGAAATGCAGACTATTGACATCACCATTGCAAAGAATGACATTCGGAGGTTTGTTGGCAGCTGTAGCCTTCGCTGTATCTGCTTTTGTTGCCATGCAGCTTGAGAAAGGGTACCCAGTTTTACCCTCGGCGGGTAACATCCAGTTGAGGGTAAGTATAGGCGCAACTTTTCTGGGTCACCCTGTATACGAAATATAGAATGTTATTAATTTTTTAAGGTATACAATCCGGCACCATGTAATGTCCACTTCAATTCCTCTGCTTTGAACATTGACGAACAAATAAATTCAATGAACGTCTATACCAAAAAAGACATAACCTTCAAAGACATTAACAAAACTATAGAATTCATGTTCTCTGGCTCCTGCCTGAAGAACGACGTGAGCTTTAGTGCAGATATCTCTCAGAAAGAGGCTTATGGAGTATACATCAGTGAAATTGGAGGAAAATGGTATCAAGATTTTGTAGATAAGAGCGACGATGGGTATCCCAGAGTAAGGTAGGATAACTAGTTCCTTTTTAAAATAGGGAGTATGCATGTTTTTTGAGTTTTTTTGTCGATTATTTACGTTAATATAACACCATAAACACGTATTTCATTCATTACTAGTCAACCTAGCGCTACTGTAGCGAAACTTATTTTCTGCTGAGCGGTTCCGCAGCAGAAACTTTTCCATCATAACCAATACAGTGGACCCGCGGTAATCCGTTTTTCAGGGCGATGACGGATAATAGAATACTGCCCAAGACCTTCTATATTCCGGAATTCTATTCTATTCCGGAATTTTTTTAATAAGGGTACTTTGTAATCCGACAAATTACAAATCAAATAATCTATTTGAACTACGAATCATGTTTTATAATTAATTATATATGTACAATATGTATGTTTAATTTAGTAAATTAAACTTCAAAATAGACAGCTAATACGAGTATTTTATTATGAAAACATCGTCATCAGTGTTATAGAACTCACAAAAAATGATAACTAGTAGTAGTAGTAGAAAGATTTATTTAGCACATTTGGCTACATAAACAGAATAATTGTAAACAACTTAGAACTAGTAAATTCAAGCCATATGGTGTATGATGTAAATGCTGGGCAACCTTAATTGTAGATTTAAAAAGTGATTTTTCAATTTTACTTTAATTTGTCAAAGTTTTCTGGTCTTTTATCTCTGAGTATAATCTATTATATTCAATCAACCCTTGATGGCATACAGATTTGTAGCATATGTTATACTTTTTGGTCATTAAATGGAAGTCATCTTTATTTCTGGTATTATGTAAATGATGGTCGGCATTTGATGATGTTAAATCTGTTAGACTTGATGGAAATATATTATTTTTTACTTTATAAATGAATATCATTACAAGATATTTGATAAAATTTTTTACATTGAGCCATTTTAATTTGCTAAGCATTTGCTTAATTGGAGTATATTTATCTTTATTTAGTATTATTCTCATGCACTTATTTTGTAAAATTTGCAGTCTTTCAAAAATGGAATTATTTGCTAAATATAGAATAGTCGGACAGTACAAGAAATTTGGAAGAATGATGGTATTATAGATAATTTTTCTGCTATATGAACTCAGACATCCAGAAACTCTCGATAAATATCCCACCTTACTACTAATCTTATTTATAACTTTTTCATAATGAATATCAAAAATTAATCGAGAGTCAACAAAAACCCCCAGGTATTTAAAATTTTCTAAACTTATTTACGTTAGGAAATAATTATGTTTGAACGAATGTACATATGTACTAAAAATATGTGTTTCACGGGATATTACGAATAATCAAAAACTAAAAATACAAAGGAGATACTATGTACCAACCAATGTATAAAGCAATAAAATATTCACTTTCTTTTTGTTTTAAGTTGTTAAAGCGTGAAACCCACGCTTTGTCCCTTAGTGCCGTATCGTCAGTCGTTTCTACTAAGACGCCTTTATGGCTATGCTTTTAATAACTTTCCCGGTCCTTCAGAAGGGCAGGGTTATATTTTCTTTTTGAATTCTAAGAAATTTCAGGCTCATAAAACTTGATTCTTATCATCTATCTTATCAGATCAAAAAAAAGATTAAGAAGAAAATATAATCTCATAATATGAGAGCGTTGACGCTAACATGGAACAGTAGAGATCTAGAAATACCCCAGCCTTTCTGAATGAGAGAAAATACTATGAACACCAAAGAGGCCATAGGGTCGTATCGTCAGTCGTTCCTACAATTGTAGGACGAGTTTATGGCCTCCTTATTGTTTTCTACTGTATCGTGTCAGCGCTCTATTTTGAGGTTATGTACACAAATATCTTTTTGCATCAAATTGTTCATGTTTTTGGCTTATATCTTGTTTTATCAGCCTAATATTTCCTACAATTCAGGAACGGCTGACGATACGGACCTTGATGTATGCCCAAACGTTCTAGCCATCCTTTGCTAGCGATAAAGTTATCTTTTTTCATTATTTCCTCGTGAAAAAACTTCCTCGTGGCCAACATGAGTCCCATAATGGGCGCATGCCTGTTTCTTTCCTGAAGAAACCACAAAGCTTCATCCGCTTCCAGATGATCAGCTTTCTTGAGTGTTTATCTTTTGCCTGACCCACATTCAGTAATTCATACGAAGGTTTTAGGTTTCTGACGGATTCATTACGACTTAAGCGATCCAAAATATCACTTTTTTATTTAATTGTCAGTGTTTTGTGCTTTCGCTTATGGTCTTAACATTACTAGGTATCACATAATAACTAATAATAGTAAATAATTACTCTTGTGTTTTTTCCTTCGTGAAAATAAAAATAAAACAAATTAGATCATTCATGAAGAGCCGAGAAACAATTACTTTCAAAATAAAATAAGAGGTCTTGATATAAAATTGTCAAAGTTATGTGTTATACAGTTGTTATCGTTACTAGTAGGTACCATTTTTTTTTTTTTGTAAAAGTCAAGTCAATGGTTTCTTTTTTCCATTTTTGAGTGTTGTGAAATGGAATTTAGCAATGATGAGTACCCCCATATTATTTTTGTGTACGGGTTCTGTAATGGAAATACTTTAATGGCTTCTCGGGAGTATAAACGTAGATTTCCTAACAGACGCCAACCTACCCCAAATGTTTTTGAGCGTTCATTTCTAAGACTTCGCCAATAAGGAATTGTCAAACTTCCCGAAGTTAGAGGCGATGGTGTCCGGCATCAGTTACAAGAAAGAATAGACAATCAACAGTGATAGGCGTGTCGGATTGATTACCGCGGGTCCTCTGTATATGCTGCTCTTCATCAAATACTGTTTTATGGCGTTTAATGTTTTGTGTTTACATTGCCCGGTTTGAAAACAGTGTAGATTTCGTGTTAGAATAAAGGTACTATAGAAAATTATAATAGAAAGTTTCAAAATTGATGAACAGAGGAAAATGGAAGCAAAGAACAAACACATAACTTATATAAAAAGTATAAAGCAACCTCTATTCAGTCACTGAATTATCAGAGGTCTATTTCATGCTACAAAATGGTAAGCTTTGTTTTTTAATTTTATATCCGAAAGCTGACAACTGACAGGCCTACTGACATTCATAATCTTTTCTAGTAACCTCCACATTATCTAACACGTGCTGGCCGACTGAGATACTCCAGTGGCATGTGAAGTGAATCTCGAAGGATTTTTCAATAGTTGATAAATTTTCAAGTTCTTCTAAATCAGTTAGTGGTTTAAAAAACATAGCTATCGTTTTGCCATTAATGAAATTAAAAAAAAATCCATCCTAATGGCATAGACCATCGAAAGCTCAAGTTCAAGTTAAAGGGGTGTACTTATGCAAAACTTTGCCTTCATCCCAAAGAAATTTAAGGATATATATATATATATATATATATATATATATATATATATATATATATATATATACCTTTATATATACAGGGTGACTTTGAAGTTGAGTCATTAATTTTTAGATAATGATTGTAGAAGGAAGATAAACCAAAATACGTGTGTAAAAATAAAAAAACATTAAAAAAAAAATTTTACCTTGTTTTATAAAGTATCCTCCCGACAAGTATTTCAGTGCGGACCTGTATTTGATCGTGCGGTCTTGGAGCACCGGCAGGCCCTCCCCTGTAAGGTCTTAAGTCTCCTGATTCACGAGCCCTTTGTACTATATTAACAAAGGCACGAGGGGTTGGTTGCACTCGATTGGGAAACCGATTCGCACAAATCCGTGATGCCGCGGCAGCATTTTGTAAAGACTCCCCGTAAATAAGAATCATGTCCACAAGTTCAGCAATTTCGTAAATATGTGCCATTTTTTATTTCGTTTGAGCCACGCAACAAACACCACTATTCACTCACGCGTTACCGACTGACGAAAAACATCGTGATAAACGTTTCAAATTCTTTCGCTTTTTTGTTTCCGATGCGATGAACCGATAACGCGGATTATATCCGTTGTTGCCAAACACGAGCACATAATATTATTATTGAGACAGGGCGGTACTCAAACTTCTAAAGGGCTATAACTTTGTTACTTTAATTTTACCAGAAAAATGTTAAAGGAAAAAACATTTCTTTTGATCAGATCTACTTACTGTTAAAATAAATGACTCAACTTCGAAGTCACCCTGTATATATGTATACAGGGTGACTTTGAAGTTGTCATTAATTTTCAGGTAATGATTGTAGAAGGAAGATAAACCAAAATATGTGTGTAAAAATAAAAAAAATAAAAAAAAAATGTTTACCTTGTTTTATAAAGTATCCTCCCGACAAGTATTTCAGTGCGGACCTGTATTTGATCGTGAGGTCCCCTGTGAGGTCTTAAGTCACCTGATTCACGAGCCCGTTGTACTACATTAACAAAGGCACGAGGGGTTGGTTGCACTCGATTGGGAAACCGATCCGCATAAACATGTGCCATTTTTTATTATATATATATACAGGGTGACTTTGAAGTTGAGCCATTAATTTTCAGATAATGATTGTAGAAGGAAGATAAACCAAAATATGTGTGTAAAAATAAAAAAAAAATTAAAAAAAATTTTTACCTTGTTTTATAAAGTATCCTCCCGACAAGTATTTCAGTGCGGACCTGTATTTGATCGTGAGGTCTTGGAGCACCGGCATGCCGTCCATATGTGAGGTCTTAAGTCAAATGATTCACGAACCCGTTGTACTACATTAACAAAGGCACGAGGGGTTGGTTGCACTCTATTGGAAAACCGATTCGCATAAACATGTGCCATTTTTTATTTCGTTTGAGCCACGCAACAGACACCACTATCCACTACCGACTGACACTGACTGTATTCAACTGAATGAAATAATTGTAAAAACATCGTTCCAAATTCTTTCGCTTTTTTGTTTCCGATGCGATGAACCGATAAGGCGAATTATATCCGTTGTCGCCAAACACGAGCACATAATATTATTATTGAGACAGGGCGGTACTCAAACTTCCAAAGGGCTATAACTTTGTTACTTTAATTTTACCAGAAAAATGGTAAAGGAAAAAAACATTTCTTTTGATCAGATCTACTCACTGTTTAACAGTTAACTGTTAACAGTATATATATATATATACAGGGTGACTTCGAAGTTGAGTCATTCATTTTAACAGTGAGTAGATCTGATCAAAAGAAATGTTTTTTCCTTTACCATTTTTCTGGTAAAATTAAAGTAACAAAGTTATAGCCCTTTGGAAGTTTGAGTACCGCCCTGTCTCAATCATAATATCATGTGCTCGTGTTTGGCAACAACGGATATAATCCGCCTTATCGGTTCATCGCATCGGAAACAAAAAAGCGAAAGAATTTGGAACGATGTTTTTACAATTATTTTATTCAGTTCAGTTATACATACAGTCAGTGTCAGTCGGTAAGGCGTGTGAATAGTGTCTGTTGCGTGGCTCAAACGAAATAAAAAATGGCACATGTATATGCGGATCGGTTTCCCAATCGAGTGCAACCAACCCCTCGTGCCTTTGTTAATGTAGTACAACGGGCTCGTGAATCAGGTGACTTAAGACCTCACAGGGGACCTCACGATCAAATACAGGTCCGCACTGAAATACTTGTCGGGAGGATACTTTATAAAACAAGGTAAATTTTTTTTCATTTTTTTTTATTTTTACACACATATTTTGGTTTATCTTCCTTCTACAATCATTATCTGAAAATTAATGACTCAACTTCAAAGTCACCCTGTATATATAGATATACCCAAATATCTAAATGATTCAACTTTATCAATTATTTCACCCTGATAGTATTTTTATTTAAGTATTTCCATATTAGCATGCATTCTGTCTTAGGTTATTCAATTTATGATTTTTGCGAAGTCAGTGTTCAGCATCTTTAAAGCAGCGTCTATATTTTCATCTGATATGTATATTAATTAATATCTGCATATATGTGAATTTTACAATAACTTAAAATATCAAAAACGTCATTAATGCATAAAATAAATAGTAGTGGACCTAGTTTACTACCTTGCGGTACACCAACAGAAATATTTTTTTGCTGGATTATGTAATTCCAATTTTGGTTTTTTGACACCTGTAAATTAAGCAGTTTTGTAGAATTTTCAGTACCGATCCTTTCAATAGTTTCAAACACCCTTTTGAACTAGAACAACCCTGTTGTTGTATGTTTACCAACATCCATACATCTCCTCCAGTCATCTAAAACCATTTGTATTGACGCTTCAGTTGAGTGAGTCATCCTACATCCAGCTTGAAATTTGTAGGTTTTGAAAATCGCTCTAGCGGCGTTGAAGATATACTAACTGACATATAAATCCGAACACCCAGTTTAAATGGTTTTATTTTAATAAAATTTTGTATAAGTACTTAACGAAGCATAATAAGTAAATGATAAAAATTTCAAAATGATTGCACTGCTTTAAAGCCCTTTGACCTTTAATAATGTGTGGATGCACCCTGATGTGCTACGCATTCTCCAACGCGCCTAGGCATGCTTCTGATCAGGTGGTCAATGTCCTCCTGTGGTATCTCATTCCAGGCAACCACCAACTCCTCTCCAAGTGCTTCTAGAGTCTGCGGAGGACGTTGCAAATTGAGCAATCTCCTACCCATCATATCCCACACGTGCTCAATTGGGGATAAGTCGGGAAATCTTGGTGGCCATGGTAACAATGTGACATCATTATGTTGAAAGAAGTCTATTGTGACTCTTGCAACATGTGGTCGGGCATTATCTTGTTGGAAAGTTGGATCTGCCAGGGTGTCAAGATAGGGTAAAATATGGGGTTCTAGAACTTCGTGGATATAACGCTGCGCGTTACCTCTGATGAAGATTAAAGGTGACCTGGAACCATAAGCAATAGCACCCCAAACCATAACTCCAACAGTGTGATGAACATGTCTTTCAACAAAAAACTGTTGATTCCTCCTTTCACCACGTCGCCTTCTAACCCTGCCACGACCATCGTGCATGCCTAAACAAAATCGAGACTCGTCACTAAAGACAATACTGTTCCATTCCTGATCCCAGAGTGACCGTTGTCTGCACCACTCAAGGCGATTACGTCGGTGTTCTCGAGTTAAAGGGAGGACCCAGTGTGGCCGGTATGAAAACAAGTCAAAACTTCTCATTCGTCGGTAAACACTTCGCATGCCAATAGGTCTTCCGTGTTCTGCAAACCATTCATTTGCTATGGACCTGGTAGTGGAGAAACGGTCCCTTAAGGCCAATAATCTTAGGCGACGATCTTCACGGTCTGTTGTTCTACGGCGGCGTCCAGTGCCCCTTGCTCTTTGCGTACGGCATTCTCGAAGCCATGCCTGACAACACTTAAGCACAGTGTCTACACTTCTTTGCACTCTAACTGCAATTGCCCGAAAAGAAAGTCCAGCTTCCCGAAGTCCCACTATACGGCCCCTATCAAACTCACTAAGTTGACGAAATCGTACAGGTCTCCGTACTCTAGGCATCGTAACCGATCGTAAAGGATGTCAAGAACCAAAATCCGCCAACGTTGATTCTTTACTGCGGCTGAAATATTCATTTTTAGAGCGTTAGTGAATTAAAGAAAGCAGTATAAAAACCGGAATGTCCAACTGATAAGGCTGAAAATTTTTTCACATGTTATTTACAGTAAGATAAATACATTCACCAACTTTTATTAAAATAAAACCATTTAAACTGGGTGTTCGGATTTATATGTCACTTAGTATATTATAGAAAAATTAAAAATTAATAGTCTAATCATATTAGACGAAAATACCCCTGGTATGCGAAATAATTCTAAAGTCTGGTTTTATAGCTGCAAGTTATACAAGGGGTATTCAAAAGATCGACGCATAAAATGGGTACACCAATTTTTGTGGAAAAACTTTTTATTCGACAACAAAGAATGAGAAAACGCGTTTTTTTGGGATTCAATCAGAAGTGTTGGCAGGAACGAAAAAACTCTTGAAACAAGATTTTGAGGTATTTATGAGACCTAAAAAATGAGACTACACGTAAAAAGATCCGACCAATAGCAAAAAAGTTATAGCCGAAAACCGAGGCTAATTGCAGGTTTTGCCACTTGTTAGTAATGCGACGATGGTTTCTCGCAGATATTTGAAATTCTTCAAATTCGTAGGATTCGTACTTCTAAATAACCACAACAAAATTGGTGTAGATTGGTCAAGTAGTTTTTGAGAAATTCTAATTGTTTATCCCAAAACACCTGTTTTCCGACCGGCTCTACTAGTTTATTGAGCAATATACAGTGTTAGTTTATAGCATTTTATAGCAAAATACACTAGTTAACCTTGCCGATATGAATCGCAGACCATTCCGGAAGATAAATGTTATTTTTATGCAGAGAAGGATGGGTTCCGTTTTTTTCTTGTAAACAAATCAAACACTTCGTATTTGTCAGTAATTCGCAAGATGATAGACACATCCGCATTGTTTTAAAATGTGTATAGTAACGTATGTATTTCGAATATCGTAGCGCATGTGTTCAGTTACTCACAAATACGAAATGTTTGAATTTGTTTTTCGCATAAAAATAACATTTTCCTTCCAGAATGGTTTGTGATTCATATCGGCAAGGTAAACACGTGTATTTTGCTATTAAATGCCCTTTGAACGAACGCTGTATATTGCTTATTAAACTAGTTGTCATGGCCGGAAAACAGGTGTTTTGGGTTAAACAATTAGAAATTCTCAAAAAACTACTTAACCAATATACTGTTGTTATTCAGAAGTATGAATCCTACGGATTTAAAGAATTTCAAGTAGTTGCGTGAAATTATTGTCGCATTACCAACAAGTGCCAAAACCTGCATTTTAACTCGTTTTTCTACCAAAACATTTTTGCTATTAGTTGGATTTTTTTTGAGTAATCTCATTTTGTAGGTCTCATAAATACCTAAAAATATTATAAAAAAGATTGTTCGTTCCTGTCAAAACTTTCGATTGAATCTCAAAAACACGTTTTCTTACTGTTTGTTGTCGAATAAACAGTTTTCCCACAAAAATTGGTGTACCCATTTTATGCGTCCATGTTTTAAATGCCCCATTGAACAACTTGCACCAATAAAATATGCTAAATGCTTTTAGTCAGTTTGGAAGGGTTCAGAATACTAAAAAAGGAAGATCTGTTTTTGTGTATTTTGAACTCTCTGGTTTCCCTGGCGAGTGGTCACGAATTAGGGGATTTATTTTTTTTATATTGAGCTTTTCTCATATTTCATCACGTATCAATGACGCTCAGGTCGTGCCGTATCAGGTCAATCGTTTTTTTTTTAGTCATTATAATAAGTGCACGTTTTATAATTTTCAGAACCTTGAGCTTCATCGACCAAGAAATAACATACGTCCAAGATTCCTACAAACTTGTAGTTGATAAGGGAAATGATAATTTGTTTAAAGCGAGTTACCCTGGAGAATATCGCATAAATGACAGTTCTCGTAAATCTATATTCAGGTTAGGGGGCACTTACACTATCCTTGTAGGAAAGGTAAGTAGTATGATATTTAATTATTATGCCCATGACCCCATCAATTATTATTACGAGCAAGTTTGATTAAATAAAATAAAAAGAATTATTTTTTAACAAGTTTCACAAAATGAACTAAAAATGAAAAGACCTTTTTTTCGGTTGGAAATATTTAAATGATATAATCAAGCTCATTCATCTCAAGTTTTCAAATAAAAGAGTGTTGCACCCTTTTTTCATCGTGATGTCAAACCGTAACATGCTTTCTTTTGAAAACGTGAGATGTGGGAGCTTCATTATCGTTTAAATATTTTAAGTCGGAAAAATTATTTTTTAATTTCTAGTTCATTTTAAATAAAAGCTTGTTTTGAAATTATTTCTTTTGTTTTATTAATTTTTCACTTTATAGTAGTATGCTGAGTGACAAAAAAGGTAAACACCTACGTATGTTTATCCGATTTTAATAATTTTTGGCATATACATGCTGGAGAGGTATTTCAAAGGATCCGATGTCAACACTTGCGCCTACATTTACAAGGCATTCGTGAGGCCAATTCTTGAATTCGCTGGCCCGGTATGGGACACTGTGCTTCTGCGCGATAGAAATCTCGTCGAATCAGTACAGCGTCGGGCTACTCGTATCCCTTTTGGAGCACGAAGACCAAGCTATGAAGATCGCCTTGAATTATTCAACCTGACCTCATTCTCTGAGCGAAGACTTCGTGGCGATCTTATAGTTACGTTCAGGATACTTCATGGTTTGATGGGCACCAACCTCATGCATCTATACCGTCTGTCGCGCAGCAATCTACGCGGACACAGCTTCAAACTGCATAAGGAGCCATTTAAAACAACAGTCCGACAATGGTTTCTTCCCAACCGCATATTCAACACCTGGAATAGTTTACCTGAAAGTGTGGTTGGTGCTACTTCAGTTAATAGCTTCAAAGTGCAGTATGATAGCTGGAGGAGTGTACAAACCTTATAGCTATGAACTGTCTCTTTTTATTTTTTTCTATTTGATGTATTTGTATTACGTGTCCGTACACTATATTTACTGCATGAGCTTATAGTACTGTGTACTCTGCTCATCTCAATTATCATAATAATAATAATAATATATGTTCAGTATCCCTCACTAGTGAAATGATTACATTTTCATCTTGATTCGTCAACTGACTGCAGAAACTGGTTCAATAATGTGTTGAGGATTCACGATTTCTTATACACTCATTGTCATCGTGCTGATAAGGTGGTCGATATCCTGTTGAGGTATCTAATTCCAGGCTACTGCAACTTCGTGCGTAAGAGCTGCTAAAGGCTAACAATGCTTTGGCAACATGCGGTCTGGCATTGTCTTGCTGAAAAGTCGGGTTTTGGATGGTGTTTAGGTATGGAATAAGATGAGGCTCCACTACTTCCTGAATATATATATAAGCTATTCCCAGTTCTACTAACCTTAGGCAGTTCAAAAATCGTATTAACAAATTTTCTTTGGGATCTTCATAGCAGCCGCGGTGTTTCGGCATTTAGACTTTACCCTGCGCGGCTGCTCCGATATAAAAAAAATACTAAGGTGTTTACATTTTTTGTCACTCAGTATATTTAAACAAATTACTCCCGCGCCAGAGAACCTATTGATTATGAAAGAAGATATATTTGGAAAATTTCTCATGCGATGCGAGATCTTAGCCTCTAATATGGTTCTACTTTGTTCGCAAGTCGAAAAAATATTCGAATTATTTCTTTTCTAGGACATGAAAACATCCGAAATAGTGGTTACTGAGCCGAATGATGTCCATATACTTTGGTTGTTGCCTCAATATGTAATCATCACAGCTGCAGAGATCATGTTTTCTATCACTGGTCTTGAGTTTTCATATTCTCAGGCCCCTGTATCCATGAAATCGCTGCTCCAGGCCTGTTTTCTACTAACAACTGCCTTTGGAAACCTGATCATAGTCATCATTGAATCATTCAAATTTTTCGACTTACAGGTAAGAAAACAAAGTCAGAGATTCTGGGTTTACTTTTTGAATATTAAGGTTCACTGAAAAACTTGGCTTTGGGTGTTCATAAAGTTACCTTATTTGGTTTTCATTCTTACTTCTACTTCTGTTCTGGATACTTTCTATAGTCAACGCCAAACAAAGTGGCGTGCACGTCATCACGATAAAAATTCCCCGACCTAATGCCTAGGTTTCTATCACAAACAATTGCTCTATTGCAGTTTCATATTAATGTGATATATAAATTGTAAAATGGTCATTACTCTCTTATTATGGTTAATAGTCATATAAACATTGTTATTAAAATATCACATAAGTTGCTTTCTGATAAATTTAGACGCATTATGCGAAATAAAATGTTTTGCAAACGCTCCAATCACTTATCGACATGTAAACGCACTAAACCGATTTCGCAGCGTTGACACATTGTCACCTTGAAACTTATTTAAACTGGGAACTGACATTTGTATTAATTTTGACACTGAATCAATTTGTGGCATTTCAAATCTTTATAAATCCTTTGGCCCCGCATACTGTAAATCAACAACTGTTTGTTTCAAAACAAAATTATTCATTTTACGAGTAGATAAAGGCAATTTTGGTATATAAAGATGCCCAAACAGTTAAATAGTCGGTGTAAGGAACTCGTGGCCTCGTTAATGCACTACTTTGAGCAAGAAAGGGACAACAACGGGCCGTTGTTGCCTTTAAATGCTGTTCAAGAGGTAGGTTACTAATAATTATATGTAATGTATATTAATAATAGTGAAATTTTATTTCATTTTTTGTAGCGTGTTGCTGCTGCTTTAAAAATTAGTTTAAGGACAGTTAGTCGTATTTCCGAGGGTGTGAAAAGTGATGCAAATTTAGAATCGCCCAAGAAAAAGCGGAGTTATATTAAACGTGTAACCAACACAGCGACATTGGATACAAGTGCCATTCGAGAAGTGATCTATAATATGTATCACAAAAGTAAGATCTTATTATAATAACTTATCAGAAATTTGCATTAATTTGTTAACTAAATTATAATGTCATATTACACATGGTTTCAGAAGAACAAGTTACGATACAAACTTTATGGTCTCGATTAAGAGATAGGGCATTATTTGATGGTAGTGCCACGTCTTTAAGGCGGTTGCTTAGAGATCTTGGATTTAAGTGGCTTAAGGACAATCCGCGACGAGGGCTCATGGAACTACCAAGTATAGCTTTGAAAAGGGTGGAATTTCTAAGGCAATACAATCAAGCCAAGGTTGAGGCCTTATACCAGTTTGTCTTCCTCGATGAAACTTGGATATTTCAAAATGGGACCATAGGTCGCTCTTGGCAAAATGGAAACCAAAAAAGCGTGAAAGCTATTAAAACAGATGGTAAAAGGTATGTACTTTTACACAATTTGCACTATAAAATTTAAAACTAATATATTTTAGATACATTATATTACATGCTGGAAATGAAAATGGGTTTATTGAGGGTAGTGAAGCGATATTTTTCTTCGAAAACAAAATTGAGCGATTACCATGGAGAGATGAACCAGGACAATTTTTTGAAATGGTTTCAACATCAGTTATTAGAAAAATTGGAGAGTCCATCTATGATTATACTGGATAACGCCCCTTATCATAGCATGATATTGAACAAAGTGCCCAACAATGCATGGACAAAAAAAAATATCCAAGACTGGTTGACAAATCAAAACATACCATTTTTAAACACAATGTTTAAAACAGAGCTATTGAGTATTGTTGCTCGGTACATAATGCTTCTTAATTATATATATTTTGGTCGACAGTTTATATTTCTTTTGTTTATTCCTATTCTTAAAATAACTGCTTTTTTAGAAACAAACCACCTAAAATATACGTGATTGATGAATTGGCGGAACAACATGGGCACAAAGTTCTTCGTCTGCCTCCTTACCATTGTATATTTAACCCTATTGAGTTAATTTGGGGCATAGCAAAAGGTTACTATAACAGACATATTGGTAGAGATGGTAACAGTGAAAAAGACTGTTTGGATATGTGGAACGAGGCTCTACAAACGGTTACCCCAGACATGTGGAAAAATAGTGTTCGACATACTGAGCAAGAAATTTTTAAATAGTATGAAAGAGAACGAATTTTTGATCGACCAGACATCGAACCTTTAATAATCAACTTTGAGAGTGATGAAGATTCAGATTCAGACAGCGCTGAAGAAAGAAACTCCGACTAACTTTATTGTACAGAAAAAGCTTACACCAGTAGCTTACCTAATTTTAGAATGCATTTTTCTGTATGAATTCTGTAAAATAAATACCATGCATAAAATTTGGAGGACCCCATTTGGATTTTTATTCAGTACCTTTAAGCTATCAATTAAATATGGTAGTTTCATAGTGTCATCTGATCAATAATTGTCATACTTAATGATTATGCAAGTACAGATCTATAATTTTATTATACTATTATTTTTGTTCTCATTTGAGGTTAATATTGCTTATAAACCTAGATATGTAAATAATAAATTTTATTATTTTACAAAAAGTTTGGCAACAATGTAAATTTTTTAACACACCCACCTTGATGACGTGCACGCCACTTTGTTTGGCGTTGACTTATAGATTATTCGGGTAGTTATAAACAAAACGCTGCTTATCATCAGCCAGGTAACACGTTTGATTCCAATTTGAAGGTACGAGGTCTGTAAATTAAGTTATGTGAGATTTTTTTTTAATTTTCATTGAAATATAATTACAATTTTATATTAAAACCTCCAAAATAACTTCCTTCTGAAGCCACACAGCGCTGGAGATGGTTCTTCCACTCCTCATAGCAGTGCTGGAACTCTAGTGTTGCCTGTTCGAAGGCTGCGTTGCCAGTCTCATCACTAAATTTACAGACCTCGTATGCTTTTTTTTAGCAACGTAAAAATTTCCAAAAAGTGGTAAAAAAGCCCCAGCGATCTGAATATTTATAACCGGAGTTTTCCCCGATTCGGTTGCTTTCATAACATTCACGTTTATTTCCAGTCAAGTAACTTCTTCCTTTACACCGTTCTCATGATCCTGGATATGGTTCTTTTTGGGATCTTGGCCATGAGATACAAATACGTAATACCTCAGGAAAGTGAAGAGCTGCAAGAAAGGAATGGTGTCGAAAATCCAGCATTCAAAACAAATACTGATTAGGCCACAAAACAAATGATGATGTACAAAGAGCGAAACGTACTTACTCATGAAATGGCGCATAGTTCGAAATGTGAAATCCAGTGAGCATTGTCCTATTTGACGTATATCTGTGATTATGTATACAGTGTATGCACTTGTATGGAATTTTGTGTTTCAAATAGGTAGTATTTTATGTACGTGTTTGTTGAGTTTTTCAAATGTATATACACATATTTTTAAAAAATGTTTTGTAAAATTTGTGCGAGCCACAGACTGCGTAGATGTGGCAAAGCAATTTTCATCCCTGACTCTCATAGATTGCTGGGTAGCATTCATAAGAGGAAATCCTTCACTTGCTTTATGACATCATTGGTACATTCATAGAGATATCGCATTTCTCACTGCTATGGTGCATATAAAAAAATACCTATGAAACAAATTACTATGTGTCAACAGGAGAATGATCCCTTCATCGTAGTAAGTACCATACAAGGTGTTTATTTGAAGACTTCCCACTACGGATTTATCGAAAACCGCTGATTAAAAGAAAAAACGCCAAAAAACGTCAAAAGATTTGTCATCGGGGACAACTTTTTAACCTAAAACTACTTCACCCCCATTCACCCTCGGCTCCCAGGGTCACTCCCATAGAAATTTTCTTTTTTTTTTTTTTATATTGAAACAGCCGCGCAGGCAGAAGCCTAAATGCCGGAACACCGCGGCTGCTATGATGATCCCAAACAAATTTTGTTAATACGATTTTTGAACTGCCTAAGGTTAGTAGAACTGGGAAAAGCTTCCTCCCGTAGATTGTTCCACAATCTAGACACCCTCGGGACAAAGGAGCGGTCGTATCGGCCAGTTCTGGATGTACAAAGTTTGACACGGTTAGGATGGGACGCCGAAGTCAGGCGGGTCTGTCTGGCAGGCACATCGCGCGGCGGCATCATGGAAGAGAGCTCTGAGGAGCAAAGCCCGTTGGTGTAGCGATAGAAAAGAGCTAGATCGCCGACGGCCCGCCGGTGCGAAAGAGTCCCGAGACTGTCTGTTAGAGGAGAGTCATCGATCAGTCGGACCGCCCTCCTCTGGACAGCATCGAGCATGGACAATGTAGTCGGGGCGGCAGCACCCCAAATGTGTGAGCAATACTCGAGGCTAGGCCTTATCTGGGCCTTGTATAGAGTGAGAAGGTCATGCGGAGAAAAGTACTTCTTAGCTCTAAACAAATAGCCTAGCCTTTTCCCAGTAGCTGCAGCTATTGACGAGATGTGTTCGTGCCAGATCAGGTCCTCGGTGATCTGGACTCCGACCAGCCGAAATGAATGGCTCTTTGGTAGAACTCGACCGCCCATCGAAACTGTATGAGCACTAGGACGCTTTTTGTTCGTCAAAGTACAGTACTGTGTTTTGGAAGCATTGAACTGTACAAGATTGTTGCGTCCCCAAGCAGTGATAGCCTCCAGGTCTCTTGTCAGAGAGGAAGTCGTCGCTAGTCTTCTTTTTTCCAGCTCAGCGGCAGAGATCGGCTTGTCACTCTGAATCCCTGCATGCAGAGTGCTGTCATCAGCGAAGCTGTGGATTGGGTTGATCGTGCAGGAAAGGAGGTCGTTGATATGTAAGAGAAACAGTGTTGGAGCCAAGACCGACGCCTGGGGAACACCCGCGTTGACGTTGTGGGATGAAGAGGAGAATCCGTCAATTACGACGGATATCTTGCGGCCAGAGAGAAAGTCAGCCACCCATCTGCAAAGCTTTTCTGGGAGGCCGTAGGATGGAAGTTTGCTCAAGAGGGCAGCGTACCACAGCTGATCGAACGCTTTCGTGATGTTAAGAGCAACGACATGAGCCTCACCATGAGACTGGATGAGTTTACTCCGCAGTTGCGTGACGTAAGCTAGGAGGTCCCCTGTGGATCGTTGGTGCCGGAAACCGTACTGCCTGTCGCTAATCAAGCTGTGACGTTCGAGGTAGTCCAGAAACTCGCGATTTATGCACCTCTCCATCACTTTACTTATAACAGAAAGCAGAGCTATAGGCCTGTAGTTGTAAGGGTCGGTTTTAGATCCTTTTTTTGGGATGGGCTGTACATGAGCAAATTTCCAGTTTTCTGGGAAGGTGCCGGATTCATAAGATATCTGGAAGAGACGCGAAAGTACTGGAGCAAGCTCAGCTGCACATCTCTTCAGTACAATGGCAGGAATCAAGTCCGGACCAGAAGTTTTGTTGGTGTCGAGCGACAAGAGCACTCGTCTTACGGTCTTATGCCTGAATGTTACCTCCCGCATAGTGTGGGGAACCCTTTGAATTGACGGCACTTGGGCGTTGGTGGGGACGTCCATGGTGGAGTTGGCAGCAAAGATCTTGGCTAGCACTTCCGCCTTGGCCTTTGGGTCGAATACAATAGTTCCATCCTGACACGTAAGTGGTGGAAGGCTACTGTGTGAGATCTGCTTGGCCAGCGTCCAGAAAGACCGACTACCATTGCGCTGCGACATTACCCTGTGCCTAACTTTTATATCATGCTGGGTTTTGGCATTGCGAACCGCTTCGTTGTATTAACTGACAAAGGGTATCGAGTAATAGCTTGTTTGAAAGGTATTTTGAAGTCCTTCATTTTGACGTTTGATTTTTTAAAATCAGTCGATTCGTTTTTGAGAAAATTAAGATAAATCTTTATTTATCTTAATTTGTTCAGATAAAAAACAAAAACACGAAAATATCACTTTTTATTTCAATAAGTGTTCTTAATATAGCCCGTTAGGGTTTGCCAAATCTACAATTCGTTTATAATTTAAAATGGAAACTACCAACATAAGCAGCAATTAAGATGACTAGACGTGGCAACGACCAAATAACACTTTATTGTTCTACCTGTTTAGTTATTTGTTGCTAAGGGAAAGGAATAATTTATCTTTGTGACAATCTTAGGATAGTGAAAATTAATTTATTGGTTCAGATTTCACTTCTAAAATGGTTTACACACTAGCCTAAAAAGTGATGGTGCCCAAGTTCAAAGTGCTCGGCAAACTTCCGTCATGTTTAACGCCAGACATCCGGGCGTGATCATCGGACACTGACAACATTGAAAACCAAATCGAAGAGGATGGCTACTCCTTGATGAGGCAGAAATATATTTCTAGCAAGACAGCGCTAATGCTCACTATATTCTTCCGGTTCGGCAATGGCTAGAGGACGAGTTTCTAGATAAATGGATAGGGCGAAGAGGGTCTATAGAATGCCGTGCTAGATCTCCTAATTTGACGCCATTAGACTTTTTTTATGGGGCCATTTGAAATCTATTGTGTTTACTCCCCAACCTGAAAGTTCGTCAACGCATCATCGACAGCTGTCATGATATCCCACAACATGTTTTTGAAAATGTCCATCAGGGATTTGAACATCGCCTATATCATTGTTTGGCCAATACCGGGCAACATTTTAAACACTTATTGAAAAAAAAGTTATATTTTCGTGTGTTTTTGGTTTCTATTTGAACAAATTAAGATCCCCGATAGCATTAAATATTTATTTAACACTTTTAATGTTTGTTAAATACAGGGGCGTCATCTATTACTTTTTTCTATTTGAAAAATCAACACGCTTTTTACGAGGTGAAATCGAATTTGTTTATTGATAAATGAAGGTTGGTTTATGCCATTTATGTATGAAAAATAACATCAGTCATGTGACCACCGCGACTTCGTTTATAGGCCAACATCCGAACATCAAAATTTTCAATGACTTTTCCTAGAATAATCGGGTGTATGGCCGCAATTTTAGTCCGAATATTGCGCTAAAGGTCTTAAATTGTCCGGGGACCGTTCGCATACACTTTTCTTTTCAAAAATCCCCAAAGAAAATAGTCAAGAGGTGTTAAATCGCACGATCTCGGGGGCCAACTGACATCTGAATTTCGTGAAATTATGCGGTCTTGAAATTTCGTGTGCAATAAGGCGATTGTTTGGCGAGATGTGTGAGCCGTTGCTCCGTCTTCTTGAAACCAAAGATCATCGGCACCAATACGATCCAATTGTGGCCACAAAAAGTCTGCTAACATGCCACGATAACGTTCCCCGTTGACGGTAATGGCCTTTTCTTCGGCATCTTCAAAGAAGAATGGTCCAACGATGCCAGCAGCCCATAATTCGCATCAAACAGTCACTTTTTAAGGATGGAGAGGTTGTTCATGATGTTGGTGTGGATTGTCAGCCCCCCAGAATCTGCAATTTTGCTTATTTACGTACCCATTGAGGTGAAAATGACCCTCATCAGAAAAGAGCACTTTGGCCGAAAATCCGTCTTCTCTTTCCAGCATCCAATTAACAAAAACACGCCGCTGTTGATGGTCTGCCGGCTTCAATTCTTGTGTTAGTTGGATTTTGTATGGATGGAGGTGTAAATCAATGTGTTAAATTCGGCGTAAAGAGGTCTCACTAATTTCCAATTGTTGCGAACGGTGCCTACTCGACGTGGTTGGATCTTGTCGCACATTTTCACTCACTGCGGCTATGTTTTCACGACTACGAGCTGGACAAGCATGTTGGTATGGTTTACGACCTTCAGCTGAACCATTTTCCTCAAAGCGATTAACAATATAACGAATTCCAGGCTCTGTAGGGCCTCCATGTCGGCCAAAACTACTGCGAAGTTTGCGAAAAGTATTTTTTATATTTCGACCGTTTTCGGAATAAGTTTGGATAACCAAAATGCGTTGTTGTGTTTTAAACGAATCCATGTCTGTAAATGGCATACCTTTGACAGTTCATTTATGCATACCACATGACTTTTGACTCACATGGTAACACATAAACTTAGAGGTAAAAAAAAGTAATAGATGGCGCACCCAGTATTTGTAGCGACAGATTTTTTAATAAATATATTTCTTATATATTTATAAAATATTCATTATAGATGTTTGTAGCATATATAATTCTGAATATTTGGAAAAAATATCTCAAAAATATATGAGGAAAGATTTTTAAATATCAATTTTATATTTTGATGAAATATACTAAGTGACATATAAATCCGAACACCCAGTTTAAATGGTTTTATTTTAATAAAAGTTGGTGAATGTATTTATCTTACTGTAAATAACAAGTGAAAAAATTTTCAGCCTTATCAGTTGGACATTCCGGTTTTTATACTGCTTTTTTTTAAAAATTCACTAACGCTCTAAAAATGAATATTTCAGCCGCAGTAAAGAATCAACGTTGGCGGATTTTGGTTCTTGACATCCTTTACGATCGGTTACGTTGCCTAGAGTACGGAGACCTGTACGATTTCGTCAACTTAGTGAGTTTGATAAGGGCCGTATAGTGGGACTTCGGGAAGCTGGACTTTCTTTTCGGGCAATTGCAGTTAGAGTGCAAAGAAGTGTAGACACTGTGGTTAGGTGTTGTCAGGCATGGCTTCGAGAAGGCCGTACGCAAAGAGCAAGGGGCACTGGACGCCGCCGTAGAACAGCAGACCGTGAAGATCACCGCCTAAGATTATTGGCCTTAAGGGACCGTTTCTCCACTACCAGGTCCATTGCAAATGAATGGTTTGCAGAACACGGAAAGACCTATTGGCATGCGAAGTGTTTACCGACGAATGAGAAGTTTTGGCTTGTTTTCATACCGGCCACACTGGGTCCTCCCTTTAACTCGAGAACACCGACGTAATCGCCTTGAGTGGTGCAGACAACGGTCACTCTGGGATCAGTAATGGAACAGTCTTTAGTGACGAGTCTCGATTTTGTTCAGGCATGCACGATGGTCGTGCCAGGGTTAGAAGGCGACGTGGTGAAAGGAGGAATTCACAGTTTTTTGTTGAAACACATGTTCATCACACTGTTGGAGTTATGGTTTGGGGTGCTATAGCTTAAGGTTCCAGGTCACCTTTAATCTTCATCAGAGGTAGCATGAACGCGCAACGTTATATCCACGAAGTTCTAGAACCCCATCTTTTACCCTATCTTGACACCCTGGCAGATCCAACTTTCCAACAAGATAGTGTCCGACCACATGTTGCAAGAGTCACAATAGACTTCTTTCAACATAATGATGTCACATTGTTACCATGGCCACCAAGATCTCCCGACTTGTCCCCAATGGAGCACGTGTGGGATATGATGGGTAGGAGATTGCTCAATTTGCAACGTCCTCCTCAGACTCTAGAAGCACTTCGAGAGGAGTTGATGGTTGCCTGGAATGAGATACCACAGGAGGACATTGACCACCTGATCAGAAGCATGCCTAGGCGCGTTGGAGAATGCGTAGCACATCAGGGTGCATCCACACATTATTAAAGGTCAAAGGACTTTAAAGCAGTGCAATCATTTTGAAATTTTTATCATTTACTTATTATGCTTCATTAAGTACTTATACAAAATTTTATTAAAATAAAACTATTTAAACTGGGTGTTCGGATTTATATGTCACTTAGTATATCTAATATTTTTCGTAAATATGTATGGATTTTCAAGCATTAATCTGAGAAAATATATATTTATATAATATATAGGTAAATAGAAAATTCTCCATTGGTTATTTTAGGAAAACCTGTAGGAATGCTTATATAAAATTGTCTTTATAAAGAAAATGCATTCTAGATATAATGGTTTAATTTGCTAGTTAAATATTATTAAAAAAACATTCTAAGCCCCTTCTGCATCTTGCAAGTCCACTCCTCTGAAAAAAAAAACTTACTACTTGTGAAGCATTATTGAATACAAGCTGCTTTCCAGTGTATTTATTGGTGCTGAGCATGGTCAGTTACTCCGAGTGGCTCAACTGGGTCACTGAAAAGCAGCTGTATAATGCACCTTAAAGGACCCCCACATGTTATGCCTATGATAGTTCGAGATTTGGTTAATTTTTGAGAAAATTCAGTATGTGATTTTAGATATCTTGATGAAAAATGTCCATGGGCACAACTTGATCCTTTGACTAACACTTATTGATTTTGTTGAAATGTGACTTTTTTTAGTAAGGGAGCTAACTTAGCCATAACTATTTAGTGATTGTATATTATAATTTAAGGGACAAAGGTATAGTATTTTCACCTGTTACAATTTTTGAACGTACTACGACAAAAATAGTAATAATAATTGTGATAATTAAAAAAAGAATTTTTGATGTATCTCGATCAAGTTTCGATTATATGTCTTTTCATTAGGATGTTATGAACATAATTTTCATATCCACTCTCAGATAAATCCACGAATACCCAATAACTGTTACACTTCAAGGCTAGTTATTTATGGTTTAATGGCACAATAATGTTTAATGTCAGATAAATTAAGCTATGTGTTTATCGAAAAACTTACCCTTTTCCCTTTTCCACAAAAAAAGCACTCAAACAATCAACCCTTGGAGGTACACTGGAAGCATGCTATGGTAGTGAAAGTCACAGGTAAAATGGCTGCCGGCAAACGGGTCGCCTCAGGACGACTTGCTATTATCCCATTGGTCGCTCGAGGTCACACACATGCGCCGTAGCTGAATATATTTAATGAGCATTTTCTGAATATTGCAGATTTAATATTTTCCATTTATCGAAAAGTAAATATTTAATGAATATTATAAAAGAAATGTTGTATTTAAAATATTTAAAAGATATTGAATAAATATTTAATATAAAATATTATATTACAAATATTTATTAAATATTTGTTTAAGATAACAAATATTTAAATAAGATAAAAATAAATACTAAATAAATATTTAATGAATATCTCGTGTTATCGGAGATAAATAAAAAATTTTCTAATTTTCTGTAAAACAAATCGAGCGATTTTAAAAAATCAAGCATCAAAATAAAGGACTTCGAAATGCCTTTCAAACAAAGTATTACTCGAGACCCCTTGTCATTTAAAATTTTTAAGGGGTCACCTTTGGGGCGGTGAGGTAGTTTTTGGTTGGCCCCTTTGACGAATCTTTCTCGGCATTTTTTCTTTTAATTAGTGGTTTACGATAAATCCGTGGTGGGAAGTTTTCAAATGTACTCAGTACTGGTATATATTGCTAGTTACGTGTATTGGGAGAAATAGAGGGTTAAGGAGAAATTGCAATCAAGAGAAAAATTAGTTAAACATGCAGAATAGATAAATTAAACGAATCAAGTCAGTCGAACAAGCCCATACAATTAGTCAATAGACATCCTTTCCCTGACCTACAAATCTGGTCTGATTTTCGAAAAACTAACAAACCGACAAACCGATGGAAATGAGTGATTTTCATGTACATGTCTTATAATATCCGAAAAACGTATCTCATTTAGAAAATTTTTCGCGATTAAAATAATTCCTCGCTCAGTAGTAAGTAAAACTCAACAGCGGCCACAGTATATGACAACCGATATAATTGGGGATAGAAATATGACCAACCAAGATTGTTGCATTCCCAAGCAGTGATAGCCTCCAGATATCTCGTCGAAGAGGAAGTCGCTGCTAGTCTTGTTTTTTCCGGCTCACCGGCAGAGATCGGCTTGTCGCTATAATGTCTGCATCTAGAGTGCTATCACCAACTGTTTAGATAAACGTATGCAATATCTTATAGTTTGTGGTAGCTGTTGTTGCAACTGCTGTTGGTAAATCTACCAGCATCAATATCCAAACGCAATGTGGGGTTGAATAAAAGGCTATTGAGATAAAATACAATATATTGAAATTAATATGGAAATTACTTCTTTGGTTTAAAACACCCACTACTAAACGATACAAATAGAAAATAGAATGGCCTAATATGGTTGATGTTTGGAACAATAAAAAAATTGTAAATCTCGTATTGTCACGTCATCATTATAGCGAGAACTAACTTATGAGTCACATAACCTTGCAACAAATGTCTAGATCCAGATAAAACACAAGCCAAGTGAGAAGTTTGACAAGCTCTGTGGGAGAGGTTTAGTAAAGGTCATCTGTTAACTTGTATGTTGAGTGTTACTTAAATTTGGTTGCAAACGATGGAGATTCCCATTCGGAGTAGTCCAGGAACATTAGACTTTCCAGCTGAACAAAACGCAGTTGGTACTGTTTCAAAAGAACCAGTCTAATATGACTGGACTATACCGAATCGGATTTCCGAATGCTAAGTAGATACTCCATACTTGAGTTGCAGATTATTTTATTTAAAAAATACCAAAGTCAATAGTGATGATTGTAACTTCCCAATTTAATATAGATCATCGGGAATTATAATTAATGATAGCAATGAAAGAACCAAAATACTATCGAATGCTTTATTACTTAAACCTAATTGGTGGGGCAGTAGCCGATATCGACGTTGCCGCTGATGAGCGTGCTCGGCAACATTGTCAGATCGACCCTCTCGTCGTTAATGGTGACATTTCTGACGCATCCCACGTAGGGCGTACGTGATTGGATGCCGCGCACCTTTTTGATGAGACGGTGCCCGCCCAAGAAGAGGGCGCTGCCTGTGTCGGTGGATGTCGAGTGGGCGGGACCTATTTTCGGACTGGTGAACATGCTGTCTACTGACAAGGTGATGACGTTCTTCGATTTGACAGCTGGAAAAGAAATAGTTTGTTTGAAATTGCTGTGAATATATTGAATTCATAGAAAATTTTGAATCTCTTGGGGTTTTTGTTGACAATCAATAAATGAGATTATGCAGGGTGATTCGCAAGTCGTGATCAAAAATGAAACATCATACACAGGACCGCAGTTTGAGGGCGGTCTTTTATGTGTTGGAGTTTAAAAATAAAAAACATCCTTTACTTACAATCAACGTGCACCAGTGGCGGAGATACAGGAGATTATGGCATTATTTTTCCAAATAAAAATAGTACGCCATTGTTTTTTTTTCAAAGCGCGCAATTTTTAGAATTTCACCTTCAATTTGATACAAATAACTACCCTTGTTTCTTCCTAGAGTGCATTGTTTTCGTAAGAAATAAAAAAAAATTAGATAATCAAAGCTTCATTTCAAAAAGACTAACATTCTGAGGAATACACGTGCAGCATCTTTTTAATAAAGAATAACGTATTTCCGTAAAAGTTGTTGTGCCATGAATTTGTTGAAACGCATTATCTATTATTTCTTGTAACTGATCAATAGTATTAATTTCTTGAGCATTGGATAGGACGAGGAGAGTCTATAGAATGGCCTACTAGATCTCCCGATTTGACGCCATTAGAATTTTTTCTATGGGCTTATATGAAATCTATTGTATTTACACCCCAACCTGAAGGTTTGGATGAACTTCGTCAACGCATGATATCCCACATGTTTTTGAAAATGTCCGTCAGCAATTTGAACATCGCCTATATCATTTTTTTGGCTAATAACTGACAATATTTTGAACACTTATTGAAATAAAAAGTGATATTTTCGTGTGTTTCTGTCTTCTATCTGAACAAATTAAGATTTTTCTAATTTTCTTGAAAATGAATCGACCGATTTTAAAAAATCCCTTGTCATTCACATTTCTTAAGGAGATGACCATGTTGAAAGTGAGTGAAGTAGTTTGTGGTTAAAAAATTGTCGCATTGACAAATTTTTTGACATGTCTTCGCGTTTTTTCTTTTAATCAGTGGTTTTCGATAAATCCGCCGTAGAAAGTTTTCAAATAAAAACCCTGTATAATGCACCAATGAAAAGTTTGCGCCATACCCGACTCATAGACATAAATCTCATAAAATATCTAGATTTGTATGACAGCAGTTAAATTTGCATTTCATTGAAAATAACAGTGTCTCACTGTTGCTGTACAAAATTCTGCTTGATACATTCTATGAGAACATAAATAAAATTACTAAATAATTCTTTAACAAAAATATAGTAAACATGCGATTTACTTGACTACCGTGCTAAAAACCTTGTTCCTTAAGCCAGCTCTGTTAACAGGGAGCTCTCGCGCCCTCTACTGGGCAGTAGGACAACGACTTTTAGCCTTGACACTGTCAACGCGGCGCAGCGTGGTCGTGTATTGATCCTACCGTCCAGTAGAGAGCGCGACATCTTCCTGTCAACAGTAAGTAAAAAATAAATTTATTAACTCGATACTTGTTAAAGAATAAGCATTCTGTCATTTTGTTTGTCTTCAAAGATTTTATTGAGCAGTATTTTGTTTAGCAACAGTGAGACACTGTTATTTTCAACAAAATGTAAATTTAATGCTGTCATATCAATCTAGACATTTATATATTTCAAATTATTTACCTTGAATGGTATGCCACTGCCCATCACACAGATGGTACTTGTGATCAGGTGAATCTGCTGTGAACGAAGCCGTGACAGGTCCCTTGCCATTTTCTACTGTCAACTGTAAGTGTCCGTTGTGCAGTTCCAAAACATAATAGTCCTTCTTTCCGTGAGCTGCCGCTAGAACGCCAGATATCACACGCGGTTTGATGTCCATTTTCAAATTGAACACTTCTCCCACCTGTAAAATATAATAGAGGATATTGTAGATTGTGAACTATGTATTCTCTCATTTAAAACAGTTGAATATAAGATATTGTTAAATATAGGTACGGATCAGTCATTTTATATACAGCCGGGGATGAAATTTCTCACTAAATCTAGTATCGACACAGCTACATTTGCTGCGCAGCATAGTAGAAAACTGCGCAGCCTGAGCTGCAAGAAGTCTGAACACCCGCGCAACCTAAAAAGTCGCGTGTGCAACTCTGATGATTACGCGCAGTATTTTCTTGCTGCATGCAGTTTAGAAGTAGCCAAGTGTAAACAGCGATATTTTTAGGTTGCACGTGCAGCAAAAGATATCAAATGGGTTGAAACTTTTGCTGCGGCAGCCGGTGCAGTTTTTGTGGGGAAAGTGGAATCAGAGAGCATGATAAATAGCTTAAGCGATTTTATTCATAGAGGTACTTTTAAAGTATAATAAGCTTTACAGTTTTTTTTGAGAAGAAAACAAGCACGAAACATGTCAGTCGTACCAAAAAATCACCCATACACAGGAAAATCAACAAAATTAAGCCCGCCAACACGAAACACACGGAATGTGAGGTTTTGTTTTTCCACTGTGGAGTTTGCTGAACACTCTTTCACGATATTTCATCACCGATAAACATCTGAAAGTAATAGTTTTGGATTTTTCCTAATATTGTCAGCTGTCATTTTTGGTGTTGTTCCCTGATAAAATATCGTGAAAGAGACTTTATGTTTGCCAAGCCATCCGAGGGTCCTGATTCCTAATTCGTGGAGTCACTTTTTCTAAGAGATAATCAAAATCCGCAAAAAAATTTGATAGTGCCACTTCAGCAGTTCAGTCAATAAGTTATTATCTGTCCCGTATTGTTTACGCTTCCTTATCCAGTCTTTTACCCAGATTCTGTTTCTTTTTGTCTTGTCTACGTCTTTGCCTTTCTGCCAAACACACACATAAACATGCCGCTGCTTGCAACACAGGATCCATTGCTTTCCTTCGACACAATCTTCACTACGCCAAGAACAGTCTGCGCCGTACAAGAAAAACTGCGGGTGCAAACGAATGCTGCAAAAGTAGCGATTCGTTCTTAACAGCCGCGCAGCTTTTATTCTCGACCTGCAACTTTTGGAGGTAGCCGCAGCATGAAAAAAAAACTAAATGAAAACTGCGCATTTCGTACTACTTTCTGCTTATGTGTGAACATAATACGCAACTTTTGCTGCACCTGCTAAAAGACCGCGCAGTAAAAGTAGATGTGTCTGAAACTATCTTAACTGCAGAACATACCGTCACATACAATACGCCTTACAGCAACAAAAAAGCTCATATAACAGTTGCCAACCTGTTAGGGGCCATGTCCAAGATCCCGCCACACAAATTCCGTTCACTCTGCTACGCTATCTGAGGTTTGTCCGGAAAATACGTATAAAAAATTCGGGGCGTCGTGTCAAGGCGTTGTGGAGGGGTGACCCGGTGGTTCCTCCTCTCTCTGCAAACCCACGATACACATACACTGAAGATAGGATATTGCGCACGTGGGCGGAGCTTCGTGACGTCACCCGGAGAGTTGTCGGCGCGTGGTTACCAGCGGCAGGATTGTCGTAACGTTACTGCAGTTCACGTGTATCGTGATTAATACTATATAGTGCGATTTGTTTTTTTGATGGTTTTGTGACCTCTTCTATTAGTTATACATACTTTATATAGCCTGTGTGGTTGATAAATTGTTAAAAATGCGCTCTGCTGTTGTGGGATATAATTCCAACAAGCAGTCTAAACGGAACCCTTGCAAAGACATGAAGTTCTACAAATTTCCTCAAGACCAAAAAATGGCTATATCTTACAAAAGACAAACTCTATGTAAAAAGCGCTAGGGTTTTGGGATACACCCCTAAAAGTTACGGTGCTCTAAAAGATGATGCCATTCCTATGGAAAATTTACCCAAGTCTCTATCTTCATCTGGACCATAGAGTTTAATTATAGAATAAGGTATGTATAATATGTTGGGGCGAAACGAAGGCGCATACTCAGAGTATTGCAGCGCAGAGGAAGAGGATACTCTGGACATTCCACTAACTGCATCATTAACGAATAAACTGAATGCACCTGAAGTATCAGCTGACTATAACGAGGAAGTCTTAGTGGAAGAAATGGATGAGCTCGAGTATCATGGGCTGAAAAATTTGGCCGGCTTTGTTCGCCATAAATTGCAGGATGAGAGGTTGAAAAGTTCCTCATATGAAACTTACTCCTGGATACATCATCTTAGTGAGAGTGGATTACCAAAACCTTCCACAGCTTTCATGAATCAAATTGAGAAGCTTAATAAGGTGTTTACTACATTCAACGGGGACGGAATAGTGACAGAAAAGCAAAATTTTATAGGCGAACTTACGTTGAAGAGCAGCATCATTTTCTACAAGATGTTAACTTAGCACTAGCTGATGACATGTTATGAACTCGTTTCGTAGTTGTACGTGTTGCCTAAACGTCATGAGGATTGAGTTATCAATTTTTGCCTCTGATGTGATGCAAAATCTGCTTCAGAGATGACATTACTGGAGGTAACGGCAATGCATAGGTGCATAGAGAGGATTTTTGTGCTAATAATATGTGTCGATGATAATTCCATTGGATTCTTGTCTCAAATGTACTTACTTGGGACTCAAAGCTATAAATTAGGTGCGCATCCAGTTTTTTATCTATTCTGGAAATTGCATATGCAAATTTGATGAATTTCAAAAATGAGATAGATAAGAAATAATTATATTCACTGTACACTGTCGAATTGCAAGTCATATACATGCTAACAGTAATTACACACAACGCGGGAGCGATGCTGATTTCTCTAACTTTGAACATAACCTGACTTCAGAAAGGAGAACAAATAAATAATCCGTAGGGCACAGCTAATAGATATACTTCATTGGCAGCATATTCAGTAATGATTTTCAAATATAACAAATATCACTGATTTTATACATATGCACAGCAATACGCACAAACATCCAGATGCGATCTTGATATTCAACCAACTTTCTTCTCAGAGATGAAAACTATAGACTACTCGGCTTCACAAAACATATGCAACCAACAATGCCTGTAGACTTGTAGTTGAGCCACTTCTCCATAGATGAACGCGTACAACGATCCCAGTGAGTAAACATGGAATGACTGTTTGCACCCTAAAAACTAGCTAGTCTGCGAGATCACATTTTATAAGTTTTTCTTGACGCTTTATAAGTTTTTTACATAATACCCGTGCGTATCCCGTTCCAAAAATTATTTTCTCTTGACTATGAATGTTGTGATTGTCTGTTGGTGGTAGACGGTCTCAGAATGCGTGCATGTCAAGCACAAGAGGCAAAGTCTGGTCTATAGCCCACGAGTATTCAGGTCTTAAGCCTGCATGGTGGCTCAAACATAAAAAAATGTGATACACTACACCTACCTTGAATCTCTCCTTCAGTTTGACGTAAGTATTGGGATCCCCAGAAAAGTAAGAACCTAACTCAACATTTTCGGAACATGGTATTACTCCAAATGTTTCTGAAGGCTCGAATTGGAAGCTATTCATCTGTATGTTGCGGATACAGCCCGTAAAGGAACTTGTTGTATTCTAGAAAAGAGAAAATTGCATAATTGTTCATATATGCTCTGTCTGAAATGTATAAGTCACAATAGGCTACTTTATTGACTATTTCCCTCGTCTTAATTTCTACCAATCACAAACGTGCAATTTTGAATTACAAACGGTTTCTAGATGTAAAAATTGTATGACAGCACCTGTCAGCAGTTTTTTAGAGTTTACCCGCGTCAAAACTTGACAGCTGCTGTCACCAAAAATTACAATACCTTTGGTAACAAGTAATCTATGTGTATGCAGAATAATCTGTTACTCATGAAATAGTACCATAAGGGAATCTAGTTTTTTCGAAAAAAAAACCGAAAACATAATTCCTTTTTACAAAAAACATTCGTGCAGGTGCATAAATTTTTTGCCACCAGCCCCAATACGTCTTGGTAATAGTTATTTATTATACAACGGAAAAAAGTACTAGAGGAAAAATGACGATTTAATATTAAAAAATTATATGATTACAATATTTAAGTCAGCAAATTATCGATGTGAAATTTGAATTTTGAAATTAGTAGGCTATGTTGTACTTATAGCGACAATTAGTCCTGGTTGCTAAGGAAACTTTTAAAGTAATAAAATAGCTGTCAATTTAATTTTGTGATTTGATTTAAAAATTGTGAACTTAGTGTTTGTTTAGAAGTTATTTTTGATACTATAAAATAAAAAAAATGTTTGATTCCCTAGTTTTCTTTCACCCCACCTGAATTCGTAGAAGTAGCCAAAGTAGCTTCACAAACATTGTTGCCACCTAAATCGTTTATACAATATCAGGAAAAAAAGGTACTCATTTTTTCCCGGGGAAAAATAAGTTTCATAAAAAGTGACATTTTGTTACCTGTTAACGGAGATAAAATGTCAAACTTTTTTCACGGAAAAAATATTATGTAGCAACGTGTTTTTTCGATTATTTTTCGCAAAAATTAGATGCCCTTATAATATTACTTATGAATATTTCTAAGAGTATTTGACTTAGGAAAACAAAATATATCGACTTTAATGTTTAAAAAGTGGATATATTCGAGTAAGTCCAATTTAAAAACATCATTTTTTATTTTTAATACGAAATGGTGAAAACACTATCGGCCATGATGTGACGTCATAAAAATTGTTAACAAAGAAACGTCATCCGTATGTCATTTGCGGACAAATGTTTTCTTTGATTCCTTCTAAAAAAAACTCACAATCAACGCAAAAGGTCGTCTTCTCGTTTTATTGAAAGAAACAATCATGGACGTACGATTCATAAAGGCAGAAAGCATAAATTTGCCAAAAATTGACACATTGATGATTGGTAGTCATTTTTCCTTCAACTCAGATTTCTGCTCTACTGAGCTGAGGAACATCAATACTTCTATGTAAATACAGTGCATCTGATATAATGATAGACATAAAAAGAAAGGATAACTTTCAATAATTATTATATCTAATATTGTATTTCTTCTTACACATCTGCAAGAGAATTGCATGGTGATGGTACGATAAAATCTGCACGGTAAAATGTAAAATATGTCCCGAACATAAGGTATGCTCCAAGCAATACATATGCATGTTGCGTATATTCATTTCTCTGGAAACTCTAGCCCACAGCTTTCCGATGTGTTTTTAAATTCTTGGACGATGCAATAACGATAATTACTATATTTTTCATGTAAACTAGTAGGAGGCATGTTTATATGTTTAAGAGCTTGAGAGGTTATGCTGCTGTCAGCTGCTGTTCACAAATGGTATGACGTATGGACCAAAGATGACGGACAGCGTTTTCGCCTGCTTAAGAAAAATATATTTTTAAATTTCAAGGTCTCAGAAAAATACAGTCATGATTTTTTACTACTAATAGTAAAAATGCTTCTTGAGAATATACTCACCAGGTTAGCTTGGACCAGATTATATTCATCAGGATCTACTCCTCCCATATAGAATGGAACGTTGAGCTCCAAATGTATCGGGTTCTGGGCGCTACCTTCTGCTAACTGTTCGTTGATGACCAGTTTACCATTTCCTTGGTCTCTGTTGAATTCAACAATATGCCATGTGTCATCGTTGTAGATGAATCTTGATTTGATAATGACTGCTTCTTCTCCTTTGAATGTGAACACCACCTGCGGAACATCGCACCGTCTTATTTGGATAGATCACTCACTTTGTGTATTATATCGTTACTATGCTTTCGTTCATTGTCCGAGAGACCATTCTGAGGAGCAGCCAAAAAGCACGAAACAGCTGTTCATAGTTGGCTGCTTTTGGTCAGACGGAGGAAAGCAGAACATGTTTATAACAAGATTAAAATTGTAGATGTCTCCTAAATCGTGGAATTTGGAGTTTTTTCAAGCAGGTGTTATTAACGGCAACAGATAGATCACAAAAGATGAATAATTATGACACATAGAAGAATTATATGAGGTACACTTGTAAAACAAAAATATCCACCCATTAAAACAAATAAAAGGTACCTGACACAAAACATATCAGGAATTTGACCATCTTCAAATTTAATGAAAATTCCTGCAGTGGTAGTTTATGTTGGGTGTATTGTCCAATGGGCACAAATCCCAGAAATAGGCTTACCCACAGGGGATAAGGCGCCTAGCTTTGACACCCTTTATCTCAAATAGAAAGCATTTCAAGGCCTTGTGCCCATTATAACATTTGGTCAGCACAACATGAACTGTAGATAAACTAATTTTCTTTAAATTTGACCGGTGGTCAAATTCCATCTGATTTGTGCCTGGCACTTTGCATAGAGGTTATTCTCAATAATTTTACCTTTCCTTCTTCAAGGTATACAGCAGCATAGTGGTTGTGATCTCTGTTGGATGAATAGAATAGTATACCCTCACTTTCCCTAGTCTTGAATTCTAGTCTAAAGTCGAACCTCTTCTTGTATTTACCCCTAGGAGTGCTGAACTTCAATCTGCTATACCTCTGGGTGCCTGAATAATAGAATTTGGTATATCTTCATTGTCTGGGGAGTAAATTAAGAAAAATTCTCTTCCCGTATGCCCAACGGTCTGTGAGAAAGGTATTTCATAGAGGAGAAATGTCAGCAAAGAAACTGTGTCATTTTCTTTCCCTCTCCATCTTCGTTTCGCCAGGATACATCCGTATCCGGATGTATGGGCATGTGTATTTACTTTTGTAGTTGCATATGTGCATTCGTTCCGGGCCTGATGAAGCCAACAAGCAGAAATACGTATCGCTCGGGTTACCTATCCTACTTTCTGCTCGAATTGACTTTCCTTCTTTTTTACGGAATTTGCCCATTATTTTTCTATTTGTTATATATATATATATATATATATATATATATACGTATATATATATATATATATATATATAGGGTGTAAACGTTATGGTAGTCATTATTGAAATGGGTAATAGGGCGGGAGTCAAAACAAGTCAAAAAGTTCATATGACCCATGCTCCAAAAGTCAATAGATTTTTGTCTAAATGGCTTTATAGTTTACAACTTTAAGTGCTTTATATCGACCACAATCACCACAATCTTACTAATTTTTATAATCTAATCTAAAACGTTTTTAAATTGGGTAATTAACAAATAAATGGCATTATGTTTTTATAAGTTAAACCAAAATTTGTAGTCAGTAAGTAAGTTTCATTAAATTAAATATTTAAAACACACATGACAACAGCGCGTCGTCATCACTCTTATCGAACCGGCAATCGATCGCAAACGGTAACAGTGGTTAGTTATCGGGCATCGGGCGTGCTGTTTTGTTTTTGTTCGCGTACGTCGTCGTATTTATTTACAATGTTCTCGAATCAAGAGTTCGCCGACATGTTGTTAGTTTACGGTGAAGCTCGTCAGAATTCAAATCTTGCAGCTCAAGTTTATCGCGACAGATTTCGCCAACGGGTACACCCAGACAGAAGGTCATTCTTTGTGCAAGTGTAGCCAAGACTTCGAGATACAGGAAGTGACCAGCCCACTAATATTCGCACTCGTGAAAGACAGGTTACTGTAGAGCAGGAGGAACAAATTTCATATATCGTGGAAATCAATACAGATATCAGCACTCGGGAATTGGGCCACCACGTAAGGCTATCGCATATCTTAGTCCATATAATTCTACGGGGAAATTTACTTTATCCCTACCATGTACAACGAGTGCAGGCCTTGTTACCAGAAGACTATCCTCGTAGACTAACATTCTGTCAGTGGTTTTTGCACAAAAACATTGAAAATCCGGATTTTTTTATAAACATTCTAGCGACGGACGGATGTACGAGTATTTTTACGCTAGACGGGATATTAAATTTCCATAATACTCATACGTGGGCCCAAGAAAATCCTCATACCATTCGTGAAGGTCATTTCCAACAATGTTTTAAAATAAATATTGGTGCGGGTATTCTTGACGATCAGGTAATTGGCCCTATCGAGTTACCCCCAAAGTTGTCAGGAGAAGGATACCTTAGCTTTCTAGCCAATAACCTACCAGAACTTTTGGAACAGACCTTAGAAACATGCCATTATAGCGGAGACAGAATTTGTGGTTTCTTCATGACGGGGTACCACCACACATTTTTAGAGGCGTCATTCAGTATTTGAATGAACATTATCCAAATCGCTGGATCGGTCGAAATGCTCATGACCCTCGAAAATGGCCAGCAAGATCTCCTGACCTCAATCGGATGGATTTCTGGTATTGGGGAGAACTTTATGAGGCTGGTCCAATAACAACTGAAGCACAACTTCGCGATAAAAATTTAATGTGGCTGAAATAATAAATGGGCAACTCCGAGGACCTAGAGTAAGAAGAAACCGGGCTCGTCGTAATGAAGCTTGTGTGGAAAGTGGAGGACGACATTTTGAACACCTTCTTTAAGTACAAAAAAAGTGCAGTGTGGGTTTTTTTAAAAAAAACAATGTATGTATCAAAATTGTGTTCCCTATTTATAACTGGATTTTTTTAATACGTTCAATAAACTTTCACACACCAGGTGAAACGCTGAGACAGTTAGTGGTAAGTCCGTTTTTTTAATTGTGTGCATTTTACGAGTACATTATCAAATAAAGAAATAATACCTAAGAGCCAAAAATAACAAACTCCATCTTTATTTACACTGCGTTCTGTCGTAATTTGCATCTGGCATTGCGGCGTTGTCAGATTTTATTTTACTTAAATCGGGATATAACTGATCTAGAAGTGCAATAAAACTTCTTTGATCACGCTAACTAGCCAAATGTGAATCCTGTTATATAAGAAATTGTACAGAAGGATTTATATATTCTTTAGAGTAAATAATAAATTCTGGGAAAGTTTTTATCAAACTTCAAAGTTATGTCTATTAAAAACTGGGAATGGAATGAAAATACCTTCAAAATGAGAACTAATGGCTATATCAGGTTCGTCACAACGATTAATTGGTTATAGTAAAAAATCGTTAATTTTTTTCCAAAAAGTGCATAAAATTGAATATAAAATAGTATAAAAAAGTTAAAACATTGTAGTGATTATCTATAAAAAAATCTTCAATCATGCTCAAGCTATCTAGCGGCTGCTGCAACACATTAGACATTTAGGGTGAGTTTTAAGCTTATATCTAACATAGATTTCAACTAATCCAGCCTGTACATGAATAATTTAATTTTTTTCAAATACGTTCTCTGCATTTAATTTTTGTCAAGCTAAGGAAAAGGAGACCACCTGCCTCCCTTGGGTACACCCTTGATGCTATATGAAACAATCTTACGCGTACGAAGTCGCGAGTAGCAGCTAGTTTTCAATAAATAAACAAATATTTCAAATGAAAGTAATGTATCCCTGCAGCTCTGTATGTGTAACTGAAGCACGACGATTGCACTTACCTAGTCTGTATCCAACCTCCTTCTCATTTTCCCTCTTTGGATCCAAGGGCAAGGCGCACCCTTCGAGCTTAGGTCTGGGCGTGGTGAGTGGCACAGTATCGACAGGTCTTCTTACCTCAGGGGCGAGGGTGCTTAGGGGCGGCACACCCCTGGCCCCTTCGGTGCTCGTTCGCAGGAAATCATTGCCTCCGTCTCCTCGTCCTGCCTTGGCTAGCAATGTCAGACAAAGAAAGATCAGGAAGTGCGTTGGGTGCATTTTTAACCGAGAATGATACGGCGGTAATGCGGTAATTTGTCGTTTGGGAATGATAACCGGAGTGCGATAAGAGGGGTCAGAATAACGTTGGATGACCGATCCGGTGTACGAGGGCTGAGAAGTTGATAGTTACGGCGAATTGAAGGCGAAAACACCGCTGGAAAAATGTTTCTACAAAATTTATCATTTTTTCATTTTCATCATGTGGGGCTTTAGAATAAAAAAGCGTAGCAGGAATCGTTTTTAGAATTATACATGGTTTCCCAAAAGTATGGACACACCCTAATATCTCAGCAAATAATGGTGCTAGAAAAAAACTTATAGTACAAAAGATTTAATAAATCAAATTGTGCTTCTAGTGGCGGCCTTGTATTTGGCGTTGACATTCACATTGAATGTCATTTCTAGGACAAGTTATTTCTTTCAACGGGAAAAAAAGGATATTTTTACCTTTAATGTGAACCGGCTCATCTGATGGTGGTCTCCATTCTGACCTTTACTATTTGATTTTTTACATGGAAACTCTCAATTTTGATCCCAGCACTGAAAATGGAGAAGAAAGGAACAGTTTTATATTTTCTATGTACATATATCGCCTTTATTTGTAAGACGCATCGAGTCGCCACGGTAGACAGCTACCGAACCCGATTAAACCTTTGAACATTCGATTTTTCTCCATTTTCATCGCTGGGATCAAAATTGAGGATTTCCATACGAAAAAATCAATTCTTCAAGGCCATAGCTGTGCTGCTCGGTGTCCTGCAATTTTCGCATTAAAAGAACATCCTTCTTTTTCCAGCTACCCGCTGCTTCACAACATTGAGCAACTAAAGCGCAACAATTGACCTTGAAATAATCTCTAGACGTAATTTTAGCTCCTATGATATTTATATCGTTGAAAACGAAATTTTTTTGGTTTTCTATTTCTGCAATAAAAAAATCGGGGCTCCCATTCGAAAAAATCACTTGCCCTTTAAATTACCTTCAAGGTGAATGTCAACGTCAAATTCAACGTCACCACTAGATAGACCATTTGATTTCCTAAAACTCTTGTGTTTAACGTTTTTTATAGCGCATTTAGTTTCCGAGATATTTGGGCATGTCCAAACTTTTAGGACATCCCGTATAGAACCAATACCATTACCACTAGGCACACAAATGTTTTCGCAATAGAAGACCAGTGGCGTACTGGGATATTTCGACCCCTAGAGAAGAAGAAGAAGAAGGCTCAAGTTTGACATTGAAAATTGTATGAAGTATGTAAGATGAGCAATCCAATCTAAGTACGGTGTTATTTGAAACATATTCGTGTTTTGTGTTTAATTAGTCATGTCAGTCAGAAGTGTACAACACAATAGTCTATACAAAGTGACATATAAATCCGAACACCCACTTTAAATGGTTTTATTTTAATAAAAGTTGGTGAATGTATTTATCTTACTGTAAATAACAGCCTTATCAGTTGGACATTCCGGTTTTTATACTGCTTTTTTTTAATTCACTAATGCTCTAAAAATGAATATTTCAGCCGCAGTAAAGAATCAACGTTGGCGGATTTTGGTTCTTGACATCCTTTACGATCGGTTACGATGCCTAGAGTACGGAGACCTGTACGATTTCGTCAACTTAGTGAGTTTGATAGGGGCCGTATAGTGGGACTTCGGGAAGCTGGACTTTCTTTTCGGGCAATTGCAGTAAGAGTGCAAAGAAGTGTAGACACTGTGGCTAGGTGTTGTCAGGCATGGCTTCGAGAAGGCCGTACGCAAAGAGCAAGGGGCACTGGACACCGCCGTAGAACAACAGACCGTGAAGATCGCCGCCTAAGATTGTTGGCCTTAAGGGACCGTTTCTCCACTACCAGGTCCATTGCAAATGAATGGTTTGCAGAACACGGAAGACCTATTGGCATGCGAAGTGTTTACCGACGAATGAGAAGTTTTGGCTTGTTTTCATACCGGCCACACTGGGTCCTCCCGTTAACTCGAGAACACCGACGTAATCGCCTTGAGTGGTGCAGACAACGGTCACTCTGGGATCAGGAATGGAACAGTATTGTCTTTAGTGACGAGTCTCGATTTTGTTTAGGCATGCACGATGGTCGTGCCAGGGTTAGAAGGCGACGTGGTGAAAGGAGGAATCCACAGTTTTTTATTGAAGGACATGTTCATCACACTGTTGGAGTTATGGTTTGGGGTGCTATAGCTTATGGTTCCAGGTCACCTTTAATCTTCATCAGAGGTAACATGAACGCTCAGCGTTATATCCACGAATTTCTAGAACCCCATCTTTTACCCTATCTTGACACCCTGGCAGATCCAACCTTCCAACAAGATAATGCCCGACCATATGTTGCAAGAGTCACAATAGACTTCTTTCAACATAATGATGTCACATTGTTACCATGGCCACCAAAATCTCCCGACTTATCCCCAATTGAGCACGTGTGGGACATGATGGGTAGGAGATTGCTCAATTTGCAACGTTCTTCTCAGACTCTAGAAGCACTTCGACAGGAGTTGGTGGTTGCCTGGAATGAGATACCACAGGAGGACATTGACCACCTGATCAGAAGCATGCCTTGGGCGCGTTGGAGAATGCGTAGCACATCAGGGTGCATCCACACATTATTAAAGGTCAAAGGGCTTTAAAGCAGTGCAATCATTTTGAAATTTTTATCATTTACTTATTATGCTTCATTAAGTACTTATACAAACTTTTATTAAAATAAAACCATTTAAACTGGGTGTTCGGATTTATATGTCACTTAGTATATTTAAGAGCATATGCTTAAAGAAACTGTTTAACAAGCTTAATTTCGCATTGGAATCAGTTTCATCTTTTATTTAGGCATTTGGCGACCTCAAATATAAGCAATACTGTCTCAAAGGATTTTTTTAAGTTGAGTTTTTGTAACTAAAACGAGTAGGCTCTTTGCTCAGAGTGAAATAATCTTACACAAAATCTATCGATTTTTAGCAATTTTTTTTACAATGTGCATATAGTGGAACCATGACGATTGATCAAGAACAGATATTCATTTTATTTTTATAATTGCCTAGAAATATTATCACACATTAGGAAGAAAGTTATCCGATTGCTCTTGTATCCATAGGTCGCTGTTATTCCAATATATCATTAATACATTATCAGTTCAGATGATAACGTTCGACGTATTGTTTTAAATTAAACAATGAATCGCTTGAGCTCCATGAAAGATTCTATTATATTTGAATGCTTTATTTACATTATGCATTTTATCAATGTAAGTTACGTTCGAACGAAATAAGTTATCACCGAATGCACAAAAACAGAATGAAGAAGAAAAAAGTAATGTTCCACATAAATACTGTTAAGTCACACCCACGGAGCAATAAAATAATTTCCATGTATTTTGATGAGAGTTGGTATTATTAGATTCAATTGGTTCAGAAAAAATGCTTACCAGCTTCCTCAGGGTTGACTGTCACGAATACCGGAGACTGCGTGGTGACAGCTTGCAACGGTTTCACTGGTTTCAACGTCGGTACTGTAAAAATCATCATGAAAAAGGATGTGTTGCGTTTCAATGGTTGAGGGTCTTAGGTTTAAACCTTAGAATCCGGGTCCACTTGATGGATTTTTAAGACCTTGAGCGTTTAAAATACTGTATATTAAAAACTTTACCTAGTCATTTTGTGCACTTTTCATTTTTAATTGTTTTATTTTTTTTAACTTAGTTCCCTTATGTATACAGTTACTGGAACAAGGAAAAAGATGGATTTTAGCTAACAAGTTATCGCTAAGGCCCGTATCGTCAGTCGTCCCTACAATTGTAGGGCGCGTTTATGGCCTCCTTGATTGTCATAGTTTTCTACTTCTCCGTGTCAGAGCTCTATTTTGAGGTAATGTTACAAACATCTATTTGCATCAAATTGTGCTTGCTTTTGAGTTATGTCATGTTTTATCAGCCTGAAATTTTCTACAATTTAAAAGGAAAACATATCTTAACAATAGGAGAGCGCTGACGCTGACACGGGACGAGTGTAATCTAGAAATTTTTGAAGGAGAGAAAAGAGTATGACAATCAAGGAGGCAATAAACGCACCCTACAATTGTAGGGATGACTGACGATACGGGCCTAAATGACAAAAATGAAAAATGACCGGTTAGTTGTGAAATCTAAACCAGTAACACATATAGGATTGATACGAGCCTAAACTAGATATCTCTCACATTAATTATTTGCATTCTAGACTGTCTACACAATTATTCATTCTTAGGGAGCTAAGCAGATGCCTCGATAACCATGCTTTGCGGGTAGTTTACTTCAGCATGCTAATCATATTAGACGAAAATACCCCTGGTTGTAATTGTAGTCTCGTTTTATTGCTGCAAGTTGTTCAAGGTTGTATTAAAAAAATGGAAGCATCAAATGGGTACACCAATTTTTGTGGGAAAACTTTTTATTCCCCAACAAAGAATGAGAACACGCATTTTTTGAGATTCAATCGAAAGTGTTGGCAGGAACGGCAAAACTCTTCATATAAGATTTGTAGGTACTTATGAGGCCTACAAAATGAGACCATACGTAAAAAGATTCGGATAATATCAAAAAAGTTATAGCCGAAAACTGAGGCAAACTGCAGGTTTTGACACTTGTTGGTAATGCGACGTTACTTTCTCGCAGATATTTGAAATTCTTCAATTTCGTAGGATTCCTACTTCTTAATAACCACAACAAAATTGGAGTAGGTTGGTCAAGTAGTTTTTGAGAATACCTAATTGATTATCCCAAAACATATTTTCCGACCATCACTACTAGTTTACTGAGCAATATACAGGGTTAGTTCAAAGGGCATCTTATAGATAAATACACTAGTTTATCTTGACAATATGAATCGCAAACCATTCCGGAAGATAAATGTTATTCTTATGCAAAAAAACCATGGGTTACGTATTTTCTTCTAAATAAAATTTTGTATTTGTGAGTAATTCTCCACAAAAGTTGATAGACATATCCGCTTTGTTTTAAAATGTAGTAGCGTATGTCTTCGAACATCATAGCGCATTTGTTCAATTACTCACAAATACGAAATGTTTGAATTTGTTTAGAACAAAAAAACGTAACCTTTTTCTCATAAAAATAACATTTATCCTTCGCAATGGTTTCTGATTTATATCGGCGAGGTAAACATGTGTATTTTGCTGTTAAATGATCTTTGAACGAGCCCTGGAATTGCTCAATAAACTAGTAGTAATGGCCGGAAAACAGGTGTTTTGGGATAAACAATTAGAAATTCTCAAAAAACTACTTGACCAATATACTCTTATTTTGTTGTTGATATTTTGAAGTATGAATCCTACGGATTTGAAGAATTTCAAGTAGTTGCGTGAAATTATCGTTCCATTACCAACAAGTATCAAAACTTGTATTTTGCCTCGTTCTTCGGCCATAACATTTTTGGTATTAGTCGGATGTTTTTACGTGTGATCTCATTTTCTAGGTCTCATAAATACCTAAAAATCTTATATAAAAACTTTTTTCATTCCTGTCAATTCTTCCGATTGAATCCCAAAAAACACGTTTTCTCATTCTTTGTTGTCAAATAAAAAGTTTTCTCACAAAAATTGGTGTACCCATTTTATGCATCCATGTTTTAAATACCTTGCATCAATGAAACCAGACTAGACTGTACAATGATTTCGGGGAAAGGGCCATTTTTCGCTCATAACACACTCAAAAATAAAAAGTTCGATTCCAGACTATTATTGAATTTATTTGTGAACTTCCAGACGTGTATTTTTTCATTATATAATATTTACGGTATAAATAATGTAATGTGCTTCAGAAATTATTGCCAAGAAATAGAGTATTTAGCGCTTTTTGTGCATTTTTGTTATTTTTCGATCTTTGAATCATGTTTTCCCTATGAAGCGTTCCATGAACCATATTAACCTTAATGTTCAGTGAGTCTACTTATTATAGGCTTGTATATGAGTATTGATTTGTTTTGGTTCAGTGAGCGCATCAATCCAAATATACGTAATATATTCTGTGGAAGAGCGCGAGTCACGCTGCAATCGCTGCCTGTTCAGACATGATTTTTCGCGCTCGAAAGTATTTACGTAGTAAAGGTATAGAAGCTGTGTTGTGCTGTCGCTTTCTACATTTATTGTGATTGTTGTAAAATGTGGCGAAAAACAAACAGTGGTTTCCGTAGCTGCTAGAACAAAAACATTATAGCAATACTTAGAAAATCTAAAAACTGTGAAGCAGGTAGGTTGTGTCCTAAATGCAGATCATATTCATTTCGCGTCGCTCAATCTCAAAAGACTCTCCCACTTCATCTTCTGTGTGGACAACAAGAGTTCTTACTTCAACAAGTACCTCTGATGATACTTGAGGATGGTCTGATAGTGATTCGAATGAAGAAGACAAGGAAGAAGATTAGTAAAAAATATATTGAGTGTATGAAAACTGATTATCTTTTATTATTGTTTATAAAACATATATAGCCCTCAGATAATTATTTAATTTATGTATACTACGAATTTCAGATTTTATTTGAAATAAGTATGTCTTCTTCTTTGTTATGAAGTATACTCTTCATAAATGTATATGTCATATCTATTCGCTGATGGGAAAAAAGGCTCTTATCAGCCACCTTCATTGCTAATATGATTAGAATATATGGCACAAAGCTCGGCAGCATCTAGCAAAATTTTTATTTTACAAAAAACGGCTTTAGTTACAAATTCCATTCATGGATCAACGAGCAGAAATCACTTCAAAAATCTACAAAGATTGCCGCTTCCATCAATTTATATTTTTGAAGTCCTATGTTATGTACAAAGAAATCTAAACAAATATCAAACAATTGCAAAAATATACACTCATGCACTACGTAATCTTAATTACCTGAGGAATCCATACTCGCGACTGAATATGATTTAAAATAATAGACCTAACGTCACATTATATAATTAATTCGACAATGCAAATAAAGAACATAAGTTTGAAAATATGTCTAACCGCTACTTCTCAAACTTTGCCAAAAGAGCTTTGCTTAACCATTGTTTCGGTGCAGTTGATGAGTACGTTAATACTATGACGTCACCTGTATATTTAATTAATTAGTTTGTAATACCTCAAACGTACATTGTATATATGTCGGCGTCAAACGCTGAAATCCGTCATTCCCCGAAAAGCCTACTCTGTCCTCGTATTGCCGGCAAACACCGCAACAGTTTGATTATTACAACGTTTGACTAAGCATTTCAGTTATTCCCTGTAATGACTGAACAATTTCAGTCAAACACCGTAACAACCACATTAACTTCGTTACGGCATTTGCTTGATTCAGTCATTCATTGTACCAGTTTTGTGTTCATTTGCTTGAGTATACATCGTCTTTTCCGTAAAAATGTCGTAGCATTCAGAATTGTTTTACAAGAAACTCAGTGAATAATACTATGACAGTGTGAATAAGAAAAACCCATGGAATACAAATGAGTTGAAGGAGGTAAGTTAATTTTTATAATTTTGTGAACCTAATCTAAATTATAACGTCATAGGCTTGCTCAACACCAGCATCCAGTTGCTGGATTTCGCATATACAATAAATACTTGATTAAAAAAATAATAATAAAGGCAACGTTTTAATCTATTCTTCTTTCTTTTCAGATTAATTCATGCTTGACTATTTTTCTTTTAATATTATTGATAACGTAGTACCTTGTTATATTATGAACGAGCCCCTTCCTACTTCAGTTGGCCCAACTATTGAAATCTTAGTTTTTTTCTTATCAAACACAAATAATAAAAATGTAGCAGGGTGTTACAGGTTTAAAATATTAACAATGAATTATAATAACACCAACATTATCACTCCCTAATCAAATTAGCAGCATAAAAATAACACATGTTTCAATTACAGCATATTAACCTATTTTCATTTCAATGCAAAATAAGTCTATAACGCATAGGTGGCTGTGAAAAATAAAAGCCATGACCATGACAATTGTTTTTATTAATCACAGCTGTCAGAATACGTTTAAAATAGTTTTGGGTAGTTAAGGTTTCAAAATGGGTAGAGGAAAGGTTATTAGTGAAAAAATTCGGTTACTGATAATTAAATTTTTTAATTCTGGGAAATCAAACTCAGCAACTTTGTTAGACTTATCGCGGTACAGTGTGAGAAATTGTTAGAAGATATAACGTAACTGGTTCAGTTAATATTAAGCCACGATATGTGAAAAAAAGTAATATCACAAATGCCGACCGAAGAGCATAATCGTGAAAAACAGGCGTGCCAATTATTTACAATTAAGTGCTCTGTGGAGTGACGCTGTTGGAAGGAGAATTTCGAGGTCCACAACTCATAGAGAGGCCCACAAACTGGGATTTAGCACTTGCAAGGTAAGTTTTCTTATAAAAAAAAGTGAAGTAAAAGCCCTAAAGTTGCACAACTTGTTTATAGGCCAAAGAAAAGCCACTATTAACTCCACTGCAAAAGAAAAATCGGCTTAGATGGGCTAAAGAACATAGACAATGGACACCTCATCAATGGTGTGCAATACAATGGAGTGATGAGGCCCGATTCGAAGATTGTGTTGGTGACAGTTGCAGTAGAGTTATTCGCAAAAAAAATATTATTAATAATAATAAAATAATGTACCACTTTTGAAATGGGTTTCTAGCAGTCCAGATCTGTCACCCGTTGAAACTTGTGGCACGAGATGAAAAAGGTTCTACGACAACATCCTGCTCGTACAATCACCGAACTGAGACCAAAGCTTCAAGAAATATGGGATTGTTTTACATCAAATTTTTTCCAAAACTTGGTTAACACTATGGCACAAAGAATTTCAGCCGTAATAAAAAATGAAGGTGATGTTACTCAATGGTAATCTTTCAATTGTTGCTTTGTTAACTTCGCGCATTTATTCGCACATTGTTTATTTGTTCAAATGTTCTATTAGTTATAGGTCTAAGTGATTTCAAACATGTATTTTTTACAACTAGAGTGTATCTAAAATGTTTTTGCGAAAATAAATTGTTTTAGAAGTAAATAGTTCCGTCATGTTTAGTTTATAAAGGCATATTTTGGTACAAATCTTGAAGTGGGCCAACTGAAGTGGGAAGGGGCTCGTACTTCATTGGAGCACTCTATTGGTCACAGCGTTTGACTAAAATAGGCGAATGCAGTAACTAAGTGAATGTGGTTGTTACGGCGTTTGACTGAAATTGTTCAGTCATTACAGGGAATAACTGAAATGCTTAGTCAAACGTTGTAATAATCAAACTGTTGCGGTGTTTGCCGGCAATACGAGGACAGAGTAGTCATTTCAGGGAATGACGGATTTCAGCGTTTGACGCCGACATATACATAATGTGGTCAACGATATGGTATGAATACTGGAGTGATGTAAATGGAACTATGCTTATCGACGGTAGGCACAGAGTTACCTCAGGAGTGCCGTAGTCAAATTTTTAACTGGGCATTTCGAATTTTAACTAAACACGCCCCTGGTTTATTTATGGGTACGATCAAGGGACTTTAAGATGAACAAAAATTTCTGCTTGCTAATTGATGAGCAGTTCCATAGTCTGTAGCTAAGAAAGTCAACTGATTGTGAAACTCACAGAAATAAACTAGGAGATATAAAATGTTCCTAGATGGTTCTAGTTTCATCCTAAAAAAGTATAGGACTAGCAGGTTTTGATCCGTAGGAAGTCATATGTATTCCAGCTTTCGTGTGGTAAATATGCTTAAATTTAGGAGGATCAGGGGTATTCCCGCATTTCTGTTTAATTCTGGGAGTTTTATTATTTTGAAAGTTTGTCCACCTACAGATGACTCTTGTTTTTATAAGCAGGTGAACATATTTTTTCATCTCCCTGAAACTGTCCTTGTAAGGGTCATGGTCACGATCAACACGACACTTTCCAATACCTTCCTACAAGGTGTTTTAACGAAATAGTTATTTTAGTATACTGATTCTTCGAGTTTTTAGTCTGAGAACTACTAACGGCACATTCGCCATTTGTCCAAATCAGGAGAACTTTGGTGCCAAGGAGACTTTTAATTTTGAGACAAATCGATTGAGACCCATTTTCCATATGTTTTGTTCCAGGTCCTTTGATTGCTACTGCTACTGAATTACGACTTACCAGGTACTTCAACAGAGACGTCATGGTCCAAGATACACTTGTCAAGCACTGCATAGCTGCGGTCCGTAGTATTAGCAAAGTTCATCACCCTGCCCATGATGGTAAGGTCTGCTATACACCCGCGGAAGGGCACAGATGAACCCACACGTAGATGTGCGGGTTGTAATGGCAAGCCACCCACGTGCAGTGTGGAGTACAACACGTGGATTTGTGGTGGAGGGTGGTCAGTTCTGTAGAAAGGTTATATATATATATATATGTATATATGTATACAGGGTGGCCCATCCATGTGTAGACGGAATATTACTCATGAACAAATACATTTTGGGAAAATCTATTTATGGCATGTTATACATGACATTTGAGTGCACATTTTTAAAATATTGGCAATTATACAGGGTGTCCCAATTTTTATCTATATATCAAAGCTGTGATTTTTCAAATGGAATGCCTCAAATTTTGTTGCATATTTAATCCTTTCCTCCATATTTTCCGGGGTAGATGGTGGATATCCATAAACTTCTTGCTTAACGTAGGCCCAAAGAAAGAAGTCACCATACCTGGTGATCTAGGAGGCCAAGATTTAGGCACATCACGACCGATCCAACGATTGTTACTCCAGGTGTCCAAATAGTTACGCACACGATTATGATAATGCGCAGTAGCGCCGTCATGTTGGAAGTACATTATGCATCCAAGTTTGCAAGTTGACACCTTCCAAAAGCAAAGGCAAATGCTCCATCAAAAAATCCTGTACCTGCTAATCTGTTGTCGAAAAAGAAATGCCCGATAACTTGTCTGCCAATAACTCCTCCCCAAACATTCAGGCTCCATTTATTTTGGAAATCTATTTGCCTAACCCAGTAATGGTTTTCCGTCGCATAACAGCACATGTTATGCCTGTTGACAACATCTATGCTGTTAAAAGTTGTCTCGCTAAAAAGAACCTTATCAAGGAAAGTATTGTCTTCACTCACTTTATTTAGCATTATTCTACTAAACTCCTTTCGAGCTGTGAAATTCTATAAAATTTGAGGCACTCATTTGAAAAATCGCAACTTTGATATGTAGGGCGAAATTGGGTCACCCTGTATAATGGGCAATATTTTATAAATGTGCCCTCAAATGTCATGTATAACATCCCATAAATAGATTTTCCCAAAATATATTTGTTTATAATATTCCGTCCACACATCCATGGGTCACCCTGTATATACTTTTGATATATTTTACTTACACTTTAAATCCGTAATCGTCCGTATCCAATCTCAAAATGGTATCGTCGTGAATGACAGAAACCACATGCCATTGTCCATCGTTGAAGGTATCTTTGGAAACTAGCTCTATCTGCTGACTGATAAGAACCAAGTGGCCATCTCTCAAAGACAGCGAAATTCCGTTGTCCTCATTCAAATCTCGTACGTAGAAGATCATGCCGTCAGGTTCCATCGTCTTGAACTTCAAGCTAGCATTGAACCTGTTCTGGATGGAGATTCTGTCCCAGGAGATGTAGCCTTGATGGCGTTGCTCAAATGACACCATTGGGGCGAACTGGAAAAAATATTCAACGATTTTTCCATAATAATATAATAACATTCTGGCTCATGTTCCTAAACATATCTTGAGGAATATGATCTTTTTGCATGTAGGGCGTAAAGTAGGCGTTTATAGCTCGTAGAGAGAAATTTAGATTCCAAGGTGCGAAGAAATATAGGCTCTAACGTGCCTAGGGGTATAAACGATTACTACGCCAGAGATACGTACAACATTTTTTACAGGGTGATTCACAAAACGTGACAAAAATGAAATATCATACACAGGACCGCATTTTAAGAGGGGTCTTCCATGTAACATTTTTTCCTCGAGGGCGACGTTGAAAAGATACGGGGTATTGAAGTTTAAAGATAAAAAACATTTTCTTAATATCTTCAAAACCGTCAAATAGAATGAACTAAAATTTGGTGTGTGGATTTAACTAAATATTGTCCACATTCAAAAGTCTTAGCCTTAGTTACCATGTTTCCAAAGTGTTGAGTGAAGAATCTTAAATCGGGAAGATTTACATCCTTACTATCGGCAAAATGTGCAATATCTGCAACCCGAAATTTTTGCGAGTGGTTGCTGCAAAAGCATAATCAAAATGCAGATTTTATTGATTTGCTTTTGTGTTCAGATGAATCACTTTTTACGAGGAGTGGAACCTTTAGTTTTCATAATGAACATAAATTTGGTCGTTAGAAAATCCCCGTTCTGTAAGAATGCAGTCGTTTCAACACAGATTTTCTAGAAATGTCTGGTGCGGCATTTTCAATGGCCAACTGTTTATACACAAATTGCCACAACGTTAAAATGCATACTCATACTTTTTTCTAGAGAGTTACATAGAAAATGTGTTAGATCATGTTCCGTTAGCAACGAGAGTACGGTGATATCAGTACGACGGTGCCCCACCGCATGTTCGTCGTGACATATCCGCACGGTTAAATAATCATTTTAGTCAACGATGGATTGGCAGTAAACGGATCCGTACATTGGCCTGCGAGGTCTCCTGATTTGAACTCCCTGGATTTCTTTTTGTCTAGCGCTTTTAAACAACTCGTGTACGCTAAACAAATTAATACTGTTGATTAGTTACAAGAAAGAATAGATAATACGGATTATCAAATTTGAGCCACAACAAATTTTGCGATAATACGTTTTTCTTTATTAAAAAGATCGCACACCTGTACCCACCAGAATGGTGGTCTTTTTGAAGATTAATTGAAATAAAGCTTTGATCGTCTAATATGCTTTCTTTTATTTTTACGAAAACAATACACTCTAGGATAACACACCAGAGTAATTATTTGTAGCAAATTGAAGGTAACATTCGCAAAGTTACGCATTCAGAAAAAGAAATGGCGTTCTATTTTTATTTGGAAAAACAATGTCACTAATAACCTGCATCTCCGCCACTAGTGCACGTTAATGTTAAGTAAAGACCCCCCTTAAAACGTGGTCCTGTGTATGATGTTTCATTTTTGGACAAGACTTGTGAATCTCCCTGTATACGACTAGCAATATGTTGAGTTAAATAATTAGAGAAAGCTGATGGTCATAAAAATAAGGATGTCGTTTTGGGAGCTGGATGTCCTTTTTGGGGGAGGGGGGAACGGGAATGCCTACCCCAGGAGGCCCTTAAAATTCGGAATGATGACAATCTCAGCACGTTACGGGACTTTCAGACTGTTGTAGTAACACACTGTATATTAATTTGTTAATGAAAAGAATAAACGAACGAACTGTCGCCTGGAAGACAGACAAATATATTGTCATTGTACTGAAGATCACTTTTGTGATTGAAAAGTTCACAGTACATAAGATTCTGTGAATAGATGTGTTTTTTTTGGCCAGACAAGCATGGACTATTAACACCATTTGATGTTCCATCAAACATTTAAATTAATTTTTCAACAATTACCTGACTAGGCAAATTAATCGGTATCAAGGAAACAGTATAACAGTTTTGAAAAATGGCGGTTGTGCAACGTTTGGAGTCCGTATGTCTTAATGGCGCTTGCACCATATTTCAATGTTTTCCGGAAAGAGTTTTGTTCCATGCAAAGCTAACGTTCGTCGAGTATCCAGCTTTGTCGTACTGTAGCGACAAAGCAGGGACGCTCGCTAACAGACTATACGCGCTCAATGGTTGCTTGATTTTGAGATGGAACATTATAACACAGTAAAGTTATATTTAGATATTGAATTGTACCCTACATACTAGATGCTGTGTTGATACCTGAATTGTGGCTACTGAAGTGAATGTCTTACGATCAGTATTTACTGTGATTCGTTATTATTTATCATTGTAATTGTCAAAAAATTACTATACCACGCTAAAGCGAATGCCAACTTTGGAGTGCAACTTTTGCTACTTATCTTCCATGGATAAACGTGAATTCACTCAGAATATTGATTGATTTCGATTTCTAATAGCGCAAGATGCCTATAGCTATAAGTCCGATTTAAAAAAAAATTAATATGAAATGGCGTCATCAAATTGTAAACAAAGGAACGTCATCCGTATGTGACTCGTGGACTAACGTCGTCTTCTTTGGATATTTCTAAAAAACTCCTGATCAACGGAACAAGCTATCTATCGTCTTTTCGTTCTATTGAAGATAAAAATCATGGATGTCAGATTGGTAAAAGCAGAAAGCCTAAATTTGGCGAAAATGGACACATTGATGGTTGTTATGATTTGTGCCTTCAACCCAGATTTATGCTATGCGACTATGTAAGTACAGTGCACTTGATACGATGACAAACATAAAAAGAAAGAATAAGTTACACACTTACATAATCTTCCTTTTTAAAAGTCATAACCTCTGAATAATTTGGTCTAATATTGTATTTCTTCTTACACATCTGCAAGGTAAACGTACGGTTACGATGCCGTAGTTTACGTCCAACTTAAACGAGACGATAAAATCTGCAAAGTAAAATGTCAAATATGGCCCGAATATAAGGTATGCTCCAAGCAATACACAGTGTTGCGTATGTTTATTTCCCTGGGCACTCTAATCCACAGCTTTCCTGCGGTCTATATCGATGTGTTTTTAGATTATCGGACGATAGTTCTACGGTCAATATTTTTCATGTAGACTAGTACAAGGTGGACCATTTAAAGTGGAAGCATCAAGCAACCTAATCTTTGACATTAGTTGTCAGATCGACTAATCCCAACTAGCAAAGTAGTGCTATAAGCTTTTGGTAAAAGAACCGTTCAGTCATAAAAGCTCTCTATTGTTGTTGCCTGAACACCAAAATGCTGGCTTAATGTTGTGTGGAATGCAAATTTGATTTCTGCAACATATTTGCTCTAAAATGAGGTGTTCACAATATTCTTTAGCATAGTTATACAACACCTTATAGGACAAATTTTTAACTGTTGCTAAACGTTTATACAACTATTTTATACGGCATATTTGCACGTTAGTCAAAATGGTTGTGTTGTGGCATCCATGGTAACGTTTATAAAACTAACCCGAGCCTTGTTGTTTTGCTGTGCATATTACTACTTTAGAAAAAAAGTTGCTCCCAACGGAAGCACTTATACAACTGTTGTTTAGTAACTGTTAAATGCTGTACATATGCTAAATATGTTGGTATACAACTTCATCATAACCTAACTTTCTGCTGTCATATTTTTGTTAAAATGCCATAACCAATGATTTAAGACAAACAACGCATGCATATTGGTTCAAAAGGTTTTATCAACTGTTCAAACAGAAGATAAAATATAGATCTGGTACAAATTCTGGGTAAAACATACGACTCTGTCGGTACTTTATTTCAGACATTTGTCAAATTGTTGTATAACACATGCAACACCAAAATATTCTAATAAACCAAAGACAACATGGACGATGCCATGATTATACACAACCACCAGCCATATTGGGCAAACATTTATTCCTCTATTTAATATTAAATAATTATGTTTCAGTTCGAAATTACAGATATAAAGTGATAAACATTAGTGTAATTGTGTCTAAATATAGGATTTGGGGAAGATTTGATGCAGATAAGTTCAGTTTTCCATCTTAAAAATCTAGACATACTTTTGATCATTATCAAAATATGCATCAAATAAGAAGCCCGTAGAAATTGCGTAACTACTTTGCCCTATATCACAGTGTAGAAGTTTATCATATACCTGTGTATGAAATTCACAATGGCCGATATGTAAGTAAACAAGATAACTGTAATGTGTTAGTAATATATTCTTCACTTCGTCTATGCAATACATAAGAACTAGTTTGGTTGCAATAAAGTAGAATCACGTAACAGAATAGTTGTATAGTTGACAAAAACTGAATCTTGCACTGACGCAAATGTCCTATAGCGGCTGCAAGAGGCTTCCACTTTTGTTGTATAACTGTTACCTGCAGCCCTTATACAACCTCTTAAATGACTGAAGTGTCCTATTAGGTGTGCCCATTCCGCTTGTATAGCTGTTCTAAGAGGGTTTTGAGAATGTTCTTACAGTATACAATGCTGTGTAAGGAATCCTGTATGCTCATTCTTGCAACTCTAATAGGAGTGTTAATTGTTAGTTGGGATGTCATACCGCGTTGGAAGCATCATTTCAGTACAATTTTAACCATGGAACAGTACAGACCAAAACAACGCGCTGAAAGTATTCAGTTGTATACGTATATTCAAAATAACTTCTCAATCGTGAAAAGTTATAAGTGGTCCAGCTGATAACACTATCAGAAGTTTATACTCAAAATTTGAGAACACCGCTAGTCTTAGTAATCCCAGTCACCTATCCAAACAACGAACAAGACGTTCCGATGAAAATATCGAAGCCGTACGAGTGTTGAAGAGACTCCATCATCCGGTCGTCATCGTTCTCAAGAGTTAGGCATCGCTCGAACCACTCTCCGTCACGTAATTTGTGAGGATTTGAAGATGTTTCCATATAAAATTCAAATGGCTCATCAATTGAACCCACCTGATTATCCGTGTCGCTTTGATTTTGCTAAATGGAGCATTGAAATGGCCGAAAATGAAGATGACTTTTGGTCAAAAATCATCATTTCCGACGAGGCACATTTTTCGTTAAATGGAGGCGTGAGTAAACAAAATTATCGGTTTTATGGTACCGAAGACCCTCAATTAATCGAACAGCAGCCTCTTTATAATCAAAAAGTTATTGTTTGGTGCGGTATGTGTGCGAATTTGGTCATCGGGCCGTATTTTTTCAAGTCGGTGATGGAGCTGCGGTAACCGTCAATGGTGAGCGTTATCGTGCCATGATAACGAATTTTTTGAGGCTAATTGTTTGTGAAAATAACATGGACGATTACTGGTTCCAGCAGGACCGCGCCACATGCCACACAGCTCAAGCAACAATGAATTTATTGCGACCGTTGTTCCCTGGACGACTGATATCGAAAAATAGCGATTTTGACTAGTCACCGAGATCACCTGATTTGCGCCACCAGACTTTTATTTGTGGGGCTATTTGAAATCCAAAGTATACTCTAACAAGCCAAGGACTCTAGCTTTTTTTTATATCGAAACAGCCGCGCAGGCAGAAGCCTAAACGCCGGAACACCGCGGCTGCTAGGATGATCCCAAAGAAATTTTGTTAATACGATTTTTGAACTGCCTAGTAGAACTGGGAAAAGCTTCCTCTTGTAGATTGTTCCACAATCTAGACACCCTCGGGACAAAGGAGCGGTCGTATCGGCCAGTTCTGGATGTACGAAGTTTGACACGGTTAGGATGGGACGCCGAGGTCAGGCGGGTCTGTCTGGCAGGCACATCGCGCGGCGGCATCATGGTAGAGAGCTCTGAGGAGCAAAGCCTGTTGGTGTAGTAGCGATAAAAAAGAGCTAGATCACCGACGACCCGCCGGTGCGAAAGAGTCCCGAGACTGTCTGTTAGAGAAGAGTGATCGATTAGTCGGACCGCCCTCCTCTGGACAGCATCGAGCATGGATAATGTAGTCGGGGCGGCAGCACCCCATACGTGCGAGCAATACTCGAGGCTAGACCTTATCTGGGCCTTGTATAGAGTGAGAAGGTCATGCGGAGAAAAGTAATTCTTAGCCCTAAACAAATAGCCTAGCTTTTTCCCAGCAGCTGCAGCTATTGACAAGATGTGTTCGTGCCAGATCAGGTCCTCGGTAGAACTCGGCCGTCCATCGAAACTGTATGAGCGCTAGGACGCTTTTTGTTCGTCAGACTACAGTACTATGTTTTGGAAGCATTGAACTGTACAAGATTGTTGCGTCCCCAAGCAGTGATAGCCTCCAGGTCTCTTGTCAGAGAAGAAGTCGTCGCTAGTCTTCTTTTCTCCAGCTCAGCGACAGAGATCGGCTTGTCACTCTGAATTCCTGCATGTAGAGTGCTGTCATCAGAGAAGCTGTGGATTGGGTTGATCGTGCAGGAAAGGAGGTCGTTGATATGTAAGAGAAACAGTGTCGGAGCCAAGACCGATCCCTGGGGTACACCTGCGTTGACGTTGTGGGATGAAGAGGAGAACCCGTCAATTACGACGAATATCTTGCGGCCAGAGATATAGTCAGCCACCCATCTGCAAAAGCTTTTCTGGGAGGCCATAGGATGGCAGTTTGCTTAAGAGGGCAGCGTGTCATAGCTGATCGAACGCTTTCGTGATGTCAAGAGCAACGACATGAGCCTCACCATAAGACTGGATGAGTTTACTCCACAATTGAGTGACGTAAGCTAGGAGGTCCCCTGTGGATCGTTGGTGCCGGAAACCATACTGCCTGTCGCTAATCAAGCCGTGACCTTCGAGGTAGTCCAGAAGCTCGCGATTTATGCACCACTCCATCACTTTACTTATAACAGAAAGCAGAGCTATAGGCCTGTAGTTGTAAGGGTCGGTCTTAAATCCTTTTTTGGGATGGGCTGGACATGAGCAAATTTCCAGTTTTCTGGGAAGGTGCCGGATTCATAAGATATCTGGAAGAGACGCGAAAGAACTGGAGCAAGCTCCGCTGCACATCTCTTCAGTACAATGGCAGGAATCAAGTCCGGACCAGAAGCTTTGTTGATGTTGAGCGACAAGAGGACTCGTCTTACGGTCTTATGCCTGAATGTTACCTCCCGCATAGTTTGGGGAACCCTTTGATTTGACGGCATTTGGGCGTTGGTAGGGACGTCCATGGTGGAGTTGGCAGCAAAGATCTTGGCTAGCACTTCCGCCCCCAAATAAATTTGGGTGATGTTTTGGAGTTGAGGCGAAGCCACAGAATGTCCTTCCGGTCTGATTCCAAAGAAAGATCCCTGGAGCAGGAGAGACTGCTGCGGACAAAAGCCAAAACTCCCCCGTTCTTTCTCAGATTGGAGTGCACCTCGTAGTTTGGGAAGTTGAGATGGTTAATCGGTGCAGTCTCTGAGATTTTTGTCTCCGCCAAGAAAAGCACGGCGGGACGATTGGATTGCAGGTAGTGATGAACAGCATCAATGTTGCTGTTAATCCCGCAGATGTTCGAAAAACAAATTTTATCTTCGATGTTGTTCCATCGAGCCCACCCTCCACCCGGACATTCTGAGAGTGGAGTGAGTTTACGTCCAGAGTTCTTAGTGCTCGAGGGATCCATCATCATTAATTTCTTTGTTTTGGACGATAACTGACTACATAGCTTAGGTGTGGAAACATGCGGACATTTATAAGACACCCTGGGAAAAGCTAGCGGGTGGTACCGCCTCGGTCGACTGGTCCTTGTCTACCACCTTCTTTTTACGTGTTAGTGATATTAAATAGACCTAAATTGGCCCGTTGGCGGACTTGTACCGCCACCCGGCAATCGGTACTGAGGTATTCCTTAACGCGTGTACAATCACTTGGACGGGAAGAAGTTGTATACTGGATACAACAACTTCCGGAACAAGCAATTGCCACGGCCCTCGCTCAGTAGGGTGTGCCCTCAAGAATAATATTCGTCAAGAAACTGCCGCCAAATCCGCCGAAATATTGGTCAACGTGATGGAAAACGCCGAAAAAAGGGCACATTTGGTTATCAAGGCCAGAGGTGGCTATTTGCGCGATATCATTTTTGAAATGTAATTACAACAAATCTCCTTGGATCAAAATAAAAGACTGCAAATATTGTTTTTTGTATTTTTTTAATTATTTTAAAGGTTATGCTGCTGTCAGCTGCTGTTTACAAATAGTATGACGTCAGAGCACATTACTATGACGGACAGCATTTTCGCCTGCCTAAGAAGAATATATTTTTAAATTAAAGTTTTACGATCTTTTAGGTCTGAAAAATGAGCATCAATTTTTTTGGTCCAATAGAACATGTATTAGCTATTTCAGACCTACTTAAAAAGAGTGTCAGCTAACCTATCTTTTTATTTCTTTCCCTGAAAGGCTGGAGTATACTAACCTTATCAGGACATCCCGGTGTGACGTCATACGCCTGAATGTTCTGCCTGAGGTCGATGGGCGTTTTCATGATAGTCACGTTGCTGATACATCCATCAAATCTGACGTTGGTCACATCTGAGTATTTGTGCATGTTGGGGTAACCGCCAAATGACATGGTGTCAATAATGTCCAAGGATGTGCCGCTTATGGGTTTGGTTCTGTCAGTTATGTTCTCATCGTCCACTTGCAATCTTCCTCTTGCACCGTCTCGTTCCGCTACGATCTTGTGCCATTGTCCGTCGTTGTATGTTGCACTGCTCACCCATCGTTTCGTCGCTCCGCCCAAGTTGTACTGCAAACAAAAAAAATGTTAAGGGGAAATGACGTCAACTAGACTGATTCGGTAGTTACTATACAGGATGTAAACGTCATGGTAGTCATTATTGAAATGGGTTCATATGACCCAGAGTCCAAAAGTCAATAGATTTTTGTCTAAATGGCTTTATAGTTTACAACTTTAAGTGCTTTATATCGACCACAATCACCACAACCTTACTAATTTTTATAATCTAATCTAAAAGGTTTTTAAGTTGGGTAATTAACAAATAAATGGCATTAAGTTTTTCTAAGTTAAGCCAAAATTTGTAATCAGTAAGTAAGTAACTTTCATTAAATTAAATATTTAAAACACACATGATAACAGCGCGTAAGTCTTTCATCACTCTTATCGAAGCGGCAATCGCAACGGTAACAGCGGTTAGTTATCGTTCTGCATAGATAAATTACTTTATCGTTCCAGCAGAGCATCGGTCGTGTTTTTTTGTTTTTGTTCGCGTACGTCGTCGTATTTATTTAAAATGTTCTCGAATCAAAAGTTCGCCGACATGTTATTAGTTTACGGTGAAGCTCAAATTTATCGTGACAGATTTCGCCAACGGGTACACCCAGGCAGAAGGACACTTGTGTAAGTGTACCAAAGACTTCGAGATACAGGAAGTGTTCAGCCCAATAATATTCGCACTCATGAAAGACAGGTTACTATAGAGCAGGAGGAGCAAATTCTAAATATCATGGAAACCAATGCAGATATCAGCACTCGGAAATTAGACCGCCGCGTAGGACTATCGCATACCATAGTCCATAGAATCCCTACCATGTACAACGAGTGTAGGCCTTCTTACCAGAAAACTATCCTCGCTTTCTAACATTCTGTGGTTTTTGCACAAAAACATTGAAAATCCGGATTTTTTTTAAAAACATTCTAGAGATGGACGAATGTACTTTTACGCGAGACGCGATGTTAAATTTCCATAATACTCACACGTGGGCCCAAGAAAATCCTCATACCATTCGTGAAGGTCATTTCCAAAAACGTTTTAAAATAAATATTTGGGCGGGTATTCTTGACGAATTGGCCCTTTCGAGTTACCCCCAAAGTTGTCAGGAGAAGGATACCTTAGCTTTCTATACTACAACTATTTAAAACTGTAATGTGTTTCTGTGGCTTTGCGGTGGTCAACAGCACAGACAGAGATGGAAATAATGGCTGATTGTTCTCCGCCGGTAGAACCAATGAAATCAAAGACGCGCCTCGACCGGCAGACTCATAGGCATCGGCAACGCATTGGAACGTGTTTCGTTGAGCGATCGCATATTGTGTGTTTTTATAAGAATTGTCGTGTGATTGTTATTGTTGTGGTTTCTGTGGTTACTGTTTTCGTTATACTTAACCATGGAGAGTATAAATGGCACGAGTGGAAGTTTTGAAAGCCAGGGAACAAGTAGACGGCTTCGTAAAGCACTGAAGAGGGACGCGAAAGAAATCGTGCTCAACGTGTTCAATTATCTGAACAGAACAATGTCGCAGGGAGATGCACTCGTGCGTTGTGAAAGTATGACAGGCGTTCCAGAGTGGACCATTCGCAGGGTGGTGCATGAAAAGAAAACTGTGGCTACTACTGATCCAAAGTTTAATTTGAAGGGACGAAAGGGCGTTAAATTGGATGACGATAGCAAAATGGCGTTAAGGCGAACCATACATTCATTCTTCTTTAGGAATGAGATACCAACCCTCAAGGCTGTACATGCAGCGATCAAGGAAAATGAAATTATACCCCAAATGAGCGTCGAGGTAATGAGGAAATCCCTGCACGAAATTAATTTTCGTTACGAAACCCGTAATCGGAAGTCAGTATCGATAGAGAGACCTGAAATAGTCGCCTGGCGTCGAAAATACCTACGCGAAATGATTGAATATAGGCGACAAAGCAGAAAAATCTATTATTTGGACGAGACATGGGTAAATGCAGGTCACACAGTTAAAAAAACCTGGATAGACAAAAACGTAGTGAGTAATCGACAAGCAAGCATTGAAGGTTTGTCAACAGGTCTTCGTGGACCGTCAGGGAAAGGTCAAAGATTGATCGTAACTCATATTGGTAGCGATAGTGGCTTTTTAGAAGAGTGTGACTTGATCTTCGTCTCTAAGAAAGGAGGTGATTACCATGACGAAATGAATGCCAGCTGCTTCGAGAGCTGGTTTCAAGGGGTGCTTCAGCGAGTTGAGCCCAACTCTGTGATCGTCATGGATAATGCTTCCTACCATAGTCGTCGAGCCGAACGTGTACCGACTATGGGATCTCGAAAAAATGACATGCAGCAATGGTTGCGCGAAAAAGGAATCCCGTTTGACGATTCATGTGTGAAAGCGGAATTGTATGAAAAAATTAAACAGCACAAACCTACGAACATTAGTTACGTGACTGATGAGATGGTAAGTCAATGTGGTGTCACTGTGCTGCGGTTACCGCCCTACCACTGTGAACTGAACCCAATAGAGCTCACCTGGGCTCAAGTGAAGGGTTATATTGCGCGCCATAACACAACCTTCAAATTACCAGACGTTAAGGTTTTACTTAAGACTTCCATACAGCTAGTAACGCCCGAAGCTTGGCAGAATGCTATCCGTCATGTTGTGAAGGAAGAAACAAAAATGTGGCAGCTTGACCACCACATCGATACCATCATAGAGCCAGTTATAGTCAATTTCAACGAGGAAAGCGATACCGACAGTTTATTACTGTCAGATGTAAGTGGAAGCGACGATGAATAAAGGTAATTCCCAAATTTTTGACTTACAATATGTTTCAAACCACTCTTTATTAAGCATGTGACAAATCTAGTTCACCCATGTTAAACATTCATACCCCGCCAATGAACAGCCGACTACTGGTAGTTAAGTGATGTTCACGTGAACATCGATGAGTCATTACAGTTTTAGATAGTTATAGTATAGTCAATAACCTACCAGAACTTTTGGAACAGAACTTAGACAACATGCGATTACAACGGAGATAGAATTTGTGGTTTCATCAGGACGGGGCACCACCACACATTTTTAGAAAATCGCTGGATCGGTCGAAATGCTCCTGATCCTCGAAAATGGCCAGCAAGATCTCCTGACCTCAATCCGATGGATTTCTGTTATTGGGGAGAACTTTATGAGGCTGGTCCAATAACAACTGAAGCACAACTTCGCCAAAAAATAGTTAATGCGGCTGAAATAATAAATGGACAACTTCGAGGACCTAGAGTAAGAAGAAACTGAGTTCGTGGTAATGAAGCTTGTGTGGAAAGTGGAGGGCGACATTTTGAACACCTTCTTTGAATACAAATTAGGTGCAGTGTGGATTTTAAAAAGAAAAACAATGTATGTATCAAAATTGTGTTCCCTATTTATAAGTGGATTTTTTTAATACGTTCAATAAACTTTCACACACCAGGTGAAGCGCTGAGACAGCTAGTGGTAAGTCCGTTTTATTTAATTGTTTGCATTTTACGAGTACATTATTAAATAATGAAATAATACGTAAGAGTCAAAAATAACAAACTCCATCTATATTTACACTGTGTTCCGACGTAATTTGCATCTGACATTGCGGCTTTGTCAGATTTTATTTTACTTTAAAGTCTCTTTTCTCTAAAAAATGCCGTTTTGACCCCATGTTATATGAAACTTTTTGCTTTCTTTAAACCCCTCTATCATCCATTTAAATAATGACTATCATAACGTTTACACCCTGTATATTAACAAATTGTGTAAGTAGAAGCTCCAATTGGAATCTTCACTTGAATCTTTTACAATATGGAGTATGGATGTAATTCAAATATCGGTAATTTTTATTTACAGTCTACATTGCTACAGAAGGCCACCTTCAACCTTATTTTATACTTAGGCGCTATAAAATTACTAGTACTAATTTCTTTTCTGTTCATTCGTATCTGCTACCACTCCACCCGTTTCCAAACCTTGCCATATATCGCTCTCAGAATTTGATTAAACTAGGACAGCGGTTGCTCAAGTTGTGCGTTAACAAAATGGTGAGTAGTATGTGAACAATGATAGATCGAAAAGTGACGATGGTTCATAATTGTCATATTTTTATTACCTGATACAAGACTTTTCCGTTCTGAAGTTCGATGGAAATGAAGGTATTTCCTTTGCCTGCTAAGAAGAGCAAACCAGTAGGTGCAAATGTCTTGAAAGAAAGCTCGATCGCAGATTTTATCCTGAACGATATAGATCGTGCTTCCAAAATGGCGTAGCCGTTTCCATTGAACCTGAATCCTGTACTTGGAGACAGTACCACTAACTTATTCCTGAAAAAAAAAATAGGTAGTGTAAAGTTTGGTAATTTCTACCGTTATGACTTATTTGAATTGAATCATAATTTAAAGTAAAATTATTTTTGTATGTCTCTGTCAAAATGCACAACAAAAACATTGTGTCAATACCGAGTGTTTAAAGTCTTTCGAACAAAGTTGCAAATGCATTAGATTTTCATTGTTAGTGGGACAAATTCGTCAAACAAAGTATGATAGATTGAACGTTTTATAGTCTAATCATATAAGCAAGTTTCCCCGAAATAATTGTAAAGTCTGGGTTTATTGGTGCAAGTTATTCAAGGGGGGTATTTAAAACATGGATGCATAACATGGGTACACCAATTTTTGTGGTAAAACTTTTTATTTGACAACAAAGAATGAGAAAACGTGTTTTTGAGATTCAATTTAAAGTGTTGGCAGGAACGAAAAAACTCTTCATGTAAGATTTTTATGTATTTATGAGAGCTACAAAATGTATGTATCACACGCAAAAAGATTCGACTAGTCGCAAAAAAGTTATGGCTGAAAACCGAGGCAAACTGCAGGTTTTGGCACTTGTTAGTAATGCGACGATGGCTTCTCGCAGATTAAATTCTCCAAATTCGTAGGATTCATACTTCTAACCACAGCAAGGTTGGAGTAGATTGGTCAAGTAGTTTTTGAGAATTTCCAATTATTTATCCCAAAACACCTGTTTTCCGGCCATCACTATTAGTTTATTAAGCAATATACAGGGTTAGTTCAAAGGGCATTTCATAACAAAATACAATAATTTACCTTGTCGATATGAATCGCAAACCATTCCGGAAGATAGATGTTATTGGAACAACTTGCACCAATAAAACCATACTTTACAATTACTTCGCAATCCAGAGGTATTTTCGTCTTATATGATTAGACTATTATTTAGCCAACCTACACAGAGGCATAATAAATCAGGAACATAGTCGAGACAAACTACATTAGACTACTTAAGATGTCGGTAAAAATCGAAACTCAAATGTAAGAATCAGCGATTTGCACTGAATTGGTAGTACCAAAACATTACACAACAACACAACAAATAGCTGATAATATTTGTTTGAACACAAAACCCAAAAATATATGCATCCACTTTGTTTTAGGTTGCACCCGATCATATCCCCTAAAAGATATTCTGGTACAATTTACAAATCAAATGTTAGTAAAAATTGCCGAGCCGGTATAGCTGATACAAGTTCCTTTATTTCTTTCTAAGAACTGAGGATAGGTTAACCTTTACCTACCGAAAATCTTATAAAATAACTAATTATTACAAAAACTTACAACTAAACTGCCTAAAATCCATATGACAACAATTTAAAGACCCAAGATTTAAAAAAAATCTAAATTTACTGTTTTATACTCTTAGGTTAGTCATTAAAAGTGAAAATATCATTAAATGTTCCTTCATGTTTGAATTTCTCGTAAGCTGTTGACTATACGAAAATGTTTGTAGAAGCAAAATGATAAAAATTTAATGACCCATAAAAACTCACTGTTGCAAAAACAGTAAGATTTCTATGTACAAAATCTCCCTAATGTTTTATGAGTTATTTTATGGTTACCTTTCTTTAGCTCCGTGGTTGTTCTCGTATCCGTCAGCAAAGTTCCACAAGGACACAGGAGTGTTTCCAATAACCACATCTTCGATCTCGCCTTGGAAGGAATCCATATCGACTTGGTCTTGCAGCTGAGAATCGTACTTAGAGGGATATCCACCAACAAAGATTTTAGATCTATCTTGGTCCAAGTTGAATATTGTGTATGGACCAGATAGGGCCGTTTCTTTTACGTAGCTCTGCACTGAGCCATCTGGGAGCTCTTCTCGTATCGTCAGTTTCGCATTGTGGCCAACCCTATCAAAATATGTAGTAGTAGAAGGATTCAGAATAATCATAAGCAACTCAAGTTTGCCTTGAAATTTGTCAACGTGTTCTGATCTTTCATCTCTGTATTTAATTTCTTATATTTATCTATATAATAAATAAGATTTGAACTTTAACTGCGGCTCTGATGAAACCTAGCAGGGACCAGCACACGTATTATGTAACTTACGTAAGTGACATTGTATCGATGTTTATGACATTATGTAGGATTTCCCATGAAATGTAACGTTTCAACAGGCGGCACTCTAGTAGCTACCTAGTGCTCAAATTGACATTTTATCGGCCTTTTTTATATTATATAGATCTTTTAAGTAGTACCCTTACTGGTCAAAGTTGGTTTTACACCAATAAAAGAACTACAAAAGCATACCTTGCAGTTCTCAGTGTTTCAATTCGACTGTATAATAAGGGTCACGAATTCGTCGTACCTACTAGGTCTGTAAATTAAGTGACGAGGCTGGCAACATAGCGTTCGATCTGGCAACACTGGAGGCGCCAGGCTTAGAGAAGAGACAGGGGAACATGTGACCCGCCTTCAGTACAAGTTTGAACTTGCTCGAGTCATTTAGTTGTCCTTAGCAATCTTTTTTGTGAAACAGTTTGTTCTATTGTATTCTAAAAATGAGTGACATCAATTTCGGGCAACTTTTTTCTTTTCCCGAAGTTGAAAATCACCTCAAGGGAACTCATTTTGGGACAATCGAAAACACTTAAACGGCTGTAACCGACCAACTGAAGGCTACTGCGCTATCGGAGCTCCAGCACTGCTATGAGCAGTGGAATAACTGTCTCCAACGGTGTGTGGTTAGTTATTTTGACAGTCACAATATAAAATTGTAATAATATTTGAATACTGAAAATCAGTCCCATGACCTATTTTACAATCCTCGTAAGAACCCCCAGAGAAACTTTTCAAACCCTTGCTGTGGTTGTCTCTCTGAAGAAAATTTCCTAATTAAAAGAGATGCAGTAAAAGTACAAAGCTTATGAGAATTCCATACTTCTACCAGAACTGTCTTTACGTGTTGTCTTCGATTGGACATATACTAACCTTTCGACTGTGTACTGATACCAGTTATCATCAGCCACGTATTTTTCATTTATGATCTTTTGCACACCATTTCCTATGTCCATCTTCAAAACTGGATAACCATTTTGTATTATGAGTGCCATGAAGTCATCCTAAAACAAAGACACATTACTGTAATTGTCCGCCGACGATGGCTAATAAGCACTGAGCACGTTTCTTTCGCGATCTGTCTCGTATGCATTAATTCGTGATACCATAACTCGAGAAAATAACGCGGGGGGCGTGCGATCAGTCTATATCTTTCGCACGAGTGACGACACTTGGTGACAAAATTCCACAGAAACGCCCAGTTTTATATGACTGTCGTGTCATAATTCGTTTTAGAAGCAGCAAGTCTTATTTTTGAAAATAAAACTAAATTTGAAACATTAAATATATGTAGTTACAACAGGGGCGGCTGGCCCTTAATTTCTGCAGAGCTGCAGAAATGCCAAAACTTTTGTCTTAACGGAAAAAAGCAGTTGTAATTTGATCATTATTTATTTTGCATGTTATCACACAAACAGAAACAATACTGGCAACGCTGCCCCCGCAAGACACCGCGTCGAGTCTGTTTTGTACTGAGAAAGCATTATAATCGACCAATTGTGTACTTGTCATTTTCGTCGCGACCGCAGCGTAACATTATTCATGGGTCACTTGAAAAGGGTCTGTGCACTTCTTCGACACAAGCCGCACGCGCTTGCTTTTGTCTCTCTCTACAAAATCAAATGTGCGATTTAAGCATAAGCATGTGCTTCACGTTATACCAGATCCGTACAGATCTAATGCGAAGTACGATATCTGATTGGTCGGTCGGTGCTCGGTCCTCTGCGGTATTGGCATATTGGCCTTGTCGCGTGACGTGGATTAAAATTTGAATGCGAAAATTTTTTTATTTAGGTATTTTGGGTCTTACGTTGAGTGATTAGTGACTTACTGACTGACTGTGGCTGTGTTGAAGGGTAGTGCAGGACAATGGATGTGGTTTACAGACTTATCAGCGTTAAACGATTCTGGAAATACACATTTGAAGAAAAAATTGAGCTGAAGGTGTTAGGTCGACCGCTGCCGGACATATTTATAGAAGCACAGGGCGTTAGTCGGGGGCAAGGGTTATAAGCGGTATTTCAGCAGGGAGATTTACACCAAAAATGACTGGATTTGTGGGTGCAACAGGAAGAATTGCCTGCTTTCCTTGCATACTTTTCGGCGGTGACAAAGCTTGGACGCAGTTAGGTGTTACAGATTTAGTGCACCTTAGTTAAAAAATTAAGAAGCACGAAAACTCTAAAACACATTCTTCATAATTCGATGGAATTGGCTTTTTTGGGGACTGTTAACATCAGAGCTCAGTTAGATTCAGCATATTGAAGAAATATGCAACAGCATAATGATACCGTTACAAAAAACAGGTACGTTCTATCAGAAATAATCGATTGTATACAATTTTGCGTAGCATTTGAATTGGCGTTAATATTCGAACAATAAATGTAGTGTTTGAGAACAGAGAATCACTCATTGAATGCATGGAAGAAATAGAAGAAAATTTCACTAATGAAACCGTTTGCAAGGCAGTTACGGTATTCGCCGTATGTTAAACGATTCTGTTTTCGTGTTTGGTTGACTTTTTTCATCATGTCATGCCTCACGTCGACATCTTGTTCAACCAGTTGCAGAAGAGAAAAACCGACCCAGCGCAAGTTAAAACGGCTATCGCTAATTTTGAAAAATGTATTGCCGATGTGAGAAATAAAATTGATGACATAATACATATAAATGAAGCCAAAAGTATTTGCACTGAACCCCAAGGCAACAAAAGGAGACGACGTAATAATAGCAGTCACGATCACCGAGTTGCTGCATTAGAAGTATGCGACAATATATTGTATTCTGCAAATGACAGATTTCAATTCAAAGATCATTTGGTAGCCGCATCCCTTTTTTTCCCAGAACACTTTGGAGAATACTGTGGTAAGTTTCCTGAAGACAGAGTTGTCTGTTATTTATGCACGGAATGATTGCCGAGATTTACATGGAACTCTGTCTCTTTTGAAATTTATTATACAAAATAGTTTGACAGAAACACTAAAAGATAGAAAAAAGCTATTAGAAATTATTGTTGCAACTCCTATGTCAACATCATAGGCTGAGCGAAATTTCTCAACATTGAAAAGAATTAAGACCTTTCTTCGAAATACTATGACCCAGGATCGCCTTACACCATTGTCGATGCTGTCCATTGAAAAGGAATTTATTTCGACCATGGAAAATTTCAACGGGAAGGTGATCGACAAATTTGCTGCCAAGAAGGAGCGCAGGATCGAACTGACATATAAAAAATAGGTAAGTTCGGATTTGCAGAACAACTGTTCTATTTTGTCACGAGCCGCCACTGAGTTGCAATATAAGACGAAAACAAGATCTCAAATAAGTAGTACCTAAGACAACAATTCGTTGCTTGAATGCAGAAGTATTCTATGTCACAAAATGCATATTTTACAGGAGAGCTATTTTTCGTGTTTGTGTCTTGCCTAACATTTCTGAGAAATTTTAGATATAGAATGCTTTACCGGAAAAAAAGTATGACTAGTCCATGAAAGTAGACTTATATTTGTTGCTGACATTGGACTTACAGTCATTCTGTAAGTGATCATCTGCTCTTATCATAGTTCTGCAGCGAAATGACGCGCCTCAAGCTAGTGATGTAAAATAATTAAGTAACGCTTACAAAATAATCGTTACAAATGAGTAACTAAATGTAACGAGTCCTACTTTTCGAAAAGACTCGTTACTTTTTATTTGAATTCGTTACTTTGAATGCGATACGGTCTTTTTCTATGTATACTTTTTAATTACTGTTAGTTACTACACTATAGATTACTTTAGATACAAACGTTACTGGGATCTAATGTAGCCAGTACTGTCAGCGCCAGCAGCAAGTGACTTGGTTCTTGGATGTAAACTGGGTGGAAATGAAATGATGCGAATATCGTTAGGCTTAGGCAACTTTAGATACTCTTCTATCAAACGAGTTGCGGACTGCGGAGCTTTAGGTTGGCAATGTTTGTGTACACCTGTACACTTTTCATGTGACTTTGAGAGCTACCGGTTGGCGGGTTGTTACTGGTTTGGACGTTGCCGTACAAGCTCGAGCAAAAATATAATTATTATTTGTACAAAAATATGGAATCATCCGCGTCCGGTTCAGGAGAATCGCAATCTCAAAAAAGAAGTGTTATTTGGATGCATTTCACCAATATATCGGAAGCTAATGCAAAGTCTAATCTTTGTAAAAATATTTATTCACATAAAAATGGAAACATTAGCAATTTAAGGAAGCATTTGAAAACAAAACATCCGACTCTTTCATTGGAAGGAGAAAGGGCAAAACGGCGGGTGGAAGACGAAAATATGCCTAGGTGCAAAAGGAACCTAGTTTCAGGTATGTTTTATTATTATAAGTATTTTGTTGAACACCATTTACAGTGGAGTAACCAGACTGTTAAGTAGGGTAGGGGAGTAACCAGACTGTTAGGGCAGGGGACGCTACTCAACTAAAGTAAAGAGTGAGGAGAGTGGTTCCTCCAGGGTCCCCATCTGGTTATGCCACTTGTTAAATACTATTTACAGCGTACAGCCAACGACCAGACGTCACACAACGACGAGTTTAAAATATAAGTACCTTCTACGTATCAAATATCAAAAAAAATAATAGGCAAGGCATTAGACAAAAAATAATAATTGGATCAATCCCAAAGTAATAATTTGATATAATATTTAGAATGTAGGTTCTAAACGAAATGTCCAAATAGTAACTAAACTAACGAGTCCAAAGTTCGAAAGTAACGAGTCCTTACAAGTCCTAAAAAGTAACGAAACTTTGCATCACTACCTCAAGCTATTACGCCAAAATATCGTTCAAGACCAGTGGTGGGGGAACGCTTGCGCAGGGACTTACAATACCTGCATGCAACGTAGGTGAATATGACCTACAATGTCGTGTTAAAATCTGAAAAATGAAGAATTTGGACATACAATAGTTCTGCATTCAGGTGACGAATTGTGAAATACTTAATAATTTATAATGTTCTGAAATAAAACATTCTATATTATACTAAAATTATCATATAAAATCGATAACATAAAAGATGTTAGGCAAATATACACTCTAATACATTGCATTTCATACCGACGAGAGGAACATTTGTCACCGAGGCAAGTAATAGTATCATCACATTAATTACGGGACCGCAATGATTTTTTGCCGCTCTTGTATATCATTATGGATAAGAGGTAACTTTGAAACTTACCGTCTTTGTCTTAGGCAAACTAGTTCCTTGTGGGTTACCGATGTAGAACAGCAAACCGTTCGGTTTGCTTGTCTTGAAGTATCCCGAAAACTTCGTAGCAGTGGTGAGATCTTCAATATTTTTCGGATTTCTTAACTCCAACGTAGTATTAGGATAGAACTTTACTCCGACCTTTATTCTATTAGCTGTATCTCTAGCCAGTTCGATTTGTTGCTTCAGCTTGTTGATGTTTGACATGATGTTGTTCGATGTTCTCTTGTTATCAGCTTGTTTCTTTGGTATCTCCTCTAGACTTTGAATGACAGATGGCAAAGTTTCATTTACCGTATTCAGTTGCTTTTCGGTTTGTTTCAAATTGCGCTCCATGTCATTCAGTTCTTTGGGAAGCAGCTTGGCTTGTTGAGTTTCCTGTGATAACTGAAGAGACGAATTAGTTACTACATTACATTATTTTTTTGGCTATAGTGTTGTAAATAGATACAAGATTGAAACAAGATTATTTTTCTCAAAAATAATTCATCTACCCGAAGAATTTATTTTTTTTATACCGAAGCTGCACACGCAGAAGCCTAACTGCCGGGACACGGCGACTGCTATGAGGATCCCAAAGAAATTTTGTTAATCCGATTTTTGAAATGCCTAAGGTTAGTAGAACTGGGAAAGGCTTCCTCTTGTAGATTGTTCCACAATCTCGACACCCTCGGGACAAAGGAGCGGTCGTATCGGCCAGTTCTGGATGTACGATGTTCGACACGGTTAGCATGGGAGGCCAAAGTCAGGCGGGTCTGTCTGGCAGGTACATCGCGCGGCGGCAACATTGGAAGGGAGGTCTGAGGAGGAAAGCCCGTTGTTGTAGCGGTAGAAGAGAGCTAGATCACCGGCGGCCCGCTGATGCGAAAGGGTGCCGAGACTGTCTGTTAGAGAAGAGTCGTCGATCAGTCGGACAGCCCTCCGCTGGACAGCATCGAGCATAAATAATGGAATGTTATTTAAGCTAAAGGTAACACTTTATTGCAGTCATTGTTATATTATATTTTTATAACTTGAATTTTGATGACAACACACTCTTGGGTGCTCAGAGGAGCATTTTTGGAAAGCAACATAATCTAGAAGATATTTTCAAAATACTGGACAAACATTCGGAGGTGTTTCTTAGGAACATCATTTGTTTGGATATAGTGCTGTAAATCAATAGAAGCAACATAGAAACAATATTTTTTTTAAAGTAATTCATCTACACGAAATCAAAACAAAAATTTATTATTTAAGCTAAAGGATAAACATTATTGAGTCATCGATTTACAGGGTGTGTACAAAAATTCAGGAATATTGCGTGAGGGCTAGTCTGCAGCTCGCGATTTAAATGAGTTAGTTGTTTTCCATGGACATCATCTCGTGAGGTGCCAAGCAATTTTGTATGCTGCCAAAGTTTTGGTAGATTATACAGTGTTGTTCAAAAGTTATTTAGGGAAAACAGATTTTCAGTGGCGTCCTTCAGGGACCTGTGCAAGAAAGGCGCTATTTCCAAATTCATCACAGTCTTATAATAGCTCAAAAAAAATCACTCTACGATTTTTGGTCACCGTTTTAGAAACAAATGAAAGTATTCTAGAGAAAACTTTCTTACAAATGTATGCAATCGGTCAAGATTTAGCCGACATTTAGGCTTGATAATGTGAACAAATATTATACCTTATTGAACAAGTTGTTGACAGCCGGTTCAACATGACTGATGGTCTCAGCAGCCGCATCAGCCGTGTCAGAGGCATTCTTGTAAGCTGTGTTCAGGTCCTTGATCTGTATGTTCTTTAACATCTTCTCGATCTCGTTTAAGAGGTCTTCGTTCTCCTTGTGAGCCTCCTTCACAGGAAGGTATCTCTGGATCGACTCATCCAGCTTCGGTCTTAGCTCTTGATGAACCATTGTTGCAGAATTATGGGCATCCTATGGGATATTTTAATATTAGATTTTGCATTTTGTTCACACACGGTGCTGTTAAAAAAAGTGTCCTCCTCACTTTTTTGAACGGATCAATATGGGAAGCAGAAATTCTGGGAGATGAAATGTTCAGACGTGAAGGCTTCACACCACCTTGACGCGATGCTGGGGTCATGTGATACCTCATTTCTGACCTCCCGAACCTTTATATTCACTAGGCAGGTCAGTGATCGGCCTAGCAATAGTCATGGTCAAGAACATATCCAAACTTAGAAATGTCCCTCTGTCGATTTCCGGGGTCAAAAGTATACAGCCCGTTTCAAGAAAATCAGGATGACCTTGAAATTTCCTTCAAAATCAAGGTTATATCATCAAACTTATAATTTTCTCCTCTTTGGATTTCCAGGATCAAAAGAATAACGGCTTATTTAACATTTGACCTTGAAATTGTATCTTCAAGGTCAAAGTCAAGGTGATTTGTCAAGATAACCATTAGACGTAAAATCCTGTAAGGAACTGTGCAGTATAGTAATGTATCCGCACCGCTTGCAAGCTGTACGAACTTGTCTAGTGTTTTGTGTCCAAAGCTGAGCATGTGATATCATTAATTGTATGTAGAAGATATCTAAAGGACAAACAAGTCTAGGGGTCAAAGAAATCACAGAAAAATAATGGTTGAATAATCGGCTTTAGAACAAGGGAGTCAAAACCACTAAAAACAAGACAAGTGCTTATCGAACAACTTTTACTAGCGATCTTACCTCTAAGGCTGTAGCAGCATTATTCTCGGCGTCATTGGTCCTTTCGTGGACGTTAGCTAGAATCTCCGCAGCATTGCTAGAATCATTTTGGGCACTATCAGCTGCCTCTCTAGCGCTTTTCACTGCAGCAACGATGTCTTTGTAAGCTCTGGCAGCTTTAACAGCATCCTGGGAGCCGTACTGCAAAGAGTAACGAAAATGTGATGCATTAATTATAAATTTTCCAATATTTTTACGTAATAACACGTTCTTTGGATGTCCCTTAACATGAAGAAATTTTCGGGCAGTAACTCGGTACAAAGTTTAAAAAACCTTTTTAAAGAAATTTCAAAAAATTGTTTTTGTTTTTTGGCACTAAGCAGAGTAATTCTTACGTTGTTTGAATTATTTTATACAAAAAGGTCCTTTGTAAGTTTCACCTAAAGTTGACTGGTTTCGAGTTATTAGAGATTTAAAGTCTGATAATACCTTAATTATGGACATTTTTGATGCGAAAATACTCCTTCAAGAATTATCATTTTTTAAGTTACGTTTAGATTAAAGTTCGAACCTTACCTTGCAACACTCCGAAAAATATTTTGCGCTTAGCTTTTTTCGAAGCATTGTAATTTGATTGCTATAACCCGCTCTTCGAGAGTTGATTCCTATGCTCCGCCTCTGACCCCTTTGCAGATGCTTATTTGGCGGATATTGTTGATAGCAAAAGAAGTGGTCTTACTAGTCTTAAAAGTTATATGCTTTAGGTTCATGGGTTTCGAGACGCTGGCCAAGCAGATTGAAGGAAACTTCTCAAAGAGTATCTATCCTTACACTGCCTTAGGTGCCAACATGGAACGAATGTAATCGACGACTCAAAGGGTAAGGCGGAAGTACTTGGCCAAATCGTTGGTGCCAGTTCCTACACTATGTGGGAAGGAACCTTCAGGCATAAGACTGTAAGATGGGTGTTCATATCGCTGGACATCAACAAAGCTTCTGGTCCGGACTCGATTCCTGCTGTCGTACTGAAGGGATGTGCAGCAAAGCTTGCTCCGGTTCTTTCGCATCTCTTCTAGATATCTTACGAACCCGATGATTTCTCAGAAAACTGGAGCTTTGCCCATGTCCAGCTCGTCCCAAAGAAGGATCTAAGATCGACCCTTTCAACTAAAAATCTATTGTAGCTCTGCTTTCTGTTATAAGTAAGGTGGGCAGGTGCAGAAATCGAAAGCTTCTGGAGTATCTTGAACAGCACGGCTTGATTAGCAACTCATCCAGTCATATGGTGAGGTAAATTTCGTTGCTAAGAATATCACGATAGCCTTTCATTAGATGTGGCATGATGCCTTCTTATGCAAGCTTCCAGCCTATGACCTTCCAGATGGGTGGCTGACTAGCCGCAAGATATCCATCGTAAATGATGGATTCTCCTCTTCATCCCACAATCACAACGCGAGTGGTCCCCACGGACCGGTCTATATGACACTGTCAATCGCGGTCGCTACTGCAAAAAATCTGGGCTATTTATTGTTTAGGGCTAAGAAGTGCTTTTCTTTACATAACGTCCTCATTCTGCACAAGGCCGAGATAAGACCTAGCCTCGAGTACTGCACAAACGCTTGGGGTGCTGCCGACCCAAGTACATTATCCATGTCGAGGCGGACATTTATATGAAATCATTTTCCATAGATAACACATCTTTCAATAAAATGCTAAGATAAAAATAAATTCCATTCCATTGAAAAGATATGGGAAAATAGATCAGACAGTTACCCATACATATATTGACCACCCTGTACTAATTTTTTCGATTTAAGTGAATACCTGTGATTCTGAGAGTATATGCTCCAACTCTTGTACACGTTCCGACAAGTTTTGAGTATGCTCCTGTACTTTGGGCTTTAGGACCTGAATCTCGGCAATCTTCTTGCTGTTTGATTTGAGTTCTTCGTCAAACTTCTTGTTCATCTTTTCCAGAATCTCGGGGGCGTCCTGTAGTTCTTTCAGTTTACCGATGGATATGTCCAGTAGTTTGGAGGCATTAGAAAGCAGCTCTTCCGACTTATCTAAATTTATTCCAGATTGTTTGACTTGGTTCTCTATGTTGCTCAACTTTCCTTTCAGGCGGTCTTTTCTGGAATTAGAGAGAAAAAAGAAAGGGTAGTTTTTTTAATCTTTATTATCATCTACACGACGTGTCAAAATTCTTCAAATGAAATAAAATCTTTTAAAATTTAAAATAACTGCGATCTTTCTATTCGTCATTGTCTGTCAGAGGGGTCCGTACGACCTTTGCTCTTGGTTAAAGTGTCGTAAGTCAGTAGGTCTGTCGGGTCCGGGTCTGGTTGGCCAGATACTAGACAAAGTCAAGGAGAAAGCAGGAAAGATGAGAGAAAGGAAGAAAGGAGGTAGAACAAAGAGGAGGAAGTGTTTTAGTTTGAGGGGCGCCTTGGCATTGCTAACTAGTATCCTGGAATTTTGAATTGATCCTAAGATTAATTTAAAGATTCGTTGTTGGACCTAAAACCGCAAGATTTAATTTTGTTCAAAGTGCGAGCTGCGGTAGTGTGTGTGCTTGCGATCTTGCTCGACTGTGACTTACAGACTACGCCAATGCGTTTTGGTGAGAAAACACCAAGCCAATGAAAGGATGATGATTCAATATACGTCTCAACACAAATCTATTTTCGAATTACTTATACAGAGGAACAAAGGTACGTGTGCAACTTCTCAAACGTCATTGAGGCTGTTAAGAAAGAAGTGGTGGATTTGAAAAGCATTAATAAGCTTTTTTTGAAAAACCGAAAATTTGTTCGCGTATATTCTTTAGTGGAAACAAAATTAAAATACCTCGAAATACAAAGTATGACACCTCCAGAAATTTCTGGTATATATATATCAATAGTGCAACAAAACTTAGACATGTCAGAGAAAAATTCAGTAAATTAATAATAAAATTAAGGAATTTCAAAATATGTACCTAAGTGAAAATTACAGAATCGGTTTAATTACATTTTGTGTATGTGGAAACATTACTTGCGAATTTACTTCGGATCACAATTACAACACTTACAATGCATTTTTTTGTAATTATGAGTCACATATAACTATTGGAGAAATCATTCGATTGCCGGTTCTTTTTTTTTCATAGGTGGCCAAAGTATCATCAAATACGATCTCATCCGTGATCTATAAGGCTGATGCCGACCCTGTTCACATCAATCTGTATTATGTGTTGCATAAGGCTGTGTTCTTATCAAGATTATCTTCATCAATTGAAGGATATACTGATTTGAAAGTTCTTTATAGTATTTATTAAATTTTTCTTAGTGAAATGGGATATATCTTTCGCACTCAACAACGTCTGCTCATAATACACGCAAGATATCGTTCTTTGACCCTGCATTTCTAAATATGATGTAACATCTGCTACCCACATGTCTATTAAACCCAGATAAGCATTAAAATGTTTATTTTTAGATATCCTCTCTAAAGCGATCGTCTACAGTCTACAATTTTCTCGTTTGAATTTATAACGCAGTTCTTTGTTCGTGTTCTAGCACGTTCTCAAATTACATCTTTTGTATTTGAATATTTGAATTTACCGCTCGTTCACGTGGGTTCGATTTGAAATGTGTTGAATCTTGAATCTGTCAATGTCATTAGTCAAAAAATGTTCCGCGTTGGAGAGGTTATAAACTTGTGTAAATCTATTTTTCTTCAGTGAAAATGGGAGAAATAAACTCATAATTTTTATAAAATGCTCCCTACCAAAGGTTATTTTCAAGACATCGAATGCCCCTACTTCAATAGTTCATGCGGAAGGCCGTACTGCCATTTCAGGCATAAGAAAAAGTTATCTGAGGCGGTAGACGATGTAAGCGAGCCAGAAAAAGAAGATTCAAGCTGCGTCCCAACGTATAAGCCAACTCCAAAGAGCCAGCTAGCAAATATTCAAAAGCAGAGCCACATTCCTATTAGTTATGTGCCTGATTTGTCATTCAGACACACTAGCACTTCAAGACCTGCATTGAAGATAGAAAAGCCTGTATACAAGCCTACACCCCTCAGTATATTATCATATGCCAATAGGAGGGGTAAGTTCAATTGATAGATGTTTAAACTTTTTTCAGTTTGTTTCATAAAGTTGATATAAACACTATTTACTTTGCACCATGATACTGCTTTATCAAGTAGAGCTAGAAGTCTTTATACTCAAATGTTTCACAGTTTCAATCATTAATTTTTTGAAATGTACTGAGGACTGTTAAGCAAAGTTAGCTGTAAAATTAGAGAGTTCTAAGATTTGGTACATAATCCCTTATAAAATTGCATGGCAATACCTTCCTTAAAAAAAAAGCTGTTTCCTCAAAAATGTCCCTTTTGCTAAGCTGTTGATTCAGTTTGTATCATTGATTAATATATTCCAGCAGAAGATACTTGCTGGCTATGAGATTTTATTATTTTATGTCTTTCAGAAATTTTGAAAGTTTAAAACCTCAGGAATAAACATAAGAGAGGTTCAGGGATGATTCTTACTTGGAGGGTTGAAGTCATGTTTAATAATAAACAATTTTCTTTTTATTATTTCTATGTTAATTACAATTACTTTGATCCCAGTTGGCAACATAGCTGTAACAATGGAAATTATGTTTGAATGTTCAGCATAGGGCTGAAGGATATTTCACTAATGTTTGTATGCAGTACACTTTTTCTTTTAATGCAATAAGATACTCTATCTCTAGGATCAACAGTGACTGAAGAGAATGGAGAACCACATAAAGAACACATTGTTGAAGCTATAAAAGAATTGAAGCAGAAAGTAGCTGATAGTGAATATAATCCAGCATCAACCTTTCCATCTGCAAGTGATATTAATTTTGAAGAACTTAATAGTGAGTTTGAATTGATAGATGAAATAATCAATGCTGATGAAAATTCAAACAATGAAGGTGAACAGGAGCATGATCCTTGTGATATTCTTAGTGGTATTAATAAGGAAATTGACAAACTACATCAAGATATACAAGAAATCAAATCTGATGTGTCAGATGATGTTAAAAAAAGCAATAAGGAGCAAAATATCTCTGATGAGAAAGTAAAACTAGATGGAAAAGGTAAAGATAAAGAAAAAAAGAAGGAAGGGAGCAGTAGTAGCAAAAAATCTAAAAGTACAAGTGAGAAGGACTCTGAGAGGACTGAAAAAAGACATGTTAGTTCTTCGAAGGATAAAGAAAAGGCAAGAAAAGCTATAAAATCTGAAAAAGAAAAGCACAAGGATGAGAAGACAGATAAAAACAACACAGATAAGAAGTCAGAGAGGCTGAAAGATGGAGATGTTAAGGAAGATAAAGATAAGATTCAGAGAGATAAGCATGACAAATCAGATAAAGCAAAAAGTATCTGTAAAGATAAGAAAGCAGAAAAATCTGATAAAAGCAAAACTCATAAAAGCAGTAGTAGGGAAAAACATAGAAAAGAAGAGCATGATGCTAGGAATGAAACCGAATCAGAAATAGAATCAAAAAGTAGTCATAAGAGCAAACACAAAAGTAAAGAAAGAAGAAGTAGAAGCGAGAGCATAGACTGCGACAGCAGAAGTAACAGTAAAGAAAGAAGAAAAACTAAAGAAACTCGTAAAGATAAAACAAAGCAGAAAAGTAGAGAGATAAGTAGAAGTAGGAGCAGAAGTAGGAGTACCAGTAAGGAAAAGAACAAAATTAAAGAAAAAGAAAAATCTAGGCATAAGAATAAAAAAAAGAGCAGAAGTAGGAGTAGAAGCAAAGAACGAAAGAAGAGCGATAGTAGTAAGGAAAAGAGAAAAAGCAAGGAATCTTCAGAGAATGAGAAACATAGGAAACATTCAAAGTCCAGACATAAAGACAATCATAGAGATAAGGATAAATCCTATACATCTAGTGACAAAACAGAAAACTTGAGAAAAACTACTAAAAGTAGTAATGACGAAAGTGATGCATACAAATCTCACCAAAAAGTGAAGAAAAAACGGATAATGAATGAAGATTGCAGTAGCAGTGAAGATGAAAAGGATATGCCAGTGCCTTATGACAATGTCATTGATGAGAGTTTGTTAGATTTAGATATAGAAGATGAAAATGAAACAATGTTGGAGTGCTACAGAATATTCAATGAGTACAAACCACAACCTGTACAGCAAGAGCAGTTACCTACAACATCCTCTCAATCATCAATTGAAATGAGGGATGAAGAAGATGTGAAACAGTATGTGGGGAAGAAAAGGATAGCACATACAAATGCAGAGAAGTCTGTAAACTTTTCACAGCCAGCACTCCCTTCCAAAGTGAGCCATGCTACTCCTGGACAGATGTTAGCAAACAGGTGAATGCTTAAACACTTTTTTGGAAAAATATTGTAATACTAAATCTTATAACAATGGTCATATATTTAATGACAAATTAAGTTTTTTTTAAGTTTCTGTTCACTGCATAACAAATGAAACATTCAGCTTTTGGTAATTAAACCTTATATTCCATTTGAGTGACTAACATGTTTCCTTCTAGATATAAACTAGCTAAGGAAGCACAGGCTAGTAGAGAACAAGAGCTGATAATGAATGAGCTTGAGCAGCAAACAGCGCCAATGAAACGACCTGCCCAAACCTTATTGGAGGCAGCCAGGGAGAGAAAATTGATTAGGTTAGCAAATGCTCAAGTAAAACCTCCAAGTGCCAATATTGTCGATGAAATTATCAAGGGCACCTCAAAGACAATATCCATGCCTCAAGTTAAGCTCCAGAAGAAAATAGCTCCTGCACAGAATGTCATGATGATACAGAAGGCTAAAGAAAGGATCTCGAAGATTAAGCATGTGACTCCAGTCAAAACTGTGGCACAGACCCAGAAAGGAGGTAAAAATAACTCACGGTTCAGTTATGTCAGTGACAACCTTGATATCCTCTAAGTTATCAATTTCAAATATTTTTTGACATAATAATGCCAGACGACGGCATTTTGTTAGTTATGGAAAATAACTTTGTTAATAAGAAAAAAAAATCACAATAAATAAATACGTTTTACCGAATACTAAAAGTTTTATCATATTTTTTTTTACGTTTCCAGGTCGGATAGCTCACGTTCCCGATGTCTCTTTGGCAGATATCCCTGATGTCTTACAAGCAGACAAATCAAAACTACCTGTGAATGTCAGGACGAGATTTTTAACCATGATAGCAGATGAGTGTGTCAAATTATACATATCTAAAGAAGAAGCATTTGCCAGGGCATTAAATGAAGAATTTGCTTGCTATGAAAAATGCAAGGTGCTCGCTACTTACAGGTAAGTCTTTAAAAAATGGTATCATGTATTATACTATATCTTTGCTGACGTTTTTGAATGTAGCACTGAAAGAGGTATGAGAAGATATATTTAGTAAATGTGTTCAATATATGTATCATTGTGTTAAAAAGTACATACTCTTAACAACAACCAATTTGGCAATGCCAGATTGTTATTCAATAAGTGAAATCATGCATATATGCGTTCTTTTTGATTTGATCATGTGCGAGTTGATTTTTTTTTGTATTTGCAGAAATTCGGCCATGTTGGCAGTGAATAGACTGAGAAAAGAAATTCAGGAACGTGATAGATCTGGCTTAGGTCTGATTGGACTGGGTGAGGATCCTAATAGAAGTAGCTCAGATGCAGACGGCGAGAAGTTTTACAATGCCGTGAAAAAGTGGGTGCTGACAGATGAGGAACTGGACATCCATGGATATCCAAGAGAAAGTACAGAACACCATGGAAAGGCTGTGATAAAGAATTTCAAGAGTCAGTTGCCATGCAATCTCGACGAGAATCAGAGGATATGTGCAAGGTAAGGACAATTGAGGGGACCAATGCTAGAACCAGTTAAGTCCGTTTTTGATAATTTTACAGGAGAGCAAAAAAAGTCTGCATGGACATGGTGGGACTACACAATCATGAATGAATAAAAGTGGCGTTACTATCTGTCTTGCTGTCACTACGTAGAATGACACTGTCCGTCACTTCGTCTGAGAAAAAATGTGAAATTTATAATAATGGGAACTAAAAGGTCATCACAGTGTAAATTTTTCCCATCTTTCCGATTTAAGCATATACTTGGAAAAGAACGACTTAGATTTTCAAAATTTTTCTGATAACTATTATGAGTTGGCCTATCCCCCGTTTCCGGCTTGACGTCGACCTCTGAGACACCGTGCATGTGCCTCAAGTGGTTGAAATGAACATAAATATCTTTTCAAGTTATAGTATCATGCTATAGCAGACTATTTTTTCAGGTGTCACAAGACCTACCAAGTAGATGATGACGGTTGGCCGCTGTTTGACGAAGAATGCCTGTACCATCCTTTAAGAAAACGCACGATTCGCGGCGAACAGACTTACCTTTGCTGTCGCAGCAATGACGATAGCGGATGCGCCACTTCCGACACCCATGTATCGGAAGCAATGATGACTGGGGAGCTGGATGGCGTCCAGACCACCATGGAACCCGAAAGTGAAGATGATAGACGCAGCTACGCAGTGTACGCTCTGGATTGTGAGATGTGTTACACCACCAAAGGTCTTGAACTTACCAGGGTAACCATTGTGGACACAGAGTGCAAAACAGTGTACGAATCTCTAGTGAAACCTCTTAATCCGATCATCGATTACAACACGAGATTTTCGGGTATTACCAAAGAGCAGATGGATAGGACTGGTACGAATTTGCTGCAGGTTCAAGCAAATATTCTGCATTTGTGCAATTCCAGTACTATTTTGGTAGGGCATAGCTTGGAGTCCGATATGAAAGTTCTGAAGATCGTCCATAGCAATATTATCGATACTGCAGTATTATTTCCGCATAAAATGGGATTGCCTCATAAGAGAGCTCTAAAAGCGCTGGCTAGTGAATATTTGCGGAAAATAATACAGAATGACGTCAATGGCCATGACAGTGCGGAAGACGCAATTACTTGCATGGAATTGGTTAAATGGAAACTGAAAGAGGAGCTCAGAGGGAAAAAGTAAACATATTTGTCTCGTAAAACTGTAAAAATTGTAATTAAGAATAATTTATTTGCACTGTCTGGTGCCCAGTATAAATAATTTTCTGTACAGCTGAGATGTTATAGTTTTTTGTATTTGATTGTAATGATAAGATGACTAAGATGGAATAAACACTAAGTTTATACGAATTGTTGTTTAATTAATTCACTTAAACTACTTTTTCTTCATTGGATGTGAAATTATGTACAGGGTGGCCAATATATAACTGACTGACTTAAATTGCTTGCCATTTTTGATACACGCATTTCAGTGTGTGGCGCCGTAGCAGTTGTTTAAAGCGCATATGTCCAATTATTGTTGAAACGTTTTACTTAAATAATGACGGTTGTTGCAACGATTCGAAAGCTACGACAAGATTTCGCTCAAAATAATCTGCCCAGTGTCAACAACATTCGTCAGTTGGTGCAGAAATTTGAACAAACAGGTGAAGTTCAAGACTTGCCAAGGTACTCCCGAAAATATCGAGAGAGTTCGTGAAAGTGTAGTGGCGCGCCGGCGCGCCCTGAGACGTCTACCAGACATCGTTCTCAAGAACGTCGCACGTCATTATGCACCATTTTTAAAAAAGACTTGCATTTGCGGCCATACAAAACTCAGTTTACACAAGAACCACATCCTAGTGACTATGAAAGTCGCCGACTAGACAATCATGCAAAGTTGCAGCTTAATACCCAAAATAACGATTTTACCGACAACTGATAATTAGCAATAAAGCCCTCTTTACTTCTTTGAAGACGCTGCAGGTAATTCTCTTACTGTCACTGTCATAATTCAAAAATGTGTACGCTCAAAATAAAACCATTATTTGGACGCAAAGAATTTTATTGTTACTGTATGAGTGTTCTACAATGTTTAAAAGAAAATTAAAGAAATATTTCATGGACAGTAAAAATTCTTAGAGATGCAAATTTTGTTTTTTCTAAATATCTGTATGTTATGTAATTGTTTAGTTTTTTAAAAGAATGTAATTGTAGCAGTCATGCTAAATAAATCTTAGGCCCGTATCGTCAGTCGTCCCTACAATTGTAGGGCGCCTTTACGGCCTCCTTGATTGTCATAGTTTTCTACCTCCGTGTGAGCGCTCTATTTTGAGGTTATGTCACAAACATATATTTGCATCAAATTGTGCCTGCTTTTGAGTTATATCATGTTTTATCAGCCTGAAATTTCCTACAATTTAAAAAGAAAACATATCTTCACAATAGGAGAGCGCTGACGCTGACACGGGACAAGTGTAATCTAGAAATTTTTGAAGGAGAGAAAGGAGGATGACAATCAAGGAGGCCATAAAGGCGCCCTACAATTGTAGGGACGACTGACGATACGGGCCTTAAACAAACAAAATATGCTCGTCACTGTCAGTACGACAATTTACTTGTTAGATAGTCTGCTTACTCATTTCGCATGGATACGTAACTGTCAACATCTGTGAAAACCTTATAAATGCTTGCTGATAGTAATTAGTTCCACCTGACATCCGTGTTTGACCAGACTATAATAGAGTTCCCGGAAGTTTGTTCGGTTGATGGCCAACTTAGATTCTCGATCAAGACATCGTCTCGTCTCCAATATTCAGTTGTTTTTAACGGTTTTCGCGGTCTTTTACACGGTCATTTCGGGAATACGATTTTTAGTGATTTTATAGTGAAAACTCGAACGTATCGGAAAAATCGTGACGATGAAACGTGGATTAAGTGATTAAGTGCATGCGAGTGAATAAAGAGTGCCATTAGGAAGGATTAGGTCGTGATAACCTCGATAACGTTGGAGATGATGGAGCTACCTCTATATATGTAGAGGTAACTGAATCCAATTGGTAAGTTCATATTTATGTAAATAATTAGTGTATAGAAACTATTAACAGGGTATATCAAAACTTAAAGGTGGAATATCTGTCTGGAAAAAATTTGAATAGTGAATACCTACATTTCCTATCAAAACGACCTTTACAGGGCCGGTTCGAGGTAGGTGAGAACCGTCTAAACGCACAGGGTCGCACCCTATTATTTGTAGCAAACCTAGTAAAATAATGAAAAAATGCACACAAATCAAGGATTGTTCATTGTTCAAGATGCTTGATTAGGTTCACTGTGCATCAAACAGGTTCTGTATGTAGATGACTGTTTTGAGTCTGAACTAGGGCCTTAAAAATAACTTAGCGAAGAAGCTACAAGGTCCTCTATTCCTACAGTTCGGAAGTTACTGCTTCGATTTCAAAACAATTTTGATACAAGGATACTGCTGTGTTAATGATAGAATATCTTAAATGCTTTCACCAATACAGGCGCAGGACCAAGTAAAAAGATAACATGTGAGAAAGTCAACAAACTTAATATTTTGAATGTCTTTAGCACCCGTAGGTTTTCCTTAAATTAAAAAGTGATATACTATATCGATCTTCTATGGTATTATGTAAGTTTTTTTCGAAATTATGTAGGCTTTCCTATAAGATGTCACCTTTAAACTAGCGGACATTCACTTCACGCGCTCTTATTTCGTAGGTTTTTCTACAAGATAACTTAGCACAAACCAACAAGGCGTTGAAGCTGCTCTTGCCGAAAGCCCTGACATACTTGGTGACAATAATCAATGCGACGCTCAAAATCCAGTACTTCCCTGCTGGGTGGAAGACTGCTGAGGTCATCATGATTCCAAAGAAGGTGGATTCGATATTTCCTCAGGATTACCGTCCCATAAGTCTGCTGTCAGTTCCTTCTAAGCTCGTCGAAAAGGTGATTTATCGTCACCTTGAGAATTTTTCGTCAAATCACCATGACGTCCAATTCGGTGTTCGGTCCGAGCATAGCACCGAGCTACAGGCAGTCAGGCTGGTGGAGCATGTAACCAGAGGGTTCACCCTCAGCTTGAGTACTGGCATCTTGCTTTTGGATGTCTCAAAAGCCTTTGACAAGGTGTGGCACGCGGGCCTCCTCTATAAACTAATCCAAAAGGGTTTTCCTTTTTGGCTTCTAAAATTACTGAAATCCTTTCTTGAAGGTAGTTTCGGATCAAAATTAACAATGTTTTGTCAACAACACGGCCAGTACGGGCCGGTGTTCCTCAGGGTTCGGTCCTACGACTAATTCTTTATTCGCTTTTCATCCATGATGTCCCCTCCCCCAGCAACTGTGAAGTCTACCTCTATGCTGACGACACTGCACTTGTCGCCCAGTCGTGTACTGGTGATCTGGTTCACGATGGGTTGCAGAATGCGGTGGACGAAGTTCTAGAGTGGGCGGAACGGTGGCTGATAAAAATTAATCATTCGAAAACGCAGGCTATGTATTGTTTATTGTACCAAAAAACGTCGCGGCCCCCCAGCAGAGGTTTTTGTAGACGGAAATCGTGTACCATGGACAAATTCTGCCAAGTATCTCGGTGTCACCCTTGATAAAGGCAGAAACATACAGCATCCATAAAAACAAAATTCCAAATTGCGTTTCGGCAACTATATCCTTTGTTATGTAGAGCCTCCAAATTGAGTTTGATAAACAAAGTTCGACTATATAAAATGATTATTAGACCAGCCATTACTTATGCATGTGCGGCTTGGTGTTTTCTTGCCAAGACACACATGCAAAGTCTTCAAGTACTGCAAAGCACAACTTTGCGGACAATTTGCAACGCTCCATGGTATGTCTCAAATGATACACTACACAGAGACCTTGACATTCCTTACTTGAGGGATTATGTCAAGCTTCAGGCGCAGCGACGTTATAGTCAAACGGAATCGCACAGCAACCCTCTGTTGCGTGACTCTGTGGACTACACAGTGGAGCAAGTTCGTAAACATTCAAGGACACGGCTCGCACTGTAATCAAAAGTTAGCGTGAATCTTTAGTAAACTCAAAATTACACTCTAACAAAACCGAATAAAAAAAAAAAAATTTGTTTAGTTCACCTCAAAATTAATCCGTGTGTACCAAGTCAAAAAGCCTAGGTGTTTCCTCTTAAACTAAGCATATCTGTTTTTCTTTGTTCTTCTCATTTTTTCTTCTCTTTCCCTTTCTCTTTTTCCTTGACTTTGTCTGGTTTCTGGGCAACCAGGACTGACAGATTCGACTAACGTACATCAGACAGTGACTAATGGGCAAAGGCCCTACGGACCGCCCAGACAAATAAATGACGAATAGTTAGTTAACTTAGCACAAGCTGTTGTACACTTGTAAACCCTTTTTGTAGCTGTACGTGTTGCTTAAACGTGAGCGAACAGCGATCATGTCAAGCAAACGTGGAATTGACTATTTGCACACTAAAAACTGCATAGTCTGCAAGATGGCATTTCGTCGGTTTTTTGACGTTTCTTAGGTTTTTTCATAATATTCGTGGGCACGCTAGCGGCTACCTAGTAAACAAGTTGACATTTTACCGATTTTTTTAAACACTTATATAGGATTTTACGTAGCGCTTTGGATTTTCTAACTATTTTTTTGACGTGGTATAAAAGTTCATGGGGGCCAAAAAATAGTGAAGACGATTGATGAAGGTGATCCATTACAAGTATGTCAGAATTCATCAATGAAGCAATTTAGGACAATTAACATCAACAATCTAAGAAAAGCTATCTCAAAATTGAAATCTAATAAAAACCCAAGTGAGAATCTCAAAAAATATTCTAAATGATTGTTTAAACATAATTGGAGAGAAATTATTATTACTGGTGAATCATTGTTTAGTACATGGCAAATTCCCATCAAAATTAAAGTGTTCTACCATTACTCCTATGTCAAAAATTCAAAATTCTCAGCTGTATACAAATATGTGACACATTAATGTCTTGCCCGATGTCGAGAAGCTGTTCTAAGGGTTATATACGAACAAATCATAGAATTCATTGAAGAACCAAAAATTTTGACAAAAAATCAAGCTGGGTTTGGAAAAAAATGTTCCACAGAAACAGCAATCCAAATGGTGGTGGAAGACTGGAGAAGAAGTACTTATAGATGAGAAATAATATATTGTAACAATATTTTTAGACTTCAAAAGGACATTTGATACTATAGATAGGGAAAAGTTGTTAATGAAATTGCGTCACTATGGCTTTAAAGGATCAGTATTACACATTTTACAAAATTATTTAGTAACTAGAAGTAAAAAAACTAAAGTTGGAAATATTATGTCAGGTGTTCAAAATATATCAGTAGGGGTGCCACAGGGTAGTAAATTAGAGCCTTTATTATTTATATAAATGATATCTCTGACATTTTAGAACACTGCAAAATTCAAATATTTGCGGACGATACACTTATTAGATAGCACATAAGCATTTGGACACTGCTTTAGAACTGTTAAATAGTGATATTGAAAAAATTATGAATTGGTTAAATGTCAATAAACTAGAATTAAACACTAATAAAACAAAATGTGTGTCAATAGAGAAATATTTAGGTAACAATACAATTAGGCTCATGATTAATGATGAAAAAATTGAAGTAGTCGAGTCATTTAATTATCTTGGTATATAACGTATGTGGATAGTAAGCTACTGTTTCACGAACATTATGAACACATTATTTCTAAAATATCGGAAAAGATAAATTACTTCTATATAGTTTCCCATAATCTAAGTATGTATTCCAAAAAATTGTGTATAACACTATAATTCTTCCCCATTTTTTATATTGTTCAACCATCTTGTTTACAGCAAATGAAAACATATTTTCAAAATTACAGATTCTACAAATAAAAACAAATATGCTAGGATTAAGTCTATGTTAGAAGAACTGCAGTGGTTGAATGTGAAAAATTTCATATATTATTTAGTTCTCGTTTTCATATTCAAATTAAAAAATCATTTATTACCACCACATTTAGAGAACTTCACAAAATTAAATAGTCATTATCATAACTAAGAAACTAGAGGCAGTATAGGTTTTCATCTGCAAAATTGTAATGATAGCATAACTAGTAAATCTATATTTCAAAAGGGAGTATTTGAATTTAATAAATTGAATAATGATATTAAACATAGTCCGAATTTCAAAATGTTTAAGGTGAAATAAAAAAAATCACTTTATGAATAATCAAAATACATAGTGAATTTAAATTTTAATAGACAAGAATGTAAAATTACAGACAATGGATTGAAGAAAAATATGTAACCGAATCATTATAAAAAATTGACATTGTAGCATTAATGCTAAATAAATCTTCAACAACAAAAAAAATCTAACAAATGTGAAACTTTATAATTTGACGTGTTTCTACTTTCTGGTTATCTTGGGCCATGGTGGAAATATATATAGGTTGTTCAACAATTCTGGAATCAGGCATGCATGCATAGCTAGCAACGCTTCGAATTTTTGTGTAGCTAAAATGTCTTTGAGCCGCATTTGATCAATTTGAGTGTAAAGAAGTTTATAAAATTCGATTGCCTTAAAAATAATTTACAAGAAGAGTGTCAAGTATAGATACTTATGTGTGGGTAGTGCTGAGGCAACTTGCTTGGTACCTCTTTTATCGATTCAATCTTCATATGACTCTAGAAATTTCGTCGTTTCGCAAATTAGGGCTATAAACAAATAAATTGATGGTGTCAACAGAGACACTTAGTAATTTTCCGTGGAGATAGTCCCTCGCCCGACTATGCCCAAATAAGCTAACAGACTATTAAAATATAGCCCGGAGAGCTTTTGTAAAAATGTTTATATTTAATATTGCACAATTCAGCTCGATTGACGATAGGATTACATAGTGAGCATATTTAAATAATGCATTATAGTCTTGTTGATGTACTGTGCCCCATGGATTCTACAAATTACTTCACTCCCATCTGTAGCGAGTCGATCATTTTACTAAATTATACGTTATACAGAGTGGTTCATAAGTCGTGACCAAAAATGAAACATCGTACACAGGACCGTATTTTAACGGGGTCTTCCATGTAACATTTTTTCCTCAAGGGCTTCATTAAAAAGACACGGGTTGTTGAAGTTTAAAAATGAAAAAAAAATTAATACCTTCAAAACCGTCAACTGGTATGAACTAAAATTTGGCATGTGGATTTATTTAAGTATTGTCCACATTCAAAAGTCTACTTAAAATTATCGTGTACCAGTGGGGGACATACAGGGGATTAGTGGTATTATTTTTCTAAATAAAAATAGTACGCCTCTGTGTTTTTTTAAACGCGCAGTCTTTCAGTTGACGGTGAAGATATTAAAAAAATGTTTTTTATTTTTAAACTTCAACACCCCGTATCTACCTAATGAAGCCCTCGAGGAAAGAATGTTACATAGAAGACCCCATTAAAATGCGCCCTTGTCTATGATGTTTCATTTTTTGATCTCGACTTGTGAATACAAAAGACGTATATATATAATTACAATTGTCCATTTACGGCCGCTTAATGATGTTTCGGAGGCTAAAAAGTGTACTGAGGAATTTCTATGAGATTGCCTCTGCGTTAATAGCGAAATTAATCACAAGTGCACGTAAAAATTATCTACTTCAACTTTTCTATTTGGTTGAAACTCAGAGCGCATTTAACTAAGGCATATTAATCCATCGGAAAGGTACCTTGATTACATCCCCAGTGACCGATTTTCAAAAAAAAGGCCAATTATATCTCGTTGCTATAGTACCAGTATTTGAATAGCTTAAGATGGTATTAGAAATATATGTTAAATACTCCCTGAAGCAGTTTCTGAATGAATGCGGAACTCAGTAACGTGTTGAGAGATGGAGTCGCACAAACCTGTGAAGATGGCAAGGTTTTCGAGAAACATCTAAAAGTCATATAATCACGCGTAAGACAACGTTCCGAAGCTTAATAAAAATAAGTGTAAAAACTGACTTACTGATCTTATAATAGCTTCATAATTGGGATTTTTGACTGAACTGCATTTGAAGAGAATACCGCTCTTCATCAAAGTAATAGTCTAATAAGTTGCAACGTCATGCACACTTTATGGTGAACAATGGAAAACGTTGAAAAACTCTCCTATTAGAAAAAATACATTATCTAAAATGAAATTCGACGATGGGGTAATAACAAATGAAGAAATAATAGCAGATCTAATGAATATCTATTTCATAGAAAGTGTCAACGACATTGTAAAATTTTTTGACGGGGATCCCAGCCAATGTCCCATTAGCTCAGATTATAATGCATCATTCAGTGAGTTTAGAACAATAAACATTAATCGTCTCAAGAAGATTATATCAGAAATTAAATCAAATCAAAATAAGAGTGAGATTTTGTCTAAAAGTGTGCTTAATGAATGTTTTGATATTATTGGAGCAAGAATATTAATCCTGATAAATTACTGTTTAAAATATGGCGAATTTCCAACAAAACTGAACTGTTCTACCATAACTCTTGTTTCTAAAGTTGAGAATTCTGAGTTGTACACCAATATGCGGCCAATAAATGTTCTGCCGGATGTTGAAAAAGTTTTTGAAGAAATTATTTACGAACAGATCATCGAATTTATTGAGGGAAATAACATTTTAGCCAACTTTCACGCTGGATTCAGGAAGAAACACTCAACTGAAACGGCAACACAAATGGTTTTAGAGGACTGGAGGAGATGTATGGACAATCGGAAACGTACAGTAACAGTGTTTTTGGACTTCAAAAGGGCGTTTGAGACTATTGACAGGGATAAATTACTTACAAAATTGCATCACTACGGATTTAAAGGATCTGTATTCAAAATTCTACAAAACTATTTAATTGGCAGAAGTCCAAAAACGATAATTGGATCTACATTATCGAGATCAAAAAATATTTCTGTCGGTATACCACAAGGTAGTAAACTAGCTCCACTACTATTTATTTTATACATTAATGACATTTGTAATATTTTAGATTATTGTAAACTTCAGATATATATCAGATGAAAATATAGACACTACTTTAAAAATGCTAAATTCTGACCTAGCAAAATCGTAAATTGGTTAAATGTAAATAAACTAAAATTGAATACATCTAAAACAAAATGTATGCTAATAGGGAAATACCTCAATGAAAATACTATCACAGTCGGGATAAATGGAGAAATAATTGAAAATGTTGAATCAATTAAATATTTAGGTATATATATATTGATAGTAAACTGAAGTTTGAGAATCACTATACAAATATTTCAAAAATTGCCAAAAAAAGAAATTACTTTTATAGGGCTTCTCATAGTTTTGGTACCTATTCCTGGAAAATAGTTTATAATCCAATTATTCTACCGCATTTACTATATTGTTCGACTATCTTGTTAACTGCCAATGAAGCTGTATTCTCAAATAAAATAATATTGAATAAAAATAAGTACACCGAAATAAAATCTATGTTACAAGAATTGCAGTGGTTGAATATAAAAAATTTGATATCATATTTGGTTCTTATTTTTATATTTAAAATAAAAAATCATATTTTGCCAGAACATTTAGAACACTACCTGGAATTAAATAATCATTACCACGATTATTATACAAGAGAAAATATAGATTTTCATTTACAAAACTGCAATAGTACCTAATATAGCTAACAAATCAATATTTCAGGAAGGATTACTTGAATTTAATAAACTAAATAACGATATATGTAAAGTCTACTAGTAATTTAAAGATATTTAAAAGAAAATTAATGGAATATTTCATGGACAATGAAAATTATTAGACATGCAAATTTTGTTATTATTTCTGAATGTCTGTATGTTATGCAATTGTTTAGTTTTTTAGAAGAATGTAATTGTAGCAATCGTGCTAAATAAATCTTAAATAAACAAAATGTAACGGAAGAAGTAAAGAAATTGTGAAATTATGATTAATGTTTTCTATGGTTTTGAGTATGCCGTCTGTAATTTCAAATACAAAGTCAGGAATTGTATTTTAAACTATTGGCCCGTGTATTGATTGCACCTTTAATCCCAAGTTGATAAAAACTGGTATACCGTCAAATCACAGAATAGTAATATGGCATTAAAAATTCTATTATTAAAAAATGTTAATATCTCATTGAATACTTACCCACTCTTTGCAATGATACTCTCAGCTTCCTTGGCCATGTTCAACGAGTACAGGCTGTGGTTGAACAAATCGTCCAATCTACCGTCAATGTCTTTCAAATTTCCTTTGATTTCGTCAACCTTTTCTTGCAGCTCTTCAACAGGAAGCTTGTATTCAGTCACATTTCGCAAAACCTCTTCCACTTTCTCCAGGGTTTTGTCAGCGTCAATTTGTCTTCCCGTCAAATTGTATCCTTTCATTTGCTTCAGGTATGCTTGAGCTTCTTGCAAGGCGTTGTCTATTTCTTGTCCTGGAAAAAGATCGGTTTGTTTTTTCGTCACAATCCACATTTAAGAAATTGAGAAAGACAATGGTGTTCTAATTACCCTTTTTATATAAATTCCTTGTAATTAATTGTATTGGGGGGTCAAAGAAGCAGAATTTCCTGTAGTAAAATTGCCGACGTTTAGGAACAATTTATTTCCTTCTTCGGGGCTCCACAAAAAAAAATTTAAAACACTAATTTTACATATACTTAAATTAACAAATCAAATAATGAAATCAAAGTAAAAGATACTCATAAAATAAAATGAGCTATTTAAACTCATCCCTGAATTACATTAACAAGATAGCAATTCCCAACATAAGCACATAAAATAAATAAAACAAAGTAAAATTAAGTAGATGTATACATAAAAAACAAATAAATAGTTCTTTCTGTGTTCGATTATGAGAAAAAAATGGTGGTCAAAAAATGACCCAACGTTATGCACATCAAAGATATCATTTAGGTCGCAACTGATAAATACAGGGTGTCTCAGTTTATTGTTGCATAACTATAAGATTCGATAGAACTTATAAAATGAATGCATAAAGTTTATATAAACATGGGTCGAAAAATGCGTGGCTTAAATTTACTTTCTAAAATAGTTTTTTTTTTAAATATTTCGAACAATATTTGATGTATAACAGTGAAAATTGGTATACAAGGGTTTTTTGGTACGGCAAAACGAACCATGGGCATAGTTTTACTGTAGCCGCTAGAGGGCGCTCTCCACTGTACCTGTAGTGTATTAAAATGACCACCTTAGTGCAATTTTTTGATTTTTGAATAAAAATACTGATTATTCGCACTTTCCAACATAAAAAAGATCTCTTGTGAATTTTCGTTATAGTTAGCCGTTTTTGAGATATTTTTGAAATTGAAAGCAGAATAAGGTTAAACGTCAATTAGTTGACAGTTAGTTTTGTTGTCTGTTGAAACCTGAAACGTTTTTTTGCAATTGTGAATGCACGAAATTTAGTTTCTTTTACCTGTTTTTTTTTTTGTAAGTTTTATAAAAATGCCATTTTTATTCTCCAATCAAGAGTTATAGTTCATTTTGTGTATAGCTTTGTAAATGGAAACGCAACAGAAGCAGCCAGAGAATACGCACGAAGATTTCCAAATAGACGACATCCAACTCGCTCAGTATTTGTAAGAGTGCATCTCCAAATAATTGAAAACGGTTTTGGAAATCTCCAAAGGAATCAAAACATAAATGTTCATCAGCGCAGATTTACCCGTATGATTCTGCGTGAGTTTGATAGAGATCCGACCACAAGTGTTAGGAGAGTTTCTGGTGCCTTGGGAATTTCAGCAAGCCATGTTCACAGTGTTCTTAGACATGACCATAGACGTCCTTACCATTTGCAACCTGTGCAAGGACTACAGCCAGGGGACGGAGAACGAAGAATCACATTTTGTCAGTGGATTCTTGATAGAACTGATAATAATATGGAGTTTTTAAGTAACGTTTTATGGACCGATGAGTCATGCTTCACTAGACGTGGAGTGGTAAATTTTCATAATCAACATATTTGGTCGCATGCAAATCCGAATGCAGTTCGGGAAAGAAATTTTCAGCATGAATTTAGTGTGAACGTGTGGATTGGTATCGACCGTAATCGACTATTTGGACCCTACCTTTTGCCTGCAAGGTTAAATGCTGCGACCTTCTTGGAATTTTTAAAGGCTGAACATGCAAATATGTGGGATGATGTTATGTTAGATTTAAGAAGATTGGCCTGGTTCCAGCTTGATGGTTGTCCAGCTCATTATTCGAGAATAGTTAGAAACTGGCTGGACGAAAATTATCCAGAAAGATGGATCGGCCGTGGAGGACCAGTCGTCTGGCCTCCACGATCCCCTGACCTATATCCATTAGATTTCTTTGTGTGGGGATTTCTAAAAGAAAAAGTGTACCAGACTCCCGTAACCACAAGAGATATGCTAATAGACAGAATCAGGAATGCATGCGATGAAATAAGGCCTTATTTGAATAATGCTATACCACGTTCGATCATTCGTAGATGTGAATTGTGTATTGAACAATTGGGTTTACATTTCGAGCAACTACTTTAGCCTTTGTATGTTTGTCCTAACAATCTAATACCATTTTAGTTGTAAATAATTAATTAATATCCTATTTTTTTGTGTTTATTTGGAGTTAGGAATTTTTGTTGTGTTTAAAAACACAATCTAAACGATCATCTTAATTACTTGCAATGCCCAAATCGAAAATGTAAAAAAAAAATTTTTCCCATAAATAATTAAAAATGCATCGAACCTTAAAAATCGAAATATCTCAAAAACGGCTAACTACAACGAAAACTCACAGGGTAGCTTTTTTATGCAGAAAAGTGCGAAGAATCAGTTTTTTTATTGGAAAAGCAAAAAAATTGCACTAAGATAATTTTTTCGGTCATTTTAATACACTACAGGTACAGTAGAGAGCGCCATCTACCGGCTACAGTAAAACTATGCCCATGGTTCGTTTTTTCGTACCAAAAAACCCTTGTATACCAATTTTCACTGTTATACATCAAATATTGTTCGAAATATTCAAAAAAAACTATTTTAAAAAGTAAATTCAAACACCCTGTATTTCGGAAGTCACGCATTTTTCGACCCATGTTTATATTTAGACTTTATGCATTAATTTTATAAGTTCTAGCGAATCTTAAAGTTATGCAACAATAAACTGAAACACCCTGTATAACAAACGAAAGACTGTTACGCATCCCTATTTTTATCATTATCATTTCTATATAGGAAAAAGAATCAAAATTAAGCAGACTAGTATACTTAGTTACACTCTTTGCCCGGAATTCTATGTATCGGATTTTCCAATAGGGACTTGACAACTTTAAACTTTCACTGTGAACGCACCTTTCAATCAATTACCGAACAGTCAATGTCAAAACATTCAGTAAAGAAAACATTTTTATCATGGTGAAGTACACGAACGAACAACGCTTCCAAATACTTTATTGAAATTTACTACCGAAATTCCGGGTCGGTGACTGCAAGTTTAAGAGCGTTAACGCCAATTTTTGGTCGTAATTCTCGCCCTAGTAGACAAGCAATTTATATTGTAGTAAAAAAAATTAATCAACATATTCGCTGCTGGTTGTTCCCGTGACAGTGAGACAACAGGTTGATCGAAGTGCCGAGAATATTGCTGCTGTCAAGAACTAAAGCCTACGTTCTCGAATTGGGCTCTAGAAATGTTGCAAGAAAATTACCAATTTCATCGCAAAATCAGCTTCAGTGATGAGGCGCATTTTTGGCTAAACGGCTTCGTCAACAAACAGAATATGCGTTATTGGTCAGATAAAAACTCTCACGTGCTTCAAGAAACACCACTTCATCCACCAAAAATAACTTTATGCGGTGGTGGTTTTCCTGCCGGTGGTGTCAATGGGCCATTTTTTTTTTTCGTTAATGAAAATGAGCGTCACGTTATAGAGACATGTCGCAACGTTATTTTTTTGGTCAATTGGATGGGTAGTCATTAATGATATGTGGTTTCAACAAATCGGTGCCACAAGCCGCACAGCGGGTGGAACAATCGACATATTGAAATCAAAATTCGGTGAACGTGTTATATCGAGAAATGGTCCTGTCGAATGGCCGCCTAGATCGTGTACCTTAACACCTCTAGACTTTTTTTGTGGGGCTACGGTCTTTAGACCCCAAATTCCAATTAATTACAAGAAATACAAATTACTATTTTTAAGATATTAGGGATTGTTCAGACAACGTAAAGCGGTCCAGCGGTGCAGCGCTTTTATGCTGAAATAGCATGGGCAATGGAATTACTTTGACAGCTCGCAACATTACTCAACCTACTATCAAATTTTACATCTAAGTGGAAACTACTCTCAAATAAAGTTATCCTAAGGCTTTTTTACAACCAAGCAGCCGCGCAGGCAGAAGCCTAAATGCCAGGGCACCGCGGCTGCTATGAGGATCTTAAAGAACCTTTGTTAATCCGATTTTTGAACTGCCTAAGGTTAGTATAACTGGGATAAGCCTCCTCCACAATCTCGATACCTGAGCACAAACGTGTGGTCGTATCGGCCAGTTCTAGATGTACGACACGGACGGGATCGGAGACCGAAGTCAGGCGGGTCTGTCTGGCAGGCATCATGAAGGAGAGCCCTGAGGAACAAAACCCATTGGGGTCCCGAGACTGTCCATTAGAGAAGGGTAATCAATAATTATGGTTATTGATGTTATTCAGCATAACAGCAATTCATCGCTGGACCGATTTTCACTGGCTGAACGCTAACAATGGCAGTAATACGCAATGTTCTATCAGAAGGTTTACTTTTACATTTTCCAACAAACAAAACGACTGAAAGCTGCAGTGTGGTGAAAAAATGGCGAAAGTGCAATATGAATACTAACCCTATAGGCAGCACTTTCACCTTAATTTGAAATATCTACCAAATATACAGGGTGTAAAAATATGCGTGGATCAACGAAAGTTTCAGCAATTATGCGAAAACATGTGGTTGAACATGTTTCCATAACTCTCCTAGTAGAAGGATTAGTAGATAGGTCCTATGTACAGGGGTGTATTAACTCAGTCAAAAGATTTTGCCTTTTTTCCGTACCTTCAAGGGGCGGCAAAGCTTAAGAAGCAGAAGGCGCTGAATCTTAAAATACGCCCCTGCCCAAGGATCACGGAGTTGAAGAGCTTAGCTTTAATGAACCTTTACCAAGTCAGGCATTCGAATTAACTCTATTTCAGGAATTAGAAGATGTTGCCATGTTATTTGTAACACTGTTGTATTATTTCCAGAATTCTCTCCTGAACCACTGACTTTTGGATAACATATAAAAATTAATTTGATAGGTATCTCCTCCCCATAACTTTACACTGTCTAGTATAGCTCGATTCCGGAACAAAAAATGAGTTTCTAAAATTCTCCATATGTTCAAATTTCATCAATTGACAAAAAGCTGTACGCTAAAAACAAATTGAAACTTTAAAGCTATTTTGATAAAGCAACTTGCTCGTTTACTGAACTGCACTATATTACCATTGGATGAAAAGTAACTGCTTTGAG